ACGAAGCGACCTAGCTAGCCATGTACTCTAAGGGGTACATTCCCTTATTCGAATTCAAACCAACCGTGCGGCCCGAGCAGTTACGAAACTGTTCCCGCCAGATTCATTGTCCCTGCAGCTGCCCGATGCCGTTTTTCTCCGACGGTCTAGATCCACCCTAACCGTCTGACGCTTCGAGTCAACTCTGACTCCTCGCATTCGTTCTCGATACTGCATGCCTCTTTGCTGCGGTGAGGAGTGCACAGTAACGTCAAGTATTTACTATTCGTAACACAAGGTACTGTACCTCGCAACGTCAATGTACTTTGTCAAAAGTCCGCACAGTACACTCCGAACTGGACAAGAAACATTAGGAGGACTACACACGGGGTACAGTCAAATTTGACAAGTGTGTTGACGTAAAAATAATGAAAAACAAAAAACGGGATTGTGCAAAGTTGGACCCGCCCTAATGACAAATATCACATGGACCTTTGCTAAAGGCTGTCACTGATAACAGATACACCTTGTTTTCGATACTTTCGCACCCCCTAATCTCACACCCTGGAATGTTTGCCCTCGTGAAAATATTTTCGGAGGGTAGTTCACGTAGTCTTTAGAATTTCTGGACGAGAGTCCTATGATACGAATCTCGCGAATTGCGGGTGGCAATCAAAACGTGACAGTAACTTAGACCCCCATAAGTGCGAGTTTTTATCGAGAAACCCTCTTGAAGTTGTCTATTGATAGTCCTCCAATCTATTGGTATCCCTCGAATCATGCAAAAAAAAACATAAAAGGTAACTCTGGAAAAAAGGGTAGGAGGGGGTGTGAAATTATCGAGAACAAGGTGTATTCATTCACCACTGTATATTCGTTCCTTATCTACCCGAAACTGAGGGTTGCTTCGAACAGTTTGGCTTTAAGGATGGTTGATTGGGACTCCACACAATAGCAAGCAGGGAAAAAAAAAAAAAGCATGGTCGCACGAGAAAGGGAAAATATGTCAATGGTAACTTACGTAGGGCACTATAACGCTTACGGTAACAATTTCAACGTGTTTGGTAACTCGCTTAACGCATTTGGTAACTCGCTTAACACGTTTGGTAACTCGCTTAACGCGTATGGTAACTATACACTAGCAGCCCATCACGCGAATGGTAACTAGAAGACTCTTTCAATGACCCCGTTTGTTCTATTACCATGGACCGAAAAGTTTCACAGCCGTTAAATATATTTATATATATTTATATATGTAGCTCGTGAAAAAAAAGGTTAAAATCATATTTTTGATAGCACGATTGCGAACTTGCAAAATGATAAAAAAAAATTCCTCGAAAGGACCTCGAGGCTTTTTTTTTTAAATTACTGCAACGTTGGAGAATTTTCGCATGTGCGAAAAATACACATCTTTTGAATTAAATGTTCCTTTTTTTTTGTCATTCGCGTGATAGGCTGCCAGTGTATAGTTACCATACGCGTTAAGCGAGTTACCAAACGTGTTAAGCGAGTTACCAAACGCGTTAAGCGAGTTACCAAACGCGTTGAAATCGTTACCGTACGCGTTATAGTGCCCCATGTAAGTTACCATTGACATATTTTCCCCAGAGGAAAGTCTAGATATTGCGCTGCAATCACAGAGTAAGAGTTTTAAAATATCGACACTTTATCCACGTGTAGCCTCCAGTTCTGTGGTGTCTGATCCCTTTAGTCAGAAAAGATCAAAAGGGCTTTAGGGAAAAACAAAGGGAGTGTGAAATTGGCGCGGGCTAGGTGTAATAATACTAGTTCAATGGTCGTGGCATCCGTACTCTAGACTTCCTAAAATCAGGCGTGCGACGTGCAATTTGGTGAACGTACACTTGATTCTCGTTTGAATCACCCATGATTGCCCTGTGAAGAGGGCGCTTAAGTGATTCTTGCATTTCGCAAAGGATTCGTCCGTTCGCAGCTAGCAAAAAAGAATTCGTCGGGTGCTTATAAAATAATTTTGGCTTATATGTTGATATTTTGACTTCAGTTTATTCAGTTTGACTTCAGTCCCTTCGTTACTATTGGTTCAAAATCATTGCAACTTGCGCGGGGTGCTTGTAATGTGGGTGCAACTGTATAGGAAAAAAACACGGGGGGCTTTCCGTCTGGTACAGGGCGAACTTGCGTGCAGGGGTTGAGCATCATGTGTACACTTACCACCCTCCCGGTTGATGTCCCAGCCAGGTTCAGCACTGTCCACTCCCGAAAGCATTCACAGCCCAGTACACCTAGACCGCGCCAACTTCACTATGGCCAATATTACCCCTTGTGTAATTGTTTTTGAACTACCCGATATTGAAGGGTTGTTCCTAATGATTTCGTTTTAAAGAGGGTACGTTTAAGACGTCTCAGACGAGCTAGAGGGGGCAAAAACGGGTCACAATGAAACTATGGTCGATTCATTCCGGTATGAGTGCGGGAGTTTAATAAATACCTCGATACCTGACTGAGTTCTTTATAGTTTTTAAATTCGGGGTGTTCATTGGTAACGCCGACATCGGGTTTAGGGTGCTTTCCGAAACAAGTTGCAGGGCGTGAAATTGGCGAGGGCTAGGTGCAGTTTTCAGAAATAGTGTAGTTCAATAAATCCAAGGTGCTGCCCGAATACAGTACGTGTAGAATTTTTGTGGGATTACAGTACAAGTATGCGATGCGACCAATGAGCTCACGCGAAGCTTTCGAGTGCGGCCACTCCCACTCCGCCCACCTGTAATTATGGAAGAATCTGCAGAAGTGCGGGAAGCCTCAGGTTCCATCCATTCCTCCCAATCCCACATGTACAGTTTTGCAATTGGTTCAATGTTGATGTGGTGAGGCTAGGTGGAGAGTGTCAATGTTGCCGTGTCACCGTCTCCAGAGAGCCGGCCCCTGCATGGGTTGCTCTTGTCTTGTCCCGTCCGACAGCGGGCAGCATAAAACGAGTGTACGGGCATTCGGAGCGAGGAGGACGGAGTGTAGCCCCGAACGGTGTTCTGTGCCCAACAAAACAACGAGCAGAAAAATACACCCTGTTTCTCGCTATTGTGAATTCCGGTATACTGAACCCTGTGGCTCAACGCGCCAAATTACGCGCTATAGTCAACTTTTGCACCAGTTCGGTTTGACGAGTTCAGCTACCTTTGAAGACGGTCGGTTAAACTTTTAATATGGCTCGGTAGGGTACCCAGGTTTACGAAATTTCGGATCACCCGCCTCATAGGACGTGTCTCAGATCGCCTCTAGTCGGCTGTGATCTGGTCGGGACTGATCTGGTCGGGGTGCCTTTGTTTGGATAGCTCGCGCCGCCCGATCAGATAAGATTTTCCTCGAATTCTCCACGAGGGTACACAGCAGGCGAACATACATATCCTGCTATCTTCGGGCCCACTTTGGCGACTGCGAACCCCTCGTGATGGATTTAGCGAATTAGAGTGTAACCCTGTAATGTCGAAATGATGGCGCCTCCAGAATGTTCTTGCCACAGCGGGGTGTTCGCGAGGGTTTCGTGAATCCCTGCCGACCGATGTAACTGTTCGCTAGCGTCGCGTAGTACCCCAATCAAATGCAATCAAGTGATCGTCGATGATTGTCTGTGATTGTGTTTGATTGGGCTTTTTTTTGTGGTTGATCGAGTTGGGGCGATCAGCTGATCGCGATCCAGTGATTGCCCCTGATTGCATGAAATCGCCTCTCTACCTTCCTGGAAGTTAATGATCGTGTCTGATCTAGGCAACCCGAGGCGAACCGAGACACGTCCCTAGAGACGGTTATTGTAAACTTTTCGAATACGTCCAAGGAACAGTTCCACTGTTCAGTGTGTTTCCGCAGTTCAGTGTAGCGAAAAACAGGGTGTAGTACAGAACCGGGCTACGATAACGATCTCGGGTACATAAACTGTGTACACTTGATTCTTTTTGGAGTCACCCAAAGTTTCCTTGTGAAGAGGTCGCTTCAGAGGTTCTTTTATTTTGCAAAGGCTTCGTCAATTTGCAGCTAGCAAAAAAGGGCTGATAAAAAAATTGTCACTTATCCATTGACATTTTGACTTCGGTATCTTCAGTTTGACTTCGGTCTCTTCATTACTATTGGTTCAGAAGGGCGGGGTGCTTGTAATGTGGGTGCAAATGGGCGGTCCAAAAAACACGGATGCAGACTTTCCATCTGGTACAGGGCCAATTCGCATGCAGGGGTTGAGCAACATGTGTACTTGGGTTTCCGGTGGGGACTTGGGTAGACCGCTGGGCGAAAACAAGAGTTTCGCAACCACGGGAAACCACTGGCTCGAGCAATTTCCTTTCGTTCGTTTTCGTTCTGTACCTTGTGTGGTTTGGCGTGGCGCGAAGTGCACGGATGAGCGAGCAAGCCGGCTTGTTTGCGCTGCCTATTTCGTCCTCGTGTGCAAGCGGAAGCAGATTGATTTCACGTTGAAGGGCTGCCCTGGTTCACAGATTCCGTTCGAAGGGGTGGGATGCACGAATCACATCGCTTCGATTGATGCCAAACTGCGCCTCCACCACTCACAGTCCGCTCAACCCTATCACGCGTGTGGGGATTCTCCGACAGCAGCCGTCTCTTCGGTTCACTGTGCCGAATTGGTTTGGTTTGGGTTCCCCCCATTCGGTTCGGGAGGGAAAAGGGGGGAGGAAGCGGGGGATGTCAAAGAAAAAAACTAATCCCGCCGTTCTCCAGAAAACTCAACCGAAGTCAACCTATGCAGCTGGTGAGTCAAAGTGTCAATGACGGTTCGGAGAAGCGCGTTGCATTGACGGAGAGCTCAAGAATCCTGCCAGCCTCTCGTTTCCATCGTAAAATCTCCATCAGAACTCATTCCGTCTTTGTCTCTCCCAACCAACTGAATTTCATCTCCCCTTTTTTTGCCAACCAATCTCCTCAGCGATTTCTATCAGCAAGCCACGCTCGTGGAAGTACAATATTCTCCTCACGCCCCACCGGCGCTCGAGCACTCACGAACTGCTCTGAGAGCCATTTATCTTCTGGCACGGGCCGAAATGGACCGATTCACTCCGCAGCATTCCTCAGAGCTCGCGCGTCGCTGCGTCTTCAGCGACCTGCTCGGCGAGGGCCAGTCGGGCCGCGTGTGGCGCTGCGTGGACCGCGCGACGGGGGATGCCTTCGCGTGCAAGCAGGTGAACAAGCGCGGGCTCTCCCCCACGGCGGAAGCGGACCTCCAGCGCGAAATTACCCTCCTAATCATCCTCCAAGGCCACCCTAACATGCTGCGACTCGACAGCTTGTACGAGGACACGAAAGCCGTCTACATTCTCACGGAGCTCTGCGACGGCGGCGATCTCTTCGGGCTGCTCGCGGACCATCCGCGCGGGCTCGACGAGCGCACGGTTGCGCGGATCTTCGCGCAAGTGGCGCGCGCCGTGCAGTGGTGTCACGACCACCGCGTCGTGCATCGGGATATCAAGCCCGAAAACATCCTCATTTCGCGCCGCCACCGCGGCCGCCGCCAAACGGGGCTTTCCGCCGTTTCCGCGGACGCCGCCGCCGCCGGCGCAGTGGAGGAGGCGGAGTACGACGTGCGGCTCGGGGACTTCGGCCTCGCATACCAGCTTCCGCGCGACAAGTGCATTGTGGGGCTCGCGGGGAGCGCACCGTACGAGGCGCCCGAGGTGCTCGCGCGCGCGCCGTACGGGTGCGAGGCGGACGTGTGGTCGCTGGGCGTGCTGCTGTACGCGCTGCTCTCCGCCGCCTGGCCCGCGTTTCGCGCGGGTGAGCGGAAACTCGTCCCCGCTGAGGACTTTGGGTACTTTCCCTGGCAGAAGAATGCGCGCGTGGATGGGGGGAAGCGGGAGGTGTCCTGGGCGGCTAAGGATCTGATCTGCCGCATGATGACCGTTGATCCTCAGGATCGGATAGACATTGATGGTATTCTGAACCACTCGTGGCTGGTTCGCCATTTGAAGCGCTTTGAAGCTGTTGCTCCCGTAACGCTAATCAGAGAGGACACGTCAGCAGCAGCATCCTTCAAGAGGAGGCCAGAAATGGCAACGGAAACATCTCAAGAAGGATCTCAACCATCGGATGAAGAATGCTACGACTCTGAACCATACAATGAAGCCAATGGAGAGGCATCGTATAACGACACATACAATGAGCGCGATGGGGACTACAATGGAGCATACGTGAAGGGAGAGAAGGCGGCATGCAACAAGACATGCAGCAAGACGGTCCGTGCTGACAGCGGCTCGAGCAGTGTGACAAGCATCAGCAGCATCAGCAGCAGCAGCGCTGCGCTCAGCTTCAGCAGGAGCAGTGACACAAGAACCAGCAGCACCACTCCCAACAGCAGCAGCGGCAGCTCCAGCTTCTCAGGGGGGACGCTCCTTAAGTCATTCTCCTCTTCCAATTAACCACACTGTCATCTCCCTTCGCCTCAAATCCAGCTGCACCACTCTCAACCGCAGCAGCAGCTCCAAGTTGGGGCTCCTACCCGGCTCCTACCATTTCCAGTCACCGTACCACCATTTTTACCACCATTGGTGCCGCACATTTCGTTGCAGCGTTTTTAGAGCTCCCTGTGAATCAATTTGGTAGCTCGTGTTGTTGCTTGCTGCGACTGCCCCGGCTAGATGGCCCTGGCTGGGTTCGTTTGAATGGTGTCTCTTCCCTCCCAGATAGGGAGGCATGTTTTTGCCATGTACCGGTACCCTGTATTTTTACTCCGCTTGGAGCTTGAGTAGAATATGCAAGGCCCAAAACTGCTTGGAAGGTTGCAAATCCTGAGTTGACAGACACAACCTGCAAGGCCCAACGATAAATAGTCACAAGACATGGGATTATGAGTGTAAGGCAGGATGCGACGGCTGCTGTGCAAGTGTCACCCACTTGAATTTCAATGGCGAACCTCAGTTGGGACTGGCATACGAAAGTGTACTTGCACTTGGGTTTGCATTGCGGGGTGGAAGGCAGTAAGGTATACCGGAGCTGTTGGTGGTCAAGTGTCATGATGTCATCAACTTAAATTGTTGCCTTTCAAGTGTCACCTCACCCACTTGAATCTCAACGAATATCAGTCATATATGGGTAATTGCATTGGCATTTGGAATAACACCCAAGAATGGGATATTGGTGGAACGTTCTTCCACCTTCGAGGGCACCACTGACATGGGGTCAGACGACAGGGCAAAACGAGAGGGCAAAACGGCACTGTGTGACGAGCAGACGAGGGAGTAGACCAGTGGAGGGGGGCAGAAGGGGGTGGCGGGACGTGGGGGGGTGTGCCAGCGAATAAATACTGACGACAAACGGAGAATATGGAATGAAGACGCAGAACCAAACTCGGTGCAGCTGCACAAGAGAAGAGGCAGGTCTTACATGGAGTGAACCTGGTGCTTCTGGGTGATGCAGGCGACTGGTGACCAGTGATGGTGCCAGGCAGGCACACTGAAGCAGACTGATGCAGACTGATGCAGACTGATGTAGGTAACTTGGTCTTTCAGCCGGTCTGGTCGGTCACTTGGCTGGTTACTTGGTCACAGGCGGGGCTATGCTGGGCAGGATCTTGGCCAATAGCTGCGTGCCACATGGCGGGCTGCCATGCGCGATGGCAGAAGTCATGTCTGGCAGCTGCCTCTCGAGCATGTCGTATGCATCGGCAAAGGCCTGATGTGACACCAAAAACGGGGAAAGGTGGGGGGAGGGGGGTAGGGGTGGGTTGAGGGACAAAGGTCATGTCTGTCTGCCTGACAGCTGCCTCTCCCGCATGTCGTATGCATCGGCAAAGGCCTGATTGGGGGGGAGGGGAGGGGAGGGGAGGGGAGGAGATAGAGAGGGAGCAAGGAGAGGGGTGTGCAGAATCCACACCATCGTGCATCGCCTCAATAATACAACAGCGGCAAGGCAATGCATCAATCACCTTAGTGCCGCCCTTCACACCTTGGTGCACTGCCTCACACCCCTTCACACCTTGGTGCACTGCCTCACACCCCTTCACACCTTGGTGCACTGCCTCACACCCCTTCACACCTTGGTGCACTGCCTCACACCCCTTCACACCTTGGTGCACTGCCTCACACCCCTTCACACCTTGGTGCATTGTAGGATGCGGAAGCAGTTGCGGCCGACATTGTTGGTGGGGTCTAGTGGGTCCTCTATGTGCAATGGATCGATGCTGCCATGCCATGCCATGCCATGCCATACATGCAAACATGCACACATGGGCACACATGCACACACATGCATGCATACATGCACACATATTCCCGCCGATGCGCACACACGCGGACATACACATACATGCACACGCATGCACACACACACACACACACACATGGGCACATGCAAACACATGCACACGTTCACACTTGCACAAAAAAACACAAGTGCGCAACACACACGCATGAGCATGCACGCACATGGGGAGAGACAAGTTGCACCAACACGAGTAAAGGGTGAGCGCTTGGAGCATGTAACAGAGGAATCTGGATCCATGCTATGTATCATGGTGCAAGCTGCACGATGCATGATGCATGATGCAAGCGGGACAAGGCACAATGGAACAGACACCAGAACGGGCACTGGGATTCAATGGCACTACGACGTTGACAAGTTTCAATGGTTTCACAAAACCCACATTTCAGGAAGCTTTCTGGAAGCTTCATGGCAAGTGCGCCTCACCTCTGGGAGCGGTCGCGCTCAAGAAAGGCCCCTCCGAGCCTGATGCTGGCAGCCATGCGCCGGGGGTCAAACACACAACTGGTGGGGAGAGGGGGGAAGAGATGAGAGAGGAGAGAGTGTAGACAGCTACGGCAGGTCAAACAGACAGCGGAGAGAGAAAGGTGACTTAAAACGACGGCTCAAGAAACAGCCATGGACTGGGGGTCAAACACAGAGGTGCGGGGAGTAGGGGAAGACGACTCATGAGAGGAATGGGCGGAGTGGAGGGACACACTGCTGTGCTGTCAGACACAGCTCTCAGGACAGCTAAAAAAGCAACTACGACAGTTCATAAACTTGTATGCATGCTTGCACCCACGCATGCTTGCACCCATGCATGCTTGCACCCACGCATGCTTGCACCCACGCATGCTTGCACCCACCCATGCATGCACCCACGCAGGCATGCGCCCACGCATGCACGCACCCATAGAAGTGCAAGAAGTCAAGCAGCAGGCTGCCCAGGTTCTGCCACTGGGGAGGGCGGCCGATGTGTGGCTGAATCTGGAGGAAACGCGTTATCAGCAGTAACTGATTGTTGAAGGGGGCAGAGAAAGTGGGAGGGGGGAGGGTGGTGTGGGGGGTGCGGGCGGGGTTAGGGAGAAGGAAGAAGAGTAAGGGAAAGCGGTGTTACACTGCGGAAGAAAGGGGAAGGAAGCTCATGCAGAAGGCAAGGGGGGAGAGGCGAGAACAGGCAAATGCGTGCTGCAGAAGACATTTTTTAGGCGCCTAAAAAATCGCAGATGCGTGCCGCCGAAGACTTGAGTCAATAGGCGTGGTGAAGGGGAAGGGGCACGTGGAGTGGAGTTGACTTTTGAGACGTCTCAAAAAAAAAAAAAAAAAAAACTTGAGTGAATAGGCGTGGTGAAGGGGAAGGGGCACGCGGATTGGAGTTGACTTTTGAGACGACTCAAAAAAAAAAAAAAAAAAAAAAAAAAAAAAAAAACTTGAGTGAATAGGCGTGGTGAAGGGGAAGGGGCACGCGGAGTGGAGTTGCACGAAAGGCGGACGAGGAGAGAGAGACATCTGTAGAGGACGTGGGAGGACGGACGGGGCAGTGGGTCAGAATCAGCACTGATGAGAGCCGGAGGGGGATGCATGTGGCAACTCACGAGGCAGTGGGAGGAGAGGCCCCCAGTGTAAGGTTGGTCAAGGCTGTCTCAAACCAGCTGAGAGGATGCGGACTGGAGAACAAAGAAAAACTACTCAGAGACATCAGTCGTACAAGACAAGGGGCAGGAGGAAAGGGAAACACATGACGACTCACGAGGCAGTAGGAGGAGAGGCCGCCCGTGTAGGGATGGTTGAGGCTGCCTCACCCCATTTTCGAAAACGCGGAGTGAAGAACACAAGAGAGACCATGGAACAAGGGGGCTAGGTGGGGAGTTGACGACTCACGAGGCAGTAGGAGGAGAGGCCGCCTGTGTAGGGATGGTCGAGGCTGCGGTCTGTGAGGAACTGCTTGAGCACGAGGGCCAGTGGTGGGATGGCTGGGAACTGCGCTGTCAGTTCACGCACCTGCAGGGGGCACACAGAAGGGGAGAGGAGGGTGGTTACAATGGGCAAGTACGACGGGAGGATTCGGGCTGCGGTCTGTAAGGAACTGCTTAAACACCAGAGCGAGTGGTGGGATGGCTGGGAACTGCGCCGTGAGCTCACGCACCTGCAGGGAGCAAGGGCCAACAGAGGGGAGAGGGAGCGAGAAGCAGGCGGGGTATTAGGCTCAATTACGCCAGCAGTGCGCAGCGCAGCACAGGCCCGATTGTGTCACCAGTTGACAGGCGCCGACTCAAGCACGCCTCACACTGATCCACCAGCTCATGCGCCCAGCCAAAACGACTCACAGCAACCTACCAGCTCAGCAGTGCCTCAGCCAGCTCAGCCAGCTCAGCAGTGCCTCAGCCAGCTCAGCCAGCTCAGCAGTGCGCAGGCCGGAGTGTGAGCCGCCTTCAAAGCTGATGTCCAAACGCACGTTGCGCCGGTCGTCCACATTGCCCCACGGGCCCCTCACCCCTCCTCTTAATACTTGCACCGGCACCTGCACTCAAGCGTGCCTCAAGTGTGCTCCAAGCGTGCCTCAAGCGTGCCTCAAGCGTGCCTCAAGCGTGCCTCAAGCGTGCCTCAAGCGTGCCTCAAGTGTGCCTCAAGCGTGCTCCAAGCGTGCCTCAAGCGTGCTCCAAGCGTGCCAGCTCACCAGTTCAGCAGTGCGCAGGCCCGAGTGTGCACCGCCCTCAAAGCTGATGTCCAACCGCACGTTCCTGCGGTCGTCCACGTTGCCCCACGGGCCCCTCGCCCCTCCCCTCACCACCTGCACCTGCACCTCCCCCGCCCCTGCTGCTGCTGCTGCCTTTGGTGTCTCCTCAAAAGGCAACTGCACCCGCTGCACCTGCTGCACCTGCACCTCCCCCCCTGCCTCCCTCCCTCCTAGGTTCTCCAACCCCTCCTCTGGCTTCTCCAAGCCCCCACCTGCCCCCCCCATTGCCTCTTCTTGTACCATATTCTCCTCTTGTACCATATTCTCTTCTTGTACCATATTCTCCTCTTGTACCATATTCTCTTCTTGTACCATATTCTCTTCTTGTACCATATTCTCTTCTTGTACCATATTCTCCTCTTGTACCATATTCTCTTCTTGTACCATATTCTCCTCTTGTACCATATTCTCTTCTTGTACCATATTCTCCTCTTGTACCATATTCTCTTCTTGTACCATATTCTCTTCTTGTACCATATTCTCTTCTTGTACCATATTCTCTTCTTTCTCTGTCTGATTCCCCTTTTGTGTCTCCACCTCACCCACCATCTCCCCATTTCGTTCCCCCTCCACGGCCACTGGATTTGAATCTTCTCTTGCAGAGGTCCGGCTTGTGCTGCTGTTGGCAGCAGCAGTCGTGACTGGTGTGAGACTCATGCTGCTTCCACCTGCTGCTGTGGGAGTAGAGGAAGCAGCAGAAGCAGCATAAGAATGAAGCAGAAGCAGAAGCAGAAGTAGAAGCAGAAGCAGAAGCAGAAGCAGAAGCAGAAGCAGAAGCAGAAGCAGAAGCAGAAGCAGAAGCATAACCAGAAGCAGAGTAAAAAGAAAAGCAGCGCAGGAGCAGAAGCAGACGCAGCAGCACTGGCGCTGATCTCATCTGCCCTGACACGTGAATACAAAGGCTCACCTCCTGCGTTTGCAGTTGCCACATCAGCAGAGGCCAAGTCAGCAGGGCCGGCGTTGGCAAGGATGCTCGGAGCTACATCAGCAGTGGCAGCAGGTGCCACGTCAGCAAGGACAGCAGGCGCCACGTCAGCAAGGACAGCAGGCGCCACGTCAGCAGAGAGGCGGGATGTGTGGGCAGGGAGGCGGGCAACGAGCATGATGATGGGCACCATGGCGTTCTCGATGGTCTTGATCGAATCGCTCTTCACCCAATCCTGGTCCGCCAGGTGGCGCGCCGCGTGCTGCAGACACGTCTCCTTGATGCCGTTGCGTCCCTCCAATATGCCCGCCTCCTTGATGGGCTCCTGGTGATACGTGGACATGCAGACGAGATGAGGGAGGGGGCGGCAGAGCAGGCAGCCGAGGAAGTAACCACACTGGTAAGCATTCAAGGAACAACCAGAGAGAGTGCCTTGTTGATGCCGTTGCGCTCCTGGTGTCACATATATCTGAGATGAGACAGGGTGGAAGCGGGGGGAAAGGAAGCAAGTCTATGCAGCAGCAAGAAGTGAAACGAATGATGCTCTCCCTCACGAGGTTCGTAAGACGCAGAAGCTGCACGAAAGGCAGGGCGAGCGAGCGAGCGTGTGGGGCCCATCCAGGCCCACACCGCACATCAAGAGAGGAAGAGGAAGAGAGAGGAGCGAGAGGGAGAAGGAGCACCTGATACTCTCATCTCACCAGGTTGCGGACAGGCGCCAGGTGCACGAGGATGTCAACGTCACTGGAGGGCAGGGCGAGCGAGCATGCAATGGTGAAGCACTATGTACCACAGCACACAGCACACTGTTTTACCAGGTTTCTGACGGGCGGCAGGTGAACGAGGATGTCAACGTCACTGGAGGGCAGGGCGAGGCCCGTGGCATTGGAGCCGAAGATGGACACTCGGGAGCGCGGCCACAGCACCTGAGGGGGATGGGATGGGAACAGCGGGTGGTTTGTGTTAGTACAAGAGGAGTTATGAGTGACGTACGCACGGAGCTTGAGCACTGAACTGAGAAGTGTGCACGGCATATTCATATTCATCTGGGAGCCATTCTTGAAAATTCTTAAAAAAGGCATTCTTGAGAATTCCAAAAAAAAAAAACACACACACACACACACACACACAAAACAAAAGAACTTGAGACTTGTAAAAAAGTACGTCAGCGCCCACCAACTCAACCACACTCCGTTCGCCTCCCACCAATAGTTTGCCGCCCACACTCTCAAGCCTCACCAACCACTGACTGACCTGCAGCGTGCGAGAGACTTTGGTGATGGCAGCGAGCTGGTAGGGCTTGCGGGCGCGCATCTCCCCCATCACCTGTAGGCAGAACGCCTCGATCTCCTCGTGCAGCGCGCTGTGCAGCGCTGCTAGGGCTGGCTGCGAGGAGGGGTCTCCCCGGCAGCAGCGATCGACCAGGATTATGGTGGGCAGCTGGGGGGGGTGCAAAAGGGGGCGAATGGGGAGAGACGGGGCAATTGGAAAGCAAAGCAGAACGCCTCGATCTCCTCGTGCAATGCGCTGTGCAGCGCTGCTAGGGCTGGCTGCGAGGAGGGGTCTCCCCGACAGCAGCGATCCACAGGGATGATTGTGGGCAGCTGGGGGAGGGGGAGACGAGGGGAGGGGATTCAACACAAAATCCACAGTCGGATATTTCAACTTGAACATATCTAGGGTATCCTATCGACTCTGTCAGACACCATTCACCCTGTCAGCTAGGCTCTCACCTTGACTGGCACCAGAGCTCTCACTCCTTTTGAGGCGCCTCAAAAGTCGTAACATATCAAGGGCATCCTATCGACTCTGTCAGACACCATTCACCCTGTCAGCTACGCTCTCACCTTGACTGGCACCAGAGCTCTCACTCCTTTTGAGGCGCCTCAAAAGTCGTAACATATCAAGGGCATCCTATCGGCTCTGTCAGACACCATTCACCCTGTCAGCTATGCTCTCACCTTGACTGGCACCAGAGCTCTCACTCCTTCCGGAACTGCCCTCGAGTTGACTCAGAAGCACATCAAGGGCACCCTATGGATTATCAAACAACAACATTCACTGTGACACCCTGTCAAGGAGTGACACCCTGTCAAGGAGTGACACCCTGTCAAGTAGTGACACCCTGTCAAGGAGTGACACCCTGTCAAGGAGTGACACCCTGTCAAGGCGTGACACCCTGTCAAGGAGTGACACCCTGTCAAGGAGTGACACCCTGTCAAGGAGTGACACCCTGTCAAGGAGTGACACCCTGTCAAGGAGTGACACCCTGTCAAGGAGTGACACCCTGTCAAGGAGTGACACCCTGTCAAGGAGTGACACCCTGTCAAGGAGTGACACCCTGTCAAGGAGTGACACCCTGTCAAGGAGTGACACCCTGTCAAGGAGTGACACCTTGTCAAGGAGTGACACCCTGTCAAGGAGTGACAGCCCACCTTGACTGGATCGAGAGCGAGTGGCGGCACCGGTGCTCTCACTCCTTCAGGAACCGCCCTCCCTCCCATCCCCATCGCCCTCACCCCTCCCATCAACCCCTCTCCACCACCTCCACCGTCTCCTCCCCTTTCACTCGCCCCTTGCCCAGCACCCATAGCTGCAGCAGCTGCAGCAGCAGCAGCGGCGGCAGCAGCAGCAGCGGCAGCAGGAGAGGGTAACCCCCACAACGCCCTGCCACCCCCACCCTGCCCCACACCTAGCCCACCCACAGGCAGCCCCACCGCCCCTCCCATCCCTGCCGCTACCGCCGCCGCCGCCGCAGCTGCAGCAGCCGCAGAAGCCGCACCAGCAGCAGCATTTTCTCTCACCATCACCGCCTCTCTTGCTGCCGCCACCGCAGCAGCAGCGGCAGCAAAGCCAACGCCGCCCGGAGCACTACCGGGCAGGAGGCCCCAATGCCGGGGACTAGAGCTCCCAGACCGCACCCGGAAGTACCCCCGGGACCTGCCCGCGCCTGCCACAGGGGAGGGTGGAGGCGGGGGAGGTGCCTCCTGGGGCGGTTGGTATCTGAGGACGGGGGAACTGGGGCGTTTCCAGGAGCGCATTCGCCCCGCCATTGCTGCTGCATGAGAGGATGGTTTGGTGTTGCTGCTGGTGGTGCTGCTGCCACCGCTGCCACTGCTAACGCTGATGCTCATGCTGCTGCGGCTGCTGGGTGTGGGAACGCGGATCGGTCCTGGTAGGGTGAATCCTCCTGCTGCGGTGATGGTGGCAGGTGCAGCAGCAGCAGCAGCAGCAGCAGGAGGAGGAGGAGGAGGCATGCCTGGGGCGGAGGGTGCTGATGCTAGGCGTGGGCTGGGGGATATGGCTGGGCTGGGGGGGAATGGTGGGCTCAAGGAAAGGGATGTGCCTGGTGGTACGGCTGGGCCTGAGGATATGCCCGTGCTTGGTGGTGATGTGACGACGGCTTGGGGAGTGTTGAAATCACAGCTCGGGTGCTGGATGGGCTGATTGTGGATATGCTGCATCTGAACCTGCTGCTGCTGCTGCTGCATCTCCTGCTGCTGCTGTTGTTGCTGCGATTGATGGGGACTTAAAGGGGCAGCAGTGACAGCAGCTGCAGCTGCGGTTTCCTCTGATGCTTTGATGGAAGAAGAGCGGGAGAGCGGAGGGGTGCGATGATACATTTTCCCACCGCCGCTGCCGCCAGTTCGCCGAAGGCCCATAGGTGAGCTGCTACTGCTGGTGCTGCTGCTGCTGCCGCTGCTGCTGCTTGCAGGAAAGCCCACAGCAGATGGAGACCCAAGCACTGGCTGAAGTAGCTGAAGAGGCTGGGGACGGCGCACGTGCTGCTGCTCAATTATACCACTACCACCCCTCCTCTCATCCTCATCCCCATCCTCCCGTCCGCATGTGCTGTTGCTGCTTCTCCACCCCCCTGCTTCTTCCGTCACACCGGCCTCCTTTCCAGAGCTCCCAGGCCTTACCCCTGCCACACCAGGCGGACCAGGACTCTGCTGCAGCTGCTCCTCACTCCCACGCCCTGTCTCTCCCACGGCCTCAGCTGCAGCTGGCAAGGCTGCAACCCCTGCCCTCACTTGCCCTGTATCACTATCAGCTGTGCGGCCTTCAACCAGCAAAGTACCTGAATCTGCACCGGCAGTGGGCTCAGCACTAGGCGTGGAAGTAGGTGTGGAGGTAGACTTAGGAGAGTCGGCAGTGGAAACAGGAGTGACAAAAGCGGCTTCACTAGTGGTACCTTCTCTGGCTGTTGCAGCAGGATGCGCACTGCTGCTCACTTGTGTTTCATCTTGTGCAGTTATGAACTCGTTGCCAGCACTGCCACCTTCCCTTGCACGCTCACCACCCTCCCTCTCACCACCATCAATGATGGCATTCCCACCTTCCCTATCTGAGATTTCGGGACATACAGGGCCTTGTGTTGCTGCTGCTGGTATTGCTGTTGCCACTGATGGTACTGCTCCTGATACTGCAGGTGCTGCAGGTGCGACTGCTGCTGCTGGTGCTGCTGCTGCCGCTGGCGCTGGCACTGCCACTGGTGCTGCCTCTGTTGCCAGTGGAGCAGCGGAATCACTGACTCGAATAACAACCACACCCGCCCCGCTGGCCTTCTGCCCCACTACACGTACCGGATCACTCTCAGACCGGGCCAACCCCATTCCCCGAGGCCGCCCGTGCTGTTGTGTCCCTCCACGCCCACTCAACACACCCGCATTGCCGCTGCTGCCACCACTGCCACTGCCACCGCCACCGCCACTGCCACTGCCACTGCCACTGCCGCTGCTAGCATTGCTTGCGCCAGCAGCAGTGGCAGTGGGAACAGCCCCACACAGCACAAGACCCCCACTCCCTGATGACACAAGCCTGCTTCCACCCCTCTCACTTCCACTCCCCCTCCCTGCTCCAGCCAGCTCAAAACGCGGAGAAACGACTCCTGAAACCGCCGCCGCCGCCGCAGCAGCACCGCCACCAGAAACCCCGACAGAACCAGCAGCGGAAATCGGGGCAGCAGCAGCGGCGGAGAGAGAAGCGTGGCGCATGTCAAAGGGGCCAGAGGCAGTGGAGCTGGGCGACGGAATACTCGACCGATCAGTCGACGCAGCAGTCGACAGGCCCATACCCGGTGGATATGACCCCGAAATCGAACCCGAAATCGACCCCGAAATCGGGAACCCCAGAACTATATCATCCACAATCAACCTTACATCCGCCTCTCGTCTCAGCCACGAGCTATCCTCCGACCCTAGTGAAGACCCCGTGCGGGATGCGCCGCCGCTGGCACTGGCCCCTCGGTAATCCGCCATGTTCCAGTAAAACACCCCCCCGCCAAACACGTTCCTATAGTCCACATCGTTATCATCATAAGAGAATCGCGTCTCTTCAGTCCCACTGCTGCTTCCAGCACCTCTACCCCCAAGTATACCTCCCTCAGGTGCACCTCCCCCAAGCATACCCGCCCCCATCCCTGGGATTCTATGCCCTGACGGGCCCTGTATCGCCCCTATTCCAGCCCCGCCGCCCCAGCCCATTCCCGCAGGCCCCATGGCTCCGTGCATGGCCTCTTTTCCATACATCCCCCTCCCGGACCGGTAATTCCGAGGGTAAAACACCCCACGTCGCTGGGCTACCAGCGGAACGCTCTCGTCCTCTGAGAAGTACCCCCTGTCGCTGGCGCCGCCCACAAACTCGGCAAAATCTTCCTCTAGCATCTGATAGTTCTCCCCTGCTAGTAACGAATCATCTGTGAAATTCTCCAAGGACCAATCCTCTGACTCCCCTTCCTCAGTCCCCTCTCCTGCTGCGCCCTCCCCGTCCCCATTCCCATCGTTGCCCCCTGTTCCATCCTGGCTGGCCCTGCTGCTTCGAGCCCAGCAGGAGGTGCGTCTGGAGGGCGCTGATAAGGGCGTGCTAGGGGCTTGCACTGCCGTTTCAGAGGAGTTGTCCTCGTTATTTGCAGGAGCACCGTTAGCAGGAAGAGCTTGGCCCTGGAATTCAAACTCCCTGTCACCCTGCCTAGCATGCCCACCAGCACTTGCCACAACATCAGAAGCACCTGCAGAGGCTGTGGCAGATATCGCAGTACCAGCAGCAACCGTGCCAGCAGTAGCCCCAGGATCCCCAGCAGCAGCAATAGCGACCGTGGCAGCTGTAGCAGAGGCGTTCCTGTCTCTGCCAGTGGCGCCAGGGCGGCTGGCTTCGTCCCCTTCACCCCGCCTTGCAGGAACAGTGATGCGCAGGGGAGGATGGTGATGACCTGCGCCAGCAGCGCTAGCACTACTACTACCTGCCCCTCCGTCTCTCCCTCTCCCTCCACTCCCTTCCCCTCCTCCCACCATTTCCCCCCTACCTGTGCTACCCGCTTGGCTTGCATCTATTCCCATCCTCCCTCTTCCATCCGGTTCCACTGCACAATCCGTATCTTCTCCTCTCACCCGTCTCCCATCATCCCCACTCACAAGACCTCCCTCCTCGCCTCTCACCCGCCCCTCTTCATATCTCCGCTCCTCCCCATCCCTGTCCACAGCCTCAGGGACCACAGGCGGCGCCACAACCACTGGCTCAGGCAAGCAGTGGGGGGGGGAAGAGCGAGAGGCAGCAAGAGGGGAGGCAGCGAGGGGGGAGGTGGCGAGGGGGGAGGTGGCGAGGGGGAGGTGGCAGAGGGCTGGTTTGGCAGGGACGGATGGTGCAGATGCAACTGTTCAAGAGTAAGGCGTGAGGCAGAACTTGAGCTGCCGCTGTCGGATGACCCAGCCACGTGGGACCCACCATGCACTGCGCTCTGGCTGGCTGCTGTCGCGTGCGGGTGGGGTAGGTGGGGCAAGTGGGAAAGGTTGGGCAGATGAGGATGGTGGGGAAGGTGGGGAAGCGTGGAAGGGATAAGATGGCCTGAATGCCATCCAGAGACGGGGTGGGAGAGGGCGGCGTGAGCGGGAGGAGCAGAGCACGGGAAAGGGGGCTCCGGAGGGTGGAGTTCCCTAGGCGGCCCAAGCACACCAGGGTAGCGCGCGTGAAACGCCTGAAACGGCTCGTCTACTGAGATAGAGCCTGGGGCGCAGTCATAGCGGAGGTGGTAGGGGTGCGGCGGAGGAGGAGGAACAGTCCCTGCCTCAAATGCAGCGTTTGAAAGGCAGTCATAGTAATAGGGGCGTGACCAGGCGGGCTCTGCAGCCCACGTGGAGACAGAAGGGGGAAACAGGGAGTGCAGGGGATGCAGATCAGGATGGAGGGGGTGGAATTGAGGGGCATGTAGGTCAAGGGGTTCCAGGTGAGGGGGGCATGGGCCTAGCAAGCCTGCTTTGATGATTGGAGAAGGGTGAAGTGCTGGTGATGTGCTGGTAGCAGGCATTGATGCTGATTGAGGAGAGACACAAGGGGAGGAAGCCGCAGAGCTGGAGGCTGCTGCTGCTGCAGCGGTCATGGGAGCCGCGGCAGCAGAAGAATTAACAGTAGGATCTGGAGCAACTGCAGCAGAAGCATCAGCAGGACTAGCGGCAGAAGCAGAGGCAGAAAAAGAGGCAGAAGCAGCGCTACCACTAGATGCGGACACAGAGGGATTGGCCACGGCGGAAGCAGGGACATCAGCAGAGAGAGTGGAAGAGACAAGGGAAGTGGAGTGGGAGGAAGCAGCGGGGGACGAGGGCAGGCTGGGCGGCCGGGGGGGCAGCTGGGCAAGGTGGAGAGCAGAGGGACGCTGCCACAACCAGGGCCACCGCCCTGACCCCTCCAAATGCAGCGAATTGATCATCGACTGCTGCTGCTGCTGCTGCTGCTGCTGCTGCTGCTGCTGCTGCTGCTGCTGCTGAAACTGCTGCTGGTGTAAGAGCATTTGATACTGCTGCAGCTGGTACTGAGGGTGCGCGTATGGGTGTGGTGAGTTGAAGGGAGGGGGTTGTAAAGGAGCAGCGGATAAGGAGCGTGGCCAAGAAGGGTGGAACCCTGGCCACTCGTGGTGGGGGGAAAGGCGGGAGGCGTGTTGGGGGGAGAAGGGGAGGCGCATGGGGGGGAACTGGCGCTGAGAGGGAGTCTCCTTCTCCTCGCAGGACTGCTGCTGCTGCAGTAGCTGAGGGGGATGTGTTTGTGATGGCACTGAGACCTGCTCTGGTGCCTCGCCTGGGAAGAAAGGAGGGGCATCTGGTGAAGGCACGAACTGCGAGTGCTTGGCAGCATCTGAATCACTGCTGGTGTCACCTGCATGCCCCGCCTCGATTCTCCCAGAGGAAGGGGCATCTGGTGAAGGCACGAACCGCGACTGCTTGCCAGCGGCAGGAGCATCAGAATCGCTGCTGCTGTCATCTGTGCTTCTCCCAGGCTCGTTCGCGCTTCTCCCAGTAGGAGGGGCATCTGGTGAAGGCACTAACTGTACCTGCCTGCCAGGTGGTTCTAGCCCCCTGCCAGTAGCGGGGAGAGCGCCTGAGCTGAATGGCTGAGGGGAGGGCGATGTAGGGGAGGCAGATGTGGGGCTAGAGGAGGGAGATGTGGGAGGTGGAGAGGAGGAGAGGGGGGGGATGTGCTGTGATGGTTCGCCCCGGGAGCGGCGCATGAGGGGCGAGAGGAACGGGAGGGCCTGGGAGGGGTCTGTGGACGTTGCTTGGCTGGCCTTGGGTAGTTGCAGCAAAGGGAGAGGGGGGAACGCTGAGAGCGACAGGTCGAGTTCGGTAGGGGAGGAAGAATTTTTAGAGCGACGGGCCAGGCTGCTGCTGGCAGTGCCACTGCTGCTGGCAGTGCCACTGCTGCCAAGTGAAGCTGAAGGCTCTGACACTGCTGCTGCTCCTGCTGCTGATACTGACGACGCTGCTGCCGTTACTGCAGGTGCTGAGACTCCAATTGCTGCTGGGGATGCTAGCAGGGAAGGCACTGCATCAGAATCAGAAGGCTGCGGGGCAGCAGGAGTTGAAGCACATGCATGAGTCAGCAATGCAGTAACACAAGTTCTGCTTCTGCCTCCTGTTGCTGCCCCTGCTGCTGGCTTTGCTGCTGCTGCCCTTTCTGCTCCCCCTGCTGCTCCTCCCTCTGCTGCTTCCCCTGCACGTCTTGCAGGTGTTGCGGCTAGCGGTACTGTTGGAATTGGAACTGCAGCAGGTTTGTTACTAGATGCCTGCACAGCAGACGAACCAGAGCTCGACTTTCCTTGATCCTCCTTCTTTCCACCTCTGGCTCCTCCTATCCGTTTCCCATGCCTTTGTTGCTGCCTTTGGGTGGATCCACCACCGCCACCACCGCCGCCACCACGGCTGCTGCTGTTGCCACTGCCGCCGCCGCTGACGCCGCACCCTGCTGGTCCCTTCTTGTACACCAGATGCCACTCACCACCATCACCACCACCAGCACCAACAGCACCACCATCACCACCACCACCACCACCTTGCAGTGACCCAGGCAGACCATCACAGGCAAGATCCGCACACACAGATTCACCCATGATACCCTGCTGTACCTCCTGCACCACTGGCGGACATACATCACGACTGCCCTCCACTGCCACTCCACCCTGCTCCACTGCACCCGCCGCTGCTCCACCCTCTTTTCCATCCTCTTCTCTGCAACCCATGCCCCCCATACTCTCCTCTTCAGCTTTGAGTCGACTCAAAACTAAACCCTGCTCCACTGCACCCCCCGCTGCTCCACCCTCTTTTCCACCCCCTTCTCTGCAGCCCATGCCCCCCATGTTCTCCTCTTCAGCTTCCTCGTCCTTAGCAGCAGCCTCCGCATCCACTGCACTGCCATCCTTCCCCTTCCCTTTCTTCTTCTTCTTCCGCTTCCGCCCCTTGCTCTGCCCCCCACTGCAGCTACTGCTCCCACCGTCCCCCAGTCCTTTCCCATCCCCTCCCACCTGGCCCTTACTCTCCCTCTCCCCCTGCAGCAGCTCCAGCTGAATGGCTGTCCGCAGGGACGCGTCAATAGCAGAGGCGATTCGAATCTTTGCGCTGCTTAACACAGAAGAGGCTTCGGTAAGGGGGGATAGGAGGGTTCGGGGGAATATGCAAGCAGGTTGAGAGGAAAGGGGCGAGGACGAGAGAGCGGCAGAGGAGGGATCAGAGGAGGGAGACGATGAAGGGTGAGAGGGAACAGGGGAAGGAGAAGCAGAGGAGGCAGCAGCAGAAGCAGAAGCAGAAGCAGAAGCAGCAGCAGCAGCAGCACCCCCGCGCGACTGCAGCAGTGTCTCTGATTGACAACACTCGGGCACAGCACCAGCACTCCTCTTCCCACACAGCCCATCACCACCACCTGCCCCCAGGCCATCAGCACAAGTAGCAGCAGCAGCACCAGCGGCAACAGCACCAGAAGCAGCAGCAATGAGCGGAGCCAACTCCAAGAGGGCGAGGAGGCCCGCCACCCAGGGTCCGGCAGGGGAGCGGCCGAGGCGGTCCCAGGAAAGAGCGGAAAAGGCAATGGGCGGGCCGCAGTTGGAGCAGGGGTTCAGAAACAGCCCGTCCAGACAGATAGCATGCGGGCTGGTGCTCGGGGCAGCACAGTTGCTGCTGCCATTAGCAGAAGAGCCCATGATGCTGCTGCTGGAACCCATGCTGCTGCTGTCTGTGGCGGCGCCCATGTTGGTCCCAGTAGCAGGACCGACGATGCTGCTGCTGCTGCTGCTGTGCGTGGCTGAGCACAAGTGGCGGGAGACAGAGTGGCGGGCGGTGAGCAGTGAGGGGTGCAGGGAGGCTCTGTTGCGGTGGATGATGCGGATCAGGTGGTGCTGGGAGAAGTGCGCCCGCGCTGCCTCCGCTTGCCTCACAGTCGACATGGCCTGGTTGGGGGGATCGGGGAAATTGGAGAAACGCTTGTGATTGATGATAGAGGAAAGGTTCTGTTGCGGTGGATGATGCGGATCACGTGGTGCTGGGAGAAGTGCGCCCGTGCTGCCTCGGCTTGCCTCACAGTTGACAGCGCCTGGATGGGAATGCAGGAAGATAATAATATTCAAGAGAATGAGAATGTAGTTGGTTGGTAGTGATGATCACCAAGCCAGCACTACCATCTGATGCCAGAGAAGTAGAACGTTGAAATCTACAGGCAGCAGCAGCGCTTATTTATTATGGATGGCATTTCTGCTCAACAGAACCCCACTACCCACCCACCCACCCAGCATAACAGACGCAATCTACGGTACAACAGAATGCGCTTTTGAGAAATCTAAAAGATACCAAATCCCCAGCTCACCTCAGCCTTGGCAGCAAGGCACACTGCGCCTTGAAGCGTCTTTGCCTCTGTGATACCAGCGCCCTGCTTCTCCCTCCACCACCGTTCTACCCTCTCCACTTGCGACAGTGCCGGGCACTCTGTATGGGACTAAAAATAAGACGAGTACCAAACAGCAACCCCCAACTCACCTCAGCCTTTGCTGCGAGGCACAGGGCGCCCTGAAGCGCCTTTGCCTCGGCGCCACCAGCGCCCTGCTTCTCCCGCCACCACCGCTCCACCCTCTCCACTCGCGACAGCGCAGGGGACTCCGCAACTCTGCTCTCACCCCCGCTCCCACCACTACCCCCCCCACTACTCCCACTGCAAACACTACCATCATTACCGCCGCTATTACCAGCAGCTGCTGCAGCAGCAGCACCTGTGACGCATGCAGAAGCAGCAGCGGCGCCTGCTGGCGCTGCTACTACCGCTCCAAGGCACCTGGCGCGGTCCCAGGCGCGCCACAGGTGAATTTCCAGGCGGCTGGCAACAAAGGCCGCCAGCGGGTAGAACCCCAACGCCTGCAGCCACGGCAGCTCCTCCCAGGAATACTGCCCCTGCCCGCTGCTGCCGCCGCCGCTGCTGCTGCTGCTGCTAGTATTATTACTGCCATGACCGCTGCTGCTGTTGCTGCTGCTGTTAATGGTGGTGGTGCTGCTGCTGCTGGAAGAATGGGTTCTTGCAGGCGCTTTGGTGAGGAATCCTCCCCAGGAAATCTCCTCCATGACCGTGAAAAAGAGGTCGACGTTAGCTAGTAACGAGTCAGCCAGTGTGAGGGAGTCTACAGATGGCTGCACCACCTGCTCCTGAAACGACCCACGTGTAGCATTGTTACTACTTGAATTAGTACCTGTACAAGCGACATCAAACTTTTCCTGCAAAGCACCTGCCTGTTTTCCTAGCCCCCTCGCCTCCTGCTGCACCGAAGGACTCGGAGAAGGCGAGCAGGAGGAGAAGAGCCTGATGGCCGATTCGATTCGCCCAGCCGCCCACTGCTGCCGCCCCAGCCGCGTCCACAGCCCTTCACACCGTTTGAAGCAGATGGCGGGCAGAGGAGGACCCGTTGACAGCTGCTGAGAAGACAATTCCCTAGGCTTCCCCACGAGCTGCGGCGGCGTACCGGCCTTGTCCACCGGAAAGCCGTCAAAACCGTCAGTTCTGGGTGTGCAAGGCGTAGCCGTCTGGGTACTACCCAGACTACCCAGAGGCGTAGCCTGGTCATTGCAAGGCGTAGCCTGGTCGTCAGTCCTAAGAGGTAGTCCTGGGTCCTGCCGTCTCGGTACTACCTCCGCCAGTTGCTCCTCCGGGTGTCTTGCTGTTTTTGAAACATCCTCCGCTCCAACGCGACCACCGCTGGGCTTGCCTTTCCTTTTCCCGCCACCTCCCTTGCTCCCCTTCCCTCGCCCTTTACTGTGACCATGGGAAGCACAAGTAGCAGCAGCAGCTCCCGCACCCGCTCCCCCACCCGCACCCGCACCCGCGCCCGCGCCCGCAGACGCTTTATGCAGCGATTCAGATGCACACGGCGCTGCCTTGCGCGAAGCCTCCTGGGTGGTGACTGTTACGGGGGATTGCTCGAGCATGTCAGAGAGAACTATGAAGTGACCCGGGCCGTTCATGCGCACGTGAGCCGCCATCAGAAGGAGAATCTGCGTCCACTGCGGGTCCACTACTGTGAAAATCCGCCGCCGCGAGTCCACGTCCAGCTGTCTCACCCATGCCTGAATCAGCTCCTTAGGCGAACGCGTGGGAGAAATTCTAGCAACTTTAGCAGACGCTCCTGTACTGGTCCCTCTGATTGACCGTCTCTGACGTGGTTCAGCGGCGGAATTGGATGACGACAAAGACGCGTGTTGAGCCTCGCGCCGGCATGCAGTGCGGTGGAACGCGCCGAGATGCTCCGTCAGGGAATCCAGTAGTTCCTGCGTTTCCGCCATGAATTCGTCTCGGAGTTTGTCTAGGGATGACCTTTGAGTAGACTTAACGGTTGCCGAGATGCTCCGTCAGCGCATCCAGCAGCTCCTGCGTCTCCGCCATGAATTCGTCTCGGGGTTTGCCTCGAGCTGACCTTTGAGTAGACTTAACGGTCGCCGAGATGCTCCGTCAGCGCATCCAGCAGCTCCTGCGTCTCCGCCATGAATTCGTCTCGGGGTTTGCCTCGAGCTGACCTTTGAGTAGACTTAACGGTCGCCGAGATGCTCCGTCAGCGCATCCAGCAGCTCCTGCGTCTCCGCCATGAATTCGTCTCGGGGTTTGCCTAGAGGTGACCTTTGAGTAGACTTAACGGTCGCCGAGATGCTCCGTCAGCGCATCCAGCAGCTCCTGCGTCTCCGCCATAACGTCTGTGATTGCCTTGAAATTTGGCCTAAAGGTGACGTCTGTCTGAGTCGACTCTGTTATCCTGGCGGTGACGTATGGGTCAATTCATAAGCCGCTCAGATTCACTGTCGGCGCATCCAGCAGCTTCTGTGTCTCCGCCATTGACGGCGACTCGGAGTTGAATTGGAATGAGGGCACGAGGTGCGAGAGCGAGAGAGGACACGTTGAGGGAGAGCGGGGGAAGGAAAAGATTTCGGCTTGACTCCTGGCTTGATTTCGGGGGACAGTTTATTATGTGACGCGGTCTTCGCGCTGGGCTGTTTCAATTCCGAAGACAGGCTTCGCGATCTTCCAACGCATTCGTCCAAATAATACAGAAACTGCTGGAAGGAAAAAGTGAAGGCCGGACACGTGTCGCGTATAAACACTCTTGATACTACCACAACCTGCCACGGGAGGAGTTAGACAAACCACGTAGGTTCACGACATCCCTGCCCGACGGCAATCCGTCGGTCGGCTCTCCGGAAAAGTCGGTACTACGGTATGCACTGTATGAATTGTGATTCTGGAACGACTTCCCGACGTGTGGGCTGCTCGTGTCAAAACCAGTGTCGTTGATGACAGAGATTCCGCTCTGCTCACCAGTAAAGCAGATTAGGAAGGAACGGTATAGCCGGAGTGTACCTTTCCAAATAAAAACATTTGCAATTTCCTCACACTAACCTCTGTGTCAATAATTCTTTCAGTACTACCTCAGGAAAACTGTATGTTCTCAACACAGCTAATCAGTTGAGCGTACTTATGTTGAATGGAAGCTTGTTAATTACGTTACAATACCAAATATGGAGTGGTGGTTATATTATATCCTACATTATAGGTAGAGAAGGAACTAAGCGCTATGTTGGAGTGTGAAGGGAATACACTTAAGCATTCCCGAAGGTGCAGCTACATCGCACCAGTCACTATCGAAGCAGCGCGAGCAGTAAAAGTCGGATCAGCCTATACCAAAGGCAGGAAGGTCAACAGGCGCAAAAGTCAACTGTCGCGACTGTTGACCATCTGGACCGACGATTGACTCACCATCGAGGAATGTCAACAGGCGTAACCGCACGCACGGTTACAAGCAGCGACTCGGTAACAAGAAAGGAAATGCAACAGTCAGAGTCACTGTTGTACTGCCTGTAAAACAGTTATAATAAGGGAATGTACCCCTTAGAGTACATGGCTAGTTAGGACTATTTATTTGCTTGTATTCTATCCTCTAAACCAACTTTGTCATTTACATTCACTATGATCAAGGTTCCTACCAAGACTTCCGCTACCAACTCTCCTAGAGGTACTTCCTATCCCATCCAAGATCCTCACTCTAACACGCTACTATCACCAAAAGAGAGTCCAACCTAAGGTTCAACTGACTGTTTGATTTTCTAATACAGCTTTATAGAGAATTTACAGTTACTGAACAAGGCACCAACAATTTCACCAATAAATTCGTCATTTTTATAGGGGGGTCCATACCGTACATTATTCGCCTGAGAGATGTTTATGGGAGCCAGGACATAGGCGGTTTATACTAGCCTGCTTCAGTAGAGTTCCTGCCAGGAGTTGCTTTACCAGACCCAGCAATCGTATGCTTCTTACGGTAGTCTTCATTACATGACAGCCCTTTAGATCTGCAGGTGCCCAGCCAGCCACCTATCCAGCCAGCTGAATCCTTCAATCTAAACGTTGAAGGTGTGAGCCACAGCCGGTGTGGAGGACCACCTGCATGATATCTTTCATGCTTCTTTCTGTGACGACCTTGTAATGACGAACAGGATGCTTATAAATCGGGGGTTACATTACGTCACAACGATCAGGCTACAATAACTAGAAGTCACTCAACCATATGCATCCACAAGCTGATGCATGATCTACGAAGTGAGTTCCGTCGGGCGAATTAACTTATTGGACGCACGGAGCGACGCAATTAACCTACTTAATACTCTTACTTACGTCATTCGCGATCTTACCAAGAACTTTCACCCAGCACCAAAAATCACACCCGCATCCTTTCTGCTTCTTCTCTTCCGCCTCTTTTCCCGCCTCCGCGGGCGGCGCGGGTGCTGGTTGAGCTGCTGCGTCCGCCATGATGGTGACGTGAAACGTCTGGATCACTTCAGATTATCCTCAAATGTGGCGATCGTACACCCGCGGGTGCAATGCGCACAGGGAGTCTCACGTGTGGTGCGAGCTAGCTACTAGGGTCTGTCCCTCACGCGCCTGCGCGTGGTGCTTGCTGCTAGCGAAGGCAGAGGGGTCTGGAAACTAGAATGTTGCTGGCAAGCCACGCTACAAAAGCCGAAGATGGGGGACGAAAAATAGAGCGTCGTCAAGGACGATGAGCTCAGTTGACGTGACGACGCTTTACGCTCTGGAGCTGGCTGAACGGAGGGTCGCCACCAACTGTGAAAGCCACTGGAACAAGTGGCGGAGATCCAACGTGTGCTTTCGTGCGATTTCCGCCTGGCATAAGTACTGTACAGAGAAGAGGATCACCCATGATCTACGGCGTGCTATTCGTGACGTGCCTAGTCACTAAGGAAATGAACCGCGTGCAATGGCCGTGCTATGCGGTCCAACGGCTGGTGGTGCCGTACAGTAGTGGTTCCAGTTCGGTCCCCCGAACTATCGATTCTGGTCGCAGAGTGTGTGGTGCAGCGTGCGGTGGGGGTGCCGAGCGGCTGATGTTCTCTCCATCATTTAGCCTAAAATTACGTCCACATGCAACAGTAACTGCTGCCAGCCACGAGATTAGATATCTACCCACGGTCTGCAAAGGGCGACTCGAACGGCGTGTCCAGAGAGTACGTCCGAATGCGGTTTAAAACGGTTCGGACATGAGTCAAGAGCTTTATAGATAAGTTACCAGATGGTTGGGTAGGGTTTTCCGCGAATAAGTTGTTGCACGAGTTGATGACCGCCACCGCCACCACCACCAGTGTACATTTAGGGCGATTTTCTCGTACTGTTTGGGCAATTACCACTCTAAAACGTATTGAAACCCACTCGAACAAAGTGTTTAGCAATATCGAAAATGTAACACGCCCTTAGCTAAAAACGAAACTATCCGTGCTTCCTGTTGTCAGTTCCACAACAAACCAGCTTTCACAAAAAGTTCGTTCGGATATTCTTTCAAGGTTCGACAGCGACAGAACACCAAACCTGAATGACTGGCGGAAAGGTTCGCCGCCTCAGGGGTTTTCCGCGCTTCAGTACAATAGGACTTCGATACAGAAAACGTGTGGCGGTAACAATTGTTATTGAATATCAGTGAGACCTTGCTGTCAACTGTAAACATTTCTGTTATGATAATGTAGTTTGCGTGTATTGGTCCACACCTGAATCGTCAGATACGAATATAATGACAAACCCCTACCCGCACAACATGACAAGTGAAGACATTGTTGAGGGCATGAGCTGAGAAGCAGCGAAACAAAACATACCGTAATTGTGCAATACAAAAACAATTGCAATGGCGCAATGTAATTCCAGATCTGCTTTACTAAGCGCGCCGGTTACTGGTCGTTCCTCTCCGTCGCTCTTGCCTGCTCAATCATTCCATCCTTCGCTCTGTCGTTTGCTGCCATGGCCGTTGTAAGGAAAGCTGTTGGAAGAACGAACTGGGACGGGTCACGGGAAAGTAAAGTACCGGAGAAGAATCACAAGGCAGCACAACTAGTTACATATGCCTTCCACAATGCAGCCGATCACAGAACCAATGCTTTCGCACCAATCGCACTCAAAGGGACCCCAGACGCAGCAACCCTGCGCTGCCGGTTTCTCCATATTTATAACTTCCGTAGTCGCTAGGTCAGGCGCTGCGTCCGTCATGATGTAATGGACAACGTTAGACTTGGTACTGATCCACAAGAAGAAAACGTAGACGTAATACACGTGCAGACGTCACAAAAAGGTCGCTATTAGTGAACCCTTCCGAGAGGCTCTCTCATGGCGTACTCGAGATCCAAGAGTAAAAGAGAAGGAAATGGGATAGCCCAACACGCTCAGCGAGAGAATGAACAAGAAGCGACTGTCCCCATTCGAACCGCCACTGTACTGTACTGTGTACCACACCGGCAGTAGACTTCAGCGAACTGAAACGATGTTTACCACTCAAAGTTCGAACTGGAGGCCTGTCGGTCAAGAGACCCTATCATGTTCCACGCCCTAACCTAACCTAAGCAGCGCCGCCGGCACGCCAGCAGACACGTAAGTTGAGGGTATTTTCTGGAAGACCAAGCCAATTGAAAGTATTTTAGGTGCATGTTACCGCGCGCGGTAACTGCAAGTTCGCAGGCCAATGAAGCGGATTGGCTGTTTGCTCCGTCGCTTGCGGTTGTGTTGGGCGACGGTACACCCTGTTTCTGGCCGAGGTAAGTGAAAATGGATCAGGTCGCATTTCGGACCTCCAAACAACCAACTTCCTAACAAGTTGGTCGTCGCACATGCCAAACTTGTTAGGAGGTTGGTTTTTGCACCTCCGAACAAACAACATCCATCACTGACGTTGTCTGTCGCAAATGTACAGTGGCGGTTCGCAGCCACTAAAGTGGCGGAACATTTCACCTATCTGCGATGACCTGTCACTTGGTTACAAATGGTAACACTTGGTCGCAGCTGTTCGGGCAGCTGATACAGAGTTGTTAGGAGGTTCACATCGCATGAAGTCGTACAGAGTCTCAGAACATCGGAAAGAAGTCGCTTGTTAGGAAGTTGATTGTTTGGAAGTTGCCCGAAATGCGACCTCAGCCTACGATACGTGCTAGACGTGGAATATGTGGGAGATGTGCAAGACGCGCGAGTCGTGGGGCCAACATCATAGACATGCAAATTAGTGTGGTAACCCTATCCAATGGTATGCAAAACCGTCGACACCCTAGTTTCAAAGTTATTGACATGCGGACCTATAAGTACGTTCGTTTTAAAATCAAACAACGATCCTTACCACGCTTGACTTCGCACTCAAGCGCGATTTGTTACGGGCCAATAAAAAAATAAAACCCAATTGGAAAGGGATGCAACTCAGGGAGGCATCAACCCTAAAAACAATGCCCTTTCCCGTGTTTAGGGTTGATCACTCCCGGAAAATTTTCAGGTCCGTAGGGGTTCTATTTTTTTCTGCCGTGCCCTAACAATATCCGGTTGCAAGATATTGGATGCAATGTATTGTAACAAAACGGACCCCGTATACTTTCACTCCGATGATTTTTTTTCGTTACATGTATCGTGCACATTTAGCGGAAAATAGTCGCCCGCAGGAATATTTATTAGGCGCAAAACAGGGCGCGGTAAGAACCACAACGATACGAGATCGACAACGCAACCGATGAAATCGCATATTTCTTCCTTTTTTGTGCTACGTCAGCTGTTACACAGTGTTTTGAGTGGCGCTACAGGACAAACCTGCGCAGCAGAGCTGGGGTATCGACGGTTTTGCATACCATCGAATAGGGTTACCAGACTAATTTGCATGTATATGATGTTGGCCCCGAGTCGTGGGATACGTGCGATAGGTGTGAAGCACTTAGCGTGAATGGGGAACAGAATTTCTGTTCTCGCTAGTGACAGCTCCGTTTGACAATACAATTCGTTTTCGCACAGCAGCCTTGCCAGCACCAAACATAAGCTGTAACAAGAAGCATTCATTTAAGAAACTAAAAACATGGATAACAATTCACTAGGAGAAAGATGCTAGTGGTGGCGATACTGCCAGGAGTTCAAGCAACCCGAGCTGCTACCTTGGCTGCACGGTGACCAACAGACCATTCTTCATAAACAATGTGAGAGACACACTGTACTCTATCTTGTGCCCTGGGACTGGCTTCAGGCGGTATTTTGTTAGCACACTCGCTGCCACGGATTTCATCTGCATTCACATGTGAAGAGGGTAACAAAGAGATATCTTCAGAGCTGCAATTGCCGGGTAACAGAGGAGGCTCAAGGCCTGGTGTTCTTGTGGTGAAGACCCATCCGAGGTTCATTCCATGACTGGGTACCATCAAAGCACCATACATGCCAACCAACAAAACACTACACTTGCGGTCATCACCAGGTTTCGTCAAGCACACATTAAGCAAGTCGCACTGACCTGCAGGTAGGCTAGGCCCCTGCCGGCCTCAGAGCCTCAGGGCGACTTGCTATGGAGCTGCCCTGCAGAGTCAATCCACCGGTGAGGGCGGTACTTGCGGGCATGGTACTCAAACCCCGCAGCATGCACCACACACACTCTTTTCGAGACTGACCTGCAGGTACGCCAAGTCCCTGCCGAGGCAGAGCCGCGGGCCGGCGTTGAAGGCCGGGAACTTGAAGGGCGACTCGTTTTTCAGCTGCCCCGAAGCATCAATCCACCTCTCGGGGCGATACTCGCGGGCATCGGGGCCCCAGATGCGAGTCATGCGACCCATGGCATAGAGCGCGTACATGACCCTCCAGCCCTTCTTCACTGGGGTTCCATCAGGTAGGATGTCGTCCTCACTCACATGCCTGCAGCATAAGAGAGGAGGGAGGATGAGGGACAGGGTCATCAGGCTCCTTGACAGATGCGCGTCATGCGCCCCATGGCGTACAGCCCGTACATGACCCTCCAGCCCTTCTTCACTGGCGTGCCGTCTGGGAGGCTGTCGTCCTCACTCACATGCCTGGTGGGAAGGGGAGGAGGGACAGAGAGAAGGAGAAGGAGAAGTAAAGAAGCACATGTGTCATGCGACCCATGGTGTAGAGCACATGAATCACTGCACTTCCAAATCACCCATGTGTCATGTGCCAGCCAGCCCTTGTGCACTGCCATGCGTAGGTGTCGGCCATGGTTCACCAACTGGCGAGTGGTTAAGTGTTACATGTGCACAGCTGAACATAAGTCATGCCGATTCGCTCTTCACAGGTGAACAGAGGGATCGTGGTGCACAGCACAGCATACCTCGTTAGTGGGTGAGCACTCACTTGGTGTCGGCAGGCACGGAGGGGTAGAGGCGCAGAGCCTCATTGAGAGCTGCGTGTGTGTAGGTCATGCTACGCAGCTCATCATACGTGAACGTCTCCCTCTCGTCGCCTGCACGATGGGAAAGGGATGTGAGGGAAGGAAGGAAACAGAGGCGCAGAGCCTCATTGAGAGCCACATGTGTGTAGGTCATGCTGCGCAGCTCGTCATATGTGAACGCCTCCCTCTCGTCACCTGCACGTGGGGAGTGTGGAAAGGGCGGAAATGGGGGCGCAGAGTCTTGTTGAGGGCGGCGTGTGTGTAGGTCATGCTGCGCAGATCGTCATACGTGAACGTCTCCCTCTCGTCACCTGCACGTGGGAAAGAAAGTTGGGAAAAGGGAGGCGGTAAAAGGGAGGTGGAGAGCATGAGGGATAGGGAGGAGATACAACAACCACCCCCCCACTCTCTCTCTCTCTGCTCTCACTTCCTCACACCCTCACACCCTACCTTTATCTCGGCCAGCAATGATGCTCCTCGCCTCCTCCACAATCTTGCTCTCCACGTGCGGGTGCCAGCTAAGCAGCCAGAAGAACCACGTCAGCAGCACGGATGACGTGTCCCTGCCAGCTAGGATGAAGTTGGTGCAGGCGTCGCGCAGGAAGCGCTCGGAATACAGCTGGCCTCCATCGTCCTTCTGCAGCATCATCATCCTGATGGGGGTGGAGAGTGGTGGAAGGAGATTGAGAGGAATCAAGAGGTCGCTCGGATCGGAGTACAGCTGGCGTCCATCGTCCTTCTGGAGCATCATCATCCTTGTGGGAGGGTGGAGAGAGGTGGAAGGAGAAGGAGGGGAAGGGAGATGGAGGGGGATGGAGGGGGATGGAGGGCAGAAGGAGCAAAAGCGAGGGAGGAAGGGAGGGCGAGAGGGGGAACAGACCTGGAGAGGATGTCCGAGTGGCCCAGGGAGACATCATCCCTGCCCTCCTCATCTACGCCCCCCTTACTCAGCCGCAATTACACCGTCCCATCTGACTCAATATGCACATAGAGTCCAAGTAAAAAACAGACCTGGAGAGGATGTCCGAGTGGCCCAGGGAGACATCATCCCTGCCCTCCTGTTCGCCCTCTGCAATCTCTTTCCTCCGCCTCAAATACACTGTTCCGTTTGAGTCACTATGCACTAATACAGACCTGGAGAGGATGTCGGAGTGCCCCAGGGAGACATCATCCCCGCCCTCTTCCTCCGCCTCCTCGCCACCCTTCCTCAACCTCTAGGTGTATTTTGAGTCAGGCTCTAACCACACCGTGTGAGTCACCTCTGACTTAAAACAGACCTGGAGAGGATGTCGGAGTGGCCCAGGGTGACATCACCCCTGCCCTCCGCCTCCGCCTCTGCATCCCCTTTTCTCAAAATACACATTTCGTTCTGACTCACTATCACCTTTATCAACTAAATATACACTTATAGACCAATCAGAACAGACCTGGAGAGGATGTCGGAGTGCCCCAGGGAGACATCATCCCCGCCCTCTTCCTCCGCCTCCTCGCCACCCTTCCTCAACCTCTAGGTGTATTTTGAGTCAGGCTCTAACCACACCGTGTGAGTCACCTCTGACTTAAAACAGACCTGGAGAGGATGTCGGAGTGGCCCAGGGAGACATCACCCCTGCCCTCCGCCTCCGCCTCTGCATCCCCTTTTCTCAAAATACACATTTCGTTCTGACTCACTATCACCTTTATCAACTAAATATACACTTATAGACCAATCAGAACAGACCTGGAGAGGATGTCGGAGTGCCCCAGGGAGACATCATCCCTGTCCTCCTCCTCTGCCTCTGCCCCCCCTCTCTTCAGCCTCTCCAGCTGCTCCTTGCGTGTCTCTATCACTTTGTGCGCGAACTCATCTATCTCCTGAGGAGACGCAGTATGAGGGAGGGACACGAATGCATGACGGAGGTGAGTGGGGGAAGGGTGGTTCTGGGTGGAGGAGGCATGGAGGAGGCATGGAGGAGGCATGGAGGAGGCATGGAGGAAAGAGTACAGATCAAGGGTAGAGGGGTAATAGATGGGAAATCCTACTGCCGTAATGCATGCATGTAGCATGTTATCTGTGCGACACTGACCTGCACGGACGCTTTCAGGATCTTCTCGTGAGCGATGCCCCACGACATGAAAAGGCTGCGAATGGAGTCGGGCAGAATGTTGCGGATCTGTGTGGCCTGTCATGTGGATTGGTGGAGGGAGCAAGAGAAGGGTTGGGGTGGGAGGTGGGAAGAGGGGGGCAGCTCTTGAGACGTCTCTTTGCTGAAATGCGTGGCCTGTCACGTGGAGAAGAGGAAGGAGGAAGGGGAGCAGGGTGGGTGGCGGGAGGGGGGGAGAGGTCTGTGGCTTTGTCAGGGAGGGTCACTGAGGGCTGTGTTGATCTGATCAGAGAAGACAGATGGCATGCGCGGGACCCACCTTGTTGGCTTTGAGATGCAAGACGCCTCGAGATCTATGTGCCAGACAAAATTCACGAAACACAACTTTTGGTGGCGTCATCAAAGGCCCGAGCGAAGGGGATGTCAGGGAGGCCTGCTGTGAGGAGGTTTCTGAGGCGCCTCAAATATGAGATTGAGAGATGAAATAGACGCACCTTGGTGGCGTCATCGAAAGCCCGGGCGAAGGGGATGTCGGGAAGGCCTTCTGCGAGGCAGCCAGGGTCCACACCGAACCCGATGCGGCATATGTTGTCAAATGTGTAGCGCAGGAGAATGTCCTGAATGTCAATAGATGAGCCTGAATCTAAGGCCTGGTGGAAAGGAGATGGGGGAGCAGTGAGGACAAGGAGGAAGGGAGGTAAGAGTGGGGGTGCTGTGAGGCAGGTGTAGTCAAAGGTGTAGCGCAGCAGAATGCTGGGAAGGCCCGGGCCAAGGGGATGTCAGGGAGGCCTGCGGCGAGGCAGCCAGGGTCCACACCGAAGCCGATGGGACAGATGTTGTCAAAGGTGTAGCGCAGGAGCATGTCTTGAATGTCAATAGATGAGCCTTAATCCAATGCCTGCTTTGCAGGGTGGGCAGCAGGCGAAGGTGCACCTCGTCGTGGATAGAGGCCATCATGTACACACACACACACACACACACACACACACACACACACACACACACACACACACACACACACACACACACACACACACACACACACACACACACACAAGGAGCTCGATAGCAGTCGCAGAGGTTTGACTCACACACAAGTACACGCACCACCTGTGCATGGTGGTAACCTTTAAACTCACCGTCTGCAGGGTGGGCAGCAGGCGCAGCTGCACCTCGTCCTGAATGGAAACCATCATGAGGTCGCGGAGGGAGCGTGCGGAGAACTCAAGGCTGGCCGTCTTCCTCTGCTGCTTCCACGCCTCGCCATCGCTGTTGAATATGCCGTGGCCCAGCAGGTCGCCGAATGAAGACTGTAAGAGTGAGGGAAAGAGAGGGGAGAGGAGATCGTGTTTGTGAGAGAGATTTGGAACTAGAGACTGGCCGTCTTCCTCTGCTGCTTCCACCGCCCACGCCTGTCCGTCGCTGTCGAATATGGGGTAATTGCTGAACTTGTTCATGATAATATGCTCCAGCACCTCAGAATTTGACAATTTGTTTCGTTATACTCAGTCTCCAGATCTATAAGACAGGCTAAGTAGCTCCTCCAGCTGCAACATGGCACTGACCTGGAAGTCGGGTCCCTTGGGGTAGTTGTTGAACTTGTTCTTCAGAATGTGCTCCAGCACCTCGGGATTTGCTGTGATCACCTCGTTCATGCCAGGACCCAGAGACACGTACGTCATGGACGGGCATTCCTGCACCATGGAGGGAGGAGGGCATGATGCCATTATATGAGATAACAGTTCCACAATACCTGATCCTGCAATTGATTATAGCCTTGACAAAGTAATGGCAACAAGGTATAAGACAGCATGAATGAACATCGACGGATTTCACCCAAGTGTAGGGTGTTCCTCAGGTTTCTCGGATTGCATACCTCGAGCAGTGACGTGGACCAATCCAGGAGATACGGGAAGTTGGAGAAGAGAGCCGGGATCGCCCCAAGGACAGGCCAGTGAGGAGGCCCGTACTTGCTGTTGCCTCTCAGAAAGTACTTATACCGCCATGTGAGATACGCTAAAGCGAGTATGAAGCCTGCCAGGACGAGCTGCCAGAGGAGAGGCATGTCGACTTTACACGAGGCGATAATCTTTCGGAAAGATCCGCCAGAGCACTCTGTATCTGCAAAGTGGATTTGTTGAGATGCCTGATCCGGACCCTAGATCTTTCTGGGTGCGTCTGGCAATAAGGCAAGGTACTTTCTCCCTCGGCCAGCTTAAGTTGAATCGAGTTAATAGCAGCAGAACGCCGTGCTTGAAACGGATTGCAGTCGTCCAGCTGCAGCTGGGAGCCTAAGAGAAGGCGAGCCATTTGCGCGTCTTGTGATGCTGACAAGCGATCCGGTTCAAAAGGCGGCGCGTGATTCATGAGTGCAGTCTCACGATGGGTGGAGACGGGCACTATAGTGTACGTCAGTGTCGGCATCAGGATATGCATGATGGTAACTACGCCGTGACATCCCGGGCCGTTATGAAGCAATACAGTGCGATGGCTTACGTCACATCCTGCAACGTCACAGCGTGATTTCACTCCCCAAACCCCCTGAATGCGACTCAGCCGAGCAGGTGAGCCTCGGATAAGCCGTGCGAACATCGGGCTTGTCGCTACGATCAGCAGCGACACTACTTTCCGCCTGAATCTCCTCGAGAAGATCGAGCTTGTCGCCAGGGTGAGCAACTTGCGAACAAGCTCACGTCGCTGGCCGACAACCTGTCGAATCCAGCTTTTTGACGGCCGAAGTCTGTTCGGGATAATCAAGGTGTCGCTCGTCGCTCATGCGCGTTAGCGTCTCCCATCAAAAGGTCGCTCAAGACTGAATGACAAGCAGCTTTCCCGCCTGTCGCTGTCAGGTAGTCTGAATCTGATATCACCTCGAAATCATCATCTCGAAGTTGATGGGCTGACGGGCTTCCGATTTGTTGCTGGGGATGAGCTCAACAACGGCTTCCGATTTGTTGTCTACCAGGTTGGAGAAGGGTCGAGAGCGGTTGAGTTTTTTTATGACCGCATCCTCGTTATTGCGTCTTCTATGCATTTGCAAGACCCTGTTGATCATTGCTAATAGCGGGACTGTATCATCCCCACAGAAAATTGGTTGATTGACGGGAGGGCCATGACTCGATTTTTGCCGAGAGTCAGCAAAGTGATCGCAACCTATCATTGATCTCGTGGCCGTCGCTTGGTATCGTCTGGTTTCGCTTAAAAGTACGCTTGGTGCAGTTGGGTTGAGTTCGGTTCGGGCCGAAGAAGCTCCAGCCCCCCACCAATCAGTGCGTGTCCCATTGCGCTCCAATAATAGAATTCGTTTGTAAATGCTGTCTTTGCATGTACTCTCGTGTCACTGCCCAACCCAATATTTCTGCCTGCCTCCTATCGCCTCTCCGAATGTGTGGTCTCTTGCGAGAACCAGATTCTTCTTGAGCTACTCCCGCTTCCTCTCTCGATCCGACGAGCTCTTGTGGATTGTTTTCGGCCTCTCATATCAGCTGATCGCGGAGCTCGGGGTGACACGTCTCCCGTAGTTCACATTAGTTTTGAAAGTACACGTGTTTAAAGATGCTAGCACGTGAATTTTGAGCTAACCAAGTAACTAGTCAGCTCGCGATGGCGAAAAGACGCGATCGCGCCGGCAACAGTAGGCTGCTATCTCTCCCCGACGAGCTCCTTCAAATCATTCTCGGCCTCGCAGATCACCCATCCGATCGCCGCAACGTCTCGCTCTCCTGCTCCCGCCTCCGCCGCCTCTCTCGGTGCACGCCGCACGCACTCAGGTTCGACTTCTGCTCTCGGCGAAGGGTTACGAATTTGCGACAATGGCTGAAAGCGTTTGACGATTATTCAAGGGTATTTACCCACATAACGGATCTGACCGTGGAAATTCCTTCCGGCCTCGGGGATCAGCTCATGGCAGGGATTGCAGCGGGCTGCCCGAAACTGGAAAAACTGAAATGGGTGACGGAATGGGATAGCTTCAACGTTAACGGCCGAGCTTGGCGCGCACTCGTGACGCACTGCCCGTGCGTAAACGTTCCCGATCCTCTCCTTCCCACATATCTTTCCCAGTACATCCGTTCCGCATCCATACAACCATGCATCTATGCGTGCATGCGTCTGTGCATCCATACATCCATGCATCTATGCGTGCATGCGTCTGTGCATTCATCTATCCATCCATCCCTCCATCCCCTCCTATCTCCCTCCAATCCCTCGCCCTTTTCCCCTTCCTTAAGGCAGGCTCTTGACCCCTCTGGAGCTGAACTCGCACTATGCGCGCGTGCGTCTCTCGTACACACGGCAGCCGCCACTCCCTCCCGAGTGCCTCCTCCCCTCACCGCGATCCCCTTCTCTCCTCTTCCTCACTTACCCACCCTCGCCCCTTCCCCTTCCTTCAGGTTCCTGACGTCACTGGAGCTCAACTCACGCTACGTGCGCTCGCGACTCTCCTACACGCGGCAGCCGCCACTCCCTCCCGTGCACCTTCTCCCCTCACTGCAGTCCCTCTCGCTCCTCTACGTTCCATCCGACTACATCTTCATCCACCGCTGCTCATCCCTCACCACTCTAACCCTTTGGGCACCTGAATCCTCCACTCTCTCCTCCCTTGCCTTCTCCTCCTCCTCCTCTACCTCCTCCTCCTCCTCCTCTACCTCCTCCTCCGTTGCATCTTCCCCCTCATCCTCTCTACGCACATCTCTCAGATCTCTCACAATTTACTCTGCCGAACTTGTGGGCTCCCTCGCATCCCTTGCCCTCTTCCCTTCTCTCTCCTCCCTCTCTTTTCACTCCTGCACCATCGACCCATACAAACTCTGCTCCCTCTCACGCTCCCTCCACTCCCTCACACACCTTTTAATCCACTCCTGCCCACTCGTCTCCTCCCATTCCCTCTTCCCAATCCTACAAGCCAACCCCGTTCTCTCCTCCCTCTCCCTGCACGGAACATATTACCGTCTGTTCGCCGCACAGGGCTTCCGTTCTCTCCTCTCTCACTCCTCCTCCCAGCTCCACTCCCTCCATCTCGCCGGCCTCCCATCCATCCGCCCGGGCTTGCTTGCAGCCTGCAGTGCCCTGCGGTCGCTCAGCCTGGAAGGGGTGCTCGATTGTGCCTCAGACTCCTTATTGCCACGCGCTGTATCATTGGACGGCCTTGTGGGTATGCTCGTGAGGGTGGAACGGAGAGGAGGGGAGGCAGGAGAGGATAAAGGGGATGGTGGAGCAGACGTATCGGAGAGAGCACAACAGGGTACTTCTGCAGCAGCTGCAGCAGTTTGTGTATTCCCGAGAGGGAGCGACAAGCAGTGGGGGAGGTACGTGGACATTCGCAGAGAGGCAGAGGCAGCGCAGGAAGATAAGCTAGCAGCGTTGGGCGATGTGGTCCGCCTTTCTCAAGTGGCCAATGAAGCCTCCAAAACCGCTCGTGCCGATGTGCTCTCGGCGGCTCGAGTGGAGGGTGTAAATGCCGTGCCTCGGATCGTTGCCAGCATCGGAAAGATCAGGTTCGGGATTTCGGCGTGCCGGTCCTTCTGCGCCGGGGTACGTGAGGCCAATGCGGCGGCCAAGTGGGAGCAGGCGCTGATTGGGGCGTTTGCTGCTGCTGTTGGTGCTGCTGCTGCTGCTGGTTACTTCGATATGTCTACTTCTAATAATATTCCTGCTTCTGCTGCTGCTGCTGCTGCCGCTGCAGCAGGATTCTTTACTACAGAGCTGAATCCTGAAGAAGAGGAGGACAGGGATGGGGAGGAGACAGACGCAGGAGATGGGACCGGGGACATGGATGACATGTTGCGTCATGATGGCCTGCAGGAGAGTGTGGTGGGTGGGGTGCGATCTGGTGCGGTGAAGACACGTGCAGAGGGGTTGGAGAGGCTGCAGGCGCTGATTGAGGAGCTGGGGGAGCACACGGATGCCATGTCTGCTAGCTTCAATTCCATGCGCCAACTCACCCCCACCCTGACCCGGCCAGTGGTGGATGCAGCAGCAGATGGAGGTGGGGCAGCAGCACTTGGGGATGGAGGTGGGGCAGCGGGAGGAGGGGCAGCGGGAGGTGGAGCAGCGGGAGGTGGGGCAGCAGCAGGAGGTGGAGCAGCAGGAGGAGGAGCAGGAGGAGGAGGAGATGGAGCAGCAGAAGCTCCTGGGGGGGCAGCAGTGCGTGAGGGAAGAGCAGCAGTGCAAGGAGAGAGAGGAGGGGCGGCGGAAGCATCGCAACGGGCGCAAAGCATGCTAGAAGGCGGAGGGTCGGAACAGGTGGCAGCAGGAGAGGCGGCAGCAGGGGAGGCGGCAGCAGGAGAGGCGGCAGCAGGAGAGGCGGCAGCAGGAGAGGCGGCAGCAGGAGAGGCGGCAGCAGGGGAGGCGGCAGGAGGGGAGGCGGCTGCAGGGGAGGTGGCAGCAGGGGATGCAAAACTGAGCAGCAGAAAGTCAAGCTTGAAGCATTCGGAAGGGTGCCATGCAGCAGTCCCTGTGCACGTGCTGTGCCCTCTTCTGGAGTCCCTGACCCTTCAATCCCTCCGCTTCACCTCCCCGCCCCATGTCCCCTGGCTGCCTCCCTCCCTTTCTTCTGAGTCTCCTCGCATGTATCTCTCCTCCTCCCCTGCCTCTCCACCCTCCTATTCATGTCACTCATCTTCCTCCTTTTCCTTCTCCTCCTCCTCTTCCCCCTCGTCCAGCTCTTCCCGCCCCTCCTCTGCCCCGTGCCCAAGCGGTCACCCAATGTCCTTTGAGTCCCTTGCCCGAGCTGCAGCCTTCAGGCACCTCAAGCATCTCGCCTTGGTGTGCTGCGTAGGGTTGAAGGAACAGGAATGGCTGGAACTACTGGGAGCGTGCCCCAAGTTGGAGGAGCTAAGGGTGTTGCAAAATAGTGAAATCTCAGACGCAGTGGTCGCGGGAAGCAGGCTGGGAGCGCTCGCTAGTTTGACTCTGGTGGAGTGCGATAAGATTACAGCGACCGGCATTGGAGGGGTTCTTGGAAGCTTCCCGAGGTTGAGGTACTTGAAGGTTGAAGTGGGGAAGGTCACGGAAAGGGCTCGGAGAGAGTTGCTTCGTGCTGGAGTGGTTGTGAGGGGGACTGGTAGCTGACATAGGTGGGTGTGGTTGGTGCATGTAACATGTAACATGCATTCTGTTCATTGTATATTTGTTTAAATAGTGTTTTGTTCCAAGGTGAAATAATCGACAGATTTGAATGTCTCCAGAACTTCTGTTCACTCTAGCAATCCACACGACCCTGAAGTGTGTTTTGCCTAGGATGCAGGCCACATGGCCATCTTTCCAGTTTTATCTGATTCTTAACTTGTAAATACCTTTTTATGATCAATCTGTAGCGAATCTCAGAGTGTCACGCTGCACTTCCACCCCAGCGTCCCAGATTTCCTGCCTCTTCCTCCTATCATCCATCATTTCGTCAACGGTAACATTTTATCCAACTCCTATCACATATTCCCCATCGCCTAAACCCTGTCGCGTCGCCTCGTAAGACACCCTGATTTTAAAACTGCTCTCGCTCCTCTCTCACACCCCGACGAGCGCTTGCTGATAGTTTTGCTGATATCTCTCGTTTTCTGATATCATTTCCTTCTGGAATCACACATGTTTAGAAGAAGCCTCCCGACATTACAGATGTTGCCACGCGGTGTAATTTGATGTTACAGGAGGCAACCACCCTAGTATTCGATCAGCTCGCGATGGCGAAAATAATCGATCGCGCCGGCAACAGCAGGCTGCTATCGCTCCCCGACGAGCTCCTTCAAATCATTCTCGGCCTCGCAGATCACCCATCCGATCGCCGCAACGTCGCGCTCTCCTGCTCCCGCCTCCACCGCCTCTCTCGTCGCACGCCGCAAGCGCTCCGTTTCGACTCCTATTACTGGCGAAAGGTTACGAATCTCCGACAATGGCTGAAAGCGTTTGACGATTATTCAAGGGTGTTCACCCACATAACGGATCTGACCGTGGAAATTCCATCTGGTTTCGGGAATCAGCTGATGCTGGGGATAGCAGCGGGCTGCCCGAAACTGGAAAAACTGAAATGGGTGACCGGTTGGGATAGCTTCAACGTCAGCGGACGAGCGTGGCGAGCACTCGCGCAGCAATGCCCGTGAGTGGACGTTTCCGTTTCTCTCTTCCCCCCCGAGAATCTTCGCCTAATTTATCCACCCATGCATGTATCCTGGCATGCGTAGACGCATGCATCCATGCATCCATTGAATAATCTTGAACCCCTTTCTTCACCCCTCCTTCTTCACCCCTCCTTCTTCACCCCTCCTTCTTCACCCCTCCTTCTTCACCCCTCCTTCTTCACCCCTCCTTCAAGCCTCCCGATGCACACCTCCCTCCCTCTTCACCCCTCGACTCTCGCCCCTTCCCCCGTGGTTCAGGCTCTTGATCTCCCTCGGGCTGAACGCATGCCATCGCCCTTTTCCCCTTCCTTCAGGCTCCTGAATTCCCTGGAGCTTAACTCACGCTATGCACGCGCGCGTCTCTCCTACACACGGCAGCCGCCACTCCCTCCCATGCACCTCCTCCCCTCGCTCCAGTCCCTCTCGCTCCTCTACGTTCCCTCAGACTTACTCCCCATTACCCGCTGCTCCTCCCTCACTTCTCTCACCCTCTGGAACCCCGAATCCTCCTCCCTCTCCTCCCTTGCCTTTTCCTCCTCCACCCCTGTTTCCTCCACGTCCTCCTCCCCCCTCGCGTCCTCCCCCCTCGCGTCCTCCCCTCTCGGGTCCTCCCATCCATCCCCTCTCCGCACGACTCTCACATCTCTCACCATTCACTCCGCCAAACTGCAGGGCTCCCTCGCATCCCTCGCCTTCTTCCCCGCCCTCTCCTCCCTCTCCCTCCACTCCTGCACCATCGACCCATACGAGCTCCGCTCCCTCTCGCGCTCCCTCCACTCCCTCACCCACCTCATAATCCACTCTTGCCCACTCGTCTCTTCCCACTCCCTCATCCCCATCCTCCAAGCCAACCCAGCTCTCTCCTCCCTCTCCCTCCAAGGAACCATCTACCGTCTGTTCGCTGCACAGGGCTTCCGCTCCCTGCTCTCGCACACCTCCTCCCAGCTCCACTCCCTCCACCTCGCCGGCCTCCCATCCTTCCGCCCGGGCTTGCTTGCAGCCTGCAGTGCCCTGCGGTCGCTCAGCCTGGAAGGAGTACTTGGATCTTCGGACTCGTTGTTGCCGCGTGCTGCATCATTAGACGGCCTTGTGGGTATGCTCGTGCGCGTGGAACGGAGAGGAGGATCGGCAGGACAGGAAGCAGGAGGAGGGGCAGGAGGGGATAGAGGATCGGACGGGCAGGAGAGAGGACAAAGAAGTGCTTCTGCAGCAGCTGCAGTGGCGCTGGTATTACTGAGGGGAAGCAACAAGTCGTGGGAAAAGTACGTGGATATTCGCACAGAGGCAGAGGCAGCACAGGCGGACAAGCTCGCAGCTGTGAGGGACGTACTTGATTTCTTGACAACTGCTGAGGAAACCCATGATGCTGCGTTTTCGGAGGCCAATCAGGTGGTGCGAGCAGAGGGCGAGAGTGCTGTGGCTCGGATCACCGCAAGCCTTGGGAAGATCAGGTTCGGGATCTCAGTGTGCCGGTCCTTCGATGCTGCTGTCCGCGAATCGAATGCAGCTGTGGAGTGGGAGGAAAAAATAATGAGGTCCTTTGATGCTGCTGCTGCTGCTGCTGCTGCTGCTGCCGCTGCCGCTCCTGCCCCTGCTAACCCCAATCTAGCTGCTGATGTTGCCGCTGCAGCTCCCTCCAATGTAGCTGCTGCTGGTGGTCCAGTGTCAGGGTTCTTTTCTACAGAGCTGGATGCTGGCGACGAGGTCAGGGATGGGGATGAGGAAGAAAAAGAAGTTGAAATCATGGATGCCACGCTGACTGGTGAATCCTTTCCTGAGAGTGTGCTGGGTGGGGTGCGGTCCGGTGCGGTGGATACACGTGAAGCGGCCGTGAACAGGCTTCAAGCGATGGTAGGGAAGCTGATGGACGCCATGCGTGCTGTGTATGCTAGCTTCCGGCGCATGCGCCCACTCAGCTCTGATCCGAGGCCTGCTCCTGCGGGATCAGGGGCGGATGCTGCCGCAGCAACCGCAGCGGCCGCAGCCGCAGCAGATGGAAGAGCAGCAGTGAATAGAGTGGTGGGAGGAGGGGCGGCAGAAGCATTGCAGCAGACGAGAAACGCACTAGAAGACGGAGGGCCAGCAGAGGTTGCAGCAGGGGAGGTGGCAGCAGGGGATGGGAAGCTAAGCAGCAGCAAGCCAGGAGTCAAGCGTTTAGAAGAGTGCGGGCCTGCAATCCCGGTGCAAGTGGTGTGCCCTCCACTGGAATCCTTGACACTACAGTCACTCCTCTTCTCCTCCACTCCCCACGTTCTTTGGCTGCCCTGCACCCTCTCCTGCACATCCCCTCGCATGTACCTCTCCCCACCCCCTCCACCACCACCTTCCTATTCGTGCCTCTCATCCTCGTGCTCTTCCGTGTCCTCTTCCCATGCCCCAGTGCTAGGCACTCGGCCAATGTCATTTCAGTCCATTGCTCGAGCTGCTGTTTTTGGACAGCTGAAGCGGCTGCACGTGGTGCGCTGCTTGGGGTTGGAGGAGCAGGAATGGCTCCAACTGCTTGCTGCATGTTCTAAGTTGGAGCTGCTAGAGGTGCAACAAGATGACACAATTTCAGATGCAGTGCTAGCGAGAAGCAGGCTGGGAACGCTCGCTAGCTTGACGGTGATCAAGTGTGATAACATCACAGCAGCTGGCATTGGAGGGGTGCTTGGAAGCTTCCCCAGGTTGCGGTATTTGATAGTGGAAGATGGGAAGATTACGGAAAGGGCTCGAAGAGTGTTGCTTCGTTCTGGTGTGATTGTGAGAGGGGTAAGTACCGTGTAACATCGGTGCCATGTGGCAGGTGTGTGTTTGCGCGCGTAAAGGAATACATATTTTCCAAGTCGGTTTCTGGCCATGCATTTTTCTTTGGCCAAATTCTCGGTTCTTTAATTTCAGCCATTCGTTCTTCCCCCCCAAAACTTGAAATTGCGAACACTATCTCAGAGTAGTGAGGATGTTATAACATCCATAAGAATAGCATGTTCCGCAACACGGCAGTAAGGATTCCTTGTGCTGTCTTGTGTCGAGGAACTTCTTTCACCAAGAGACTGACATCTTCCACAGCTGAGCCACATAACGGTCAGTAGTTGTTCGTAAGACGTTTCAATCATACGCTAAAGCGCTGCGCTCCCATTCTATAATCTCAATCTCCTCCTCGCACACATTAGCAACGCCATGGACAATCAAGAGCAGCATCCTCCACTACCCCCCACAAACGGTACAGCACCGGATGGATCCGCCGCTTCCGGCGCTGACGCTGCTTCCGACGACGCGGGAATCAAGATGGTTCTCCCCAACATTAGTTTCTCCATGGCTCAACCCACCATCGGCGCAACCGGCGGACCACCTGGCGGAGGGCCCCACGGCGGACCTTCCCCTCATGGTGGACCAACCCCCGCGCTTCCCCCCTATCCCCCGCCGTCCAATGAGGGTTACCCCTCCGGCGGAGGATACCCGCCGGATTCCGCGCCGCGTGCCACGGGGCTCGGCGCGCTTGGCATCGGCGGGGATGGGGGAGACATGCGCGGGGATACGCGCGGGGAGCACGGAGATCACAGGCAGAAGCGCTCCGCGGGGGAGATGTACGGCGGGGAAACGGGCGACTCCGCGCGGCCCGGGGAGCGCGGGGAGCGCGGGGGGGGTCCAGGCGGAGAGAGGGGCGGGGGGAGCGGGGAGCAGAAGCGGTGGCCGGGGTGGCCGGGGGATAATGTGTTCCGGTTCGTGGTGCCGATGGGGAAGGTGGGGAGCATCATAGGGCGGCGCGGGGAGTATGTGAAGAAGATCTGTGACGAGACCAAGGCGCGCGTTAAGATCGTCGAGGGCGCTCCGGGCCATGACGACCGCGTGGTAAGCTTCTTATAGCGCGTTCGTGCTTGGGGTAAGCTGGTTATAGGATTCTGGGCTTGGGTTGGGCCTTAAAGCGCGCGTTAAGATTGTTGAGGGCGCTCCAGGCCATGACGACTGCGTGGTAAGCTGGTTTCTAGGTGTCCGTCCGTGCTTGGGGCTCGTAGGGTGAAAAATTGAGTTTTGAGTCAACTAACAAATCGACTCCGGGCCATGACGACTGCGTGGTAAGCTGGTTTCTAGGTGTCTAGGATTGACGACTGTATGGCTAAACGGCTTTACGGCTTGAAGAACCCAGGGCTTGAATTAGGCATTCCATGGGGGGATTTGCGGTTGGGATTGTATTGCGGAGAGCATTGCTTTGAGACGACTCAAAACACTATTTCAAACTCGGAGAGCATTGCAGTGGCTTGGACAGTCCCATGGATCTCATCCTGTTAAACACTATTTCCAATGGATCTCATCCTCTCCGCTCTCTCATGGCTGTCACTTCCCCTTATCTCCTCCCTGCCTCATTCACCCCGCCCTACCCACCATCACCCGCAGGTGCTGGTGTCAGGCAGAGAGGACGCTGACTCAGAGCTGCTACCCGCCGTCGTAGCAATGCTGTGTGTGCCGTGCACCGTCGGATCGTGTAGTGCGTATCTGAGGGCACTTCGTCTCCCTCTCTTCCTCATCTCCTTCATTCCCCCTGTCCCACAAACCCAGGTTCTAGTGTCAGGAAGAGAGGACCCTGACTCTGAGCTCCCACCAGCCGTGGTGGCAATGCTGCGTGTGCACCGTCGGATCGTGGAGGGCGTGTCAGAGGACGAGATCGAGGCGTCTCAGCCAGGGGAGGGGTTCCGGGGGCAGGTGGCAACACGCCTGCTGGTTCCCGCTACACAGGCAGGCAGTCTGATAGGGAGGCAGGGGCAGACGATTAAAGCGCTGCAGGACAGCACAGGGGCGCACATCAGGATCCTCTCTCTTGGTATGCAAGCTAAAATCTGCGTTTCTGGTAGGTCTGGTAACTTAGATACTTGTCTGGTACTTCAGGTGCTGCTGGTAGATCGAGGCGTCTCAGCCAGGGGAGGGGTTCCGGGGGCAGGTGGCAACACGCCTGCTGGTTCCCGCTACACAGGCGGGCAGTCTGATAGGGAGGCAGGGGCAGACGATTAAAGCGCTGCAGGACAGCACAGGGGCCCACATCAGGATCCTGTCACTTGGTGTGGTCGTTGGGAATCATGGTCTGGTAGTGGTGGTAACATTGGTACCTGGAAGGAACACTGGTGGTGCTGGTAACACTGAGCTGGTAACACTGGTGGTGGTGTTGGTAACACTGAGCTGGTAACACTGGTGGTGGTGCTGGTAACTCTGCATTTCTGTCGTGTTTGTTACGCTAACGCTAACCAACCACTACCACTCACCAGAGGACGTGCCGCCATGTGCTCTGGAGGACGATCGCGTGGTGGAGGTGACGGGGGAGTATGCGAGTGTGCATCGGGCAGCGAGCATCCCCATTTATATCCCAACATCTCCTCTCCTTTGTCCTTTGTGGTTGTCTCTGTTCCCATATCAACAGAGGACGTTCCCCCATGCGCACTGGAGGACGATCGAGTGGTGGAGGTGACGGGGGAGTACGCGTGTGTGCATGAGGCAGTGAAGGGCGTCACTCTGCATCTCAGGCGCTTCCTCTGTGACCACTCCGTGCTGCCGCTCTTTGAACAATGCGTATGTCTCTGCATGCACCCCTCCCTCCCTCCCTCCCTCCCTCCCTCCCTCCCTCCCTCCCTCCCTCCCTCCCTCCCTCCCTCCCTCCCTCCCTCCCTCCCTCCCTCCCTCCCTCCCTCCCTCCCTCCCTCCCCCCCCCTCCCTCCCTCCCTCCCTCCCTCCCCCCCCCTCCCTCCCTCCCTCCCTCCCTCCCTCCCCCCCCCCCCCTCCCTCCCTCTAAGCCTGTACAAGAATAATCGGCATTCGAGAATTATTCGATATTCGTTCGAATACCTGAATTCGAGAGAATAAGAAACGGCCGTGTATTCGAAAGTATTCGCATCACGAGTATTCGTGAATGTAGAATATTCGGCTAACGGATATTCGGGGTATTCGTTACTATTCGGTATTCTACCATTACCCACCCCCCACCCCACCCCTCCCCACATGCGGCTATCATCTTTGGCAATCTGTCTACAAGAGGCCTCATGAGAGCCGTGCCCAAAAGTCTAGCAAGATAGTTGCTGAGCAGGGTTAGCGAAGGCTCATGGTGCGGGATTGAGTCGTGGTGCTGATATTATAAGGTGCATTGTATCACCCTGTGTCGAACATGCATTAGCCGTTCGACACTGGCTATACGAAACATCTTATTACTCGACTCGACATTTATTCGTATTCGATTCGGATTCGGTGGTATTCGAATCGTATTCGTATTCGGTTTCGGGTCAGTATTCGAATCGTATTCGTATTCGGTTTTGGATCAGTATTCGGTCAAATAAGAAACCACCCAGTATTCGGAGAATATCCAGGAAAACTATTCGTATTCGTATTCGTATTCGTTTGTACAGGCTTACCTCCCTCCCTCCCTCCCTCCCTCCGTCCCCTGCCTCTCCTGCCCCAGTGCTCCTTCCCTGAAGGTATCCCACTTGCCTCTTCATCTCCCCACCTTTGTCTGCCCTTCCCCTGCCTCCCCCGCTCCAGCGCTCCTCCTCTCCCCCACCCATGATTCCCAGGGCTGCGCCACTCCTCCCTCTCTGCACAGAGTGGGTTTGAACTGCAGCAAGCTTGAATTCTCAAAAGCGACCCAGGGCTGCGACCCAGGGCTGCGACCCAGGGCTGCGCCCTACTCTTCCCTCTCTGCCTCACACGTTTCCCCCCTTCTTCCCTCTGCGTTTCCCCCCCTCCCCCCTTCCCCCTCCTCCCAGCGCTCCTTCCCCCCTCCAATGGACCCCAGGGGTGCGCCCTACGCGTCCCCCTCTGGCCGCGGGGCGGGATGGGGGAACCCCCCTCCGGGGGGAATGCACTCTCCCCCTCACCGCTCGCGCTTCGACCTCCCCCCCTCTGCTGCACCTGACCCCTATGGCAGCCTCTCTTCCCTGGGCAGCATGGGGGGTGCTGACAGGTACGAAACGGTTGGGAGGAGTGCGTGAGTATGGTAGACAGATGGAGATAGATGGCATACTTTCTGACTTCGAGTGTGGAGTGCATGAGTGATTTTTGAGAATTCTCAAAAATCACTCTGAGTGTGGTTCGGTCGAGTGCTGCACTGTGAATGACTGACTGACTGACTGACTGACTGACTGACTGACTGACTGACTGACTGACTGACTGACTGACTGACTGACCTTCCCCCATCTGCTCTGCTGCATCTGATCCCTAAGGGACCTCTCTTGTCAGCAATTTTTCGGGAATAGACGAGACGACTTTGTGAGCATTTTGTTATGAAGATCAGTCAGTGATCCCTATGCGACCTCCCCCGTCACCACCCTTCTCCTAACCCTGCCTGTGCATGCCTGCCTGTCGGCCAAGCAGGTACGGGACAGCCATGGGAGGCCTGGGAGCAGGTTCGGGAGGAGGCTTGGGTTACAGCCAGCAAATCAGTCAGCCGCCGCCGCCGCCGCAGCAGCAGCAGCCGCCGCCGCCATACCAGCAACAGCCGTACCAACAGCAGCAGCAACAGGGGACAGGGGGCGGGTATGGGGCCACAGGGGGGATTGGAGGGGCAGGAGGGGCCTCAGCAGGGCCAGCGGGAATGGATGCAAACGGGCAGTTGCGGGCAGCACTGTCTAAGTATGGGAGGGAGACGCCTGCTGCTGCTGCCGCTGCTGCCATGACCAACACTGTCTCACCTGTTGTCACTCAGGTGGGCATTGGTTGAGAGCCGTCGCCTGGCTCTTGGGTTTACTCATTTGTCCCATCCAACCAAATTCCCCCCATTATCCCAACCCCATTTCCCCCGTTCCATTCCCCCCCACTTCAGGTGAGCGTCCCATCACCCGATGCAGATCACCCATACCCACCCCCAGGTCACCCATACCCACCCCCCAATCCCTGCCTTTCCCCCACTCCAGGTCAGCGCAACCATGCAGATCCCCCTCTCCTACGTCGACGCCATCATCGCCCCCCCAGCGGCACCAACAGTGTCTTCCTGCGCCCCCGTCTCACCCATATCCCCCCCTTTAATCCCCACCTTCCCCCCCACGTCAGGTGAGTGCCACGATGCAGATCCCCCTCTCCTACGTCGACGCCATCATCGGCCCCAACGGCACCAACATTGTCTTTCTGCGCCGCACCAGCGGTGCCGCAGTGACGATTCAGGAGAGCCGGGGGGCGGGAGGGCAGCCGGAGATGACGGTGGAGGTGCGGGGCAGCGCCACTCAGGTGCAGACGGCACAGCAGCTGATCGAGGTGAGAAAGAGTTGATCGAGGTGAGAGGGAGTTGACCGAAGTGAGCAGTAGTTGGTGGTCAGCTGGGTGGATGGGTGAGAGCTGGGGAGCAGGAGGGCAGCCGGAGATGACGGTGGAGGTGCGGGGCAGCGCCACTCAGGTGCAGACGGCACAGCAGCTTATTGAGGTGAGTGGGAGGTGGTTGAGGGTACTGGAGTTGTAAGTTTAGAGAGTGGCGTAAAGAGGGTGTGCTAGTGACTTCCTAAGCACAACCGAATCAAATCATGCAGCAGTAGATGACTGGTAGACATGACAGGGGAATGTGGTTTGTGGGTGTCTTGCTAATTCCCTTCTCTTCCCCTCCCAATTCTCCCCCCTCCCAATTTTCGCCCCTCTCCCCTCAGGGTTTCATGAATTCACACACAGGCTATGCCGACCCTGCGCCCGCACCAGCTCCGCCAGCTTCGGCGTATGGCTCTGCTGCACCGCCAGCTCCGGCGTATGGCTCGGCACCAACGGACCTGTCAGGCTATGGCTCGTCTCTTTACCCTCCCAGCTCTGCAGGAGGTGCTGCTGGGGCAGGGGGAGCATATGGGTCAACAGGAGGGTATGGGTACTGATTGTATGGTACTAAAGTCATCTCATCCTTTTTCCCTCATAGCTGCTGGCGATGCTGCTGGGGCTGGGGGGGCATATGGGTCAACAGGAGGGTAGGGTGCTGGGTTGTCCCTGTTGACTTTTGAGTCGGCTCGAAAGGCAGGCCAGGGATGCTTGGGCAGGAGGGTACGGACGGGTGCACTGACTTTGTTGACCTTATGTGGCCCTGTTCCATTTAATTTCTTAGGTGCCTCAATCGTTGCATTTCTGAATCCGTCCTGCTTTGCCAATTCGGTGCTAAAATGCTGCCCGTGTAATTAAAGAACAGTAGCTCATGAATTATGATGTAACTCCACCGCAGTATAGCTGTATCTGGAACAGTATGCCTACAAAGCTGAACGGGAATCATTTTATGTGGCAAAATATTCAGAAGCAGTTAGCGGGACCTCCAATGTCGAAGAATTGGCCTTCCTTGTGCTGTCGCCCAGATTCCTGGAATTCAACCAGGTTCGCCGTCTTGTGGGGTAGGGTAGGTATCAGATTCTCGCTGCGTTCCCAGCCCAACGGTCACATCTGTAATTCCCCGTCGCTAGGAGAGTTGTGGCAGGCACTTCAGGCAACCGCTGCTTCGACAGATTTTGTCGCATGGCGTCGCATGGCGGCGATGCGCCGTCGCAAGGCGACGATCGGCCGTCGGACGAGGCGATCTTAGCGCAGCAGAATGCGATGCGGGAGGAGGAAGCTCAGCGGTACCCGCTTGTCGGGGAGAAGGTTCGTGACTGCACAAGGTGTGTGATTGTCGAAGGGTGCGTGACTGTAGAAGAATGCGTCGTTCTAGAAGGTGCGTGATTACTAGAGGATCCATCGTGTGACCATTTTGGCTTGGTGCAAGCTAATGGCTAGTCCAGTTCAAGACTTAGCCAAGTCTAACGCTACTTCGTGCGCGTTTCCTTTCATCATTCATCCTTTACCCTTCAATCTCCAAAGAATGAACTCCAAGGTTTGAGTGGACCTCGAGATTCCAAGTTGAAACTCCGAATTTGCTTCAACCCGTGCGATCGTTCGCAGGAGCCGTTGTCGGCATTGGCGTCCGAATACGCAGCGGGAAGCACCACGTTCCAAGACAAGATCGAGGTGCGTGGGGTGAAGCAGGGAGCATCAGGTGCGTGAGGTGAAGGGGTGTGATGAAGAGACGCGTAGGGGAAGAAGGCAGGGGGAAGGGGTGAAAACGGGGGAAGAAGGCAGGGGGAAGGGGTGAAAACGGGGGAAGAAGGCAGGGGGAAGGGGTGAAAACGGGGGAAGAAGGCAGGGGGAAGGGGTGAAAACGGGGGAAGAAGGCAGGGGGAAGGGGTGAAAACGGGGGAAGAAGGCAGGGGGAAGGGGTGAAAACGGGGGAAGAAGGCAGGGGGAAGGGGTGAAAACGGGGGAAGAAGGCAGGGGGAAGGGGTGAAAACGGGGGAAGAAGGCAGGGGAAGGGGTGAAAACGGGGGAAGAAGGCAGGGGGAAGGGGTGAAAACGGGGGAAGAAGGCGGGAATAGACGAGTAGGAACAGGGGGAACCGGGTTGAAGACTGCACACAGGTTGAACAGGACGAGTGAAAAGAATTGATGCCGGTGTGAAGAGAGAGAAGGACATCGGCATTGCGACATCGTAGGCTCCATTCAAGGTCACAGAAGCGACTTTTGAGTCGACTCAAAAGTCGTTGTTACTGGTGTGAGGAGAGGGAGAGTGAGAGTGGCATCGTAGGCTCCATTCCGGGTCAGAGACGGGTCCTCCTCTGCTCCGGTAACGTTCATGTATCGCTACAGCTTCGCCTCCCTTCCCTCTCCCCTCCATTCACCCGCCTTCAACAATCTTCACCCCCTTTCACCCCACTTCACCCCACTTGAACCCCCTTTAACCCCTTTAAAGCGCCTTCACCGTCCTTCACCCCTCTCCCTCCCAGCACCTAGCAGCGGAGTACGAGGCCATCAGGCGGACTCGAGGCGACGGAAACTGCTTCTTCCGCTGCTTCCTCTTCGCTCTCCTGGTGAGGAAACCTGGTTTGAAATAAATCTTATATAATGGGTGTTATGCTTCATGAATTGCAATTGTCCAACCAGCCGCCTTGTATGAAACCCTAATCTCTGTTACAGGAGCATTTGTTACAAGGCGGCAGCAAGGAGGAGTGCGCACAAGTGAGGGAGCGAGTGGCACGCAGTGAGCAGAGGCTGAGAGACCTTGGGTATACCGAGTTCACATGGGAAGACTTTGCTGCTGTGAGTGGGTGAATTGGGCGTGGTTGCTGTTTCTGGGCCGCCTTAAAGCCTGCCTAGGCTGGAGTTACGGAGTTCACAGTGAGCGTGTGTGACATGGCTGCAATGTTTCAGGTGCAATTCTCGCAATTGAACCCAGACTGCAAATATCTGAAGAGTTTGTGACCTGGCCTGGGTTTCTTGAATCTAGGCGTGCGAGGACTTTTTTACATATTTATTTAATATATTTTCATTTCTGCTTTGACAATTTATTCTGGAGTGTATTTTCTCTGAGTAGTTTCTTCTTCCTTTTCTTTGTTTCAGCAATATCACCTTGACTTGTACTTGTCTGTCTGTTTCGTCCTCAAAATCGTGCATCTACCCATGGCCCCATCCACGCATTCATGATCAATCCATTCACGCTTTCATGCATCCATGTCAATCAATCTATCCAAGCATCGATGCAGGAGTACCGGGAGCTTTTGATGCCGTGCACCCATCGAGTGCAACGGAGAATATCACATGTGCATCTGTGCCGCTAACCAACATCCATTCATCATATAATCAATCCATCCATTCATCCGTCCATCCATGCATGCATGCATGGGTGCAGGAGTACCGGGAGCTTCTAGACGCCGTGGACCAGTCAAGAGCAGCAGAGAAGATCACGTAAGTCTTGTTTAATTGATTTCATGGATGGGTGAGCTTGTGCACTTGTGGTGTAAGTCAAAACATGTGGCTGCATCTGGATAGATGTGTGTCTTCTGCGCTGTGGTCCCGCGGTTTCTGAGGTGGCTCAAATATTTCAAGACTCGCTACGAAGATTTTTTTTTTTTTTAAGAATTCTCAAAATCGATTTCCATATAGAATTGTTACTACGAAATGTGCTCCTGCGTGCATGGCAGGGTGGATGGCTTGTTGAAACGCTGTCAAGACCCCGACTGCTCCAACTATGGTGAGTGAGTTAACGCTCATCTTGTATCCTCACTGCTTGACTTTATTCAGCAGTGCTATTGGTGCTCTCACCGACCACTCCATCGTTCATGTTTCTGCACTTTGTCACCTCTGTCAACATCCAGCACTAAGCAGACGTGACGTCTTTCGTTCTTCTCCTTCACTCCCTCTCTGCCTTTCCCCACAATCCTGCTCTTTCCATCTCCTACTCCCCGCCCCTCCCCTCCGACTCCCCTCTCCCCTCCGCTCCACTCCAGCAGTCATGTTTCTGTGCTTCATCACATCAGCTGACATTAAGCACCGGGCAGACTTCTTCCATCCCACTCCTTCATTCCCTCCCCTCCTTTTCCCATAATTCCATTTCCCCCCTCTTAATCCTCTTCCCTCCCCTCCAATTCCCCTCTTGCCAGCGGTCATGTTTCTGCGTTTCATCACATCAGCTGACATTCAGCACCGAGTGGACTTCTTCCATCCCTTCCTGCCTGACTCTGCAGCGGGCATCGGTGCACCTAACGAGGCAGCAAAGCAGGTAAGGGGTCTTTGGAGGCGTCTCAGAAGGCTGACATCTGGCACCGAGCGGAATTCTTCCATTTCTTCCTGCCTGACGCCATGGCGAGCGTGGGAGGGCCAAAGAGGGCAGTGAAACAGGTAAGGGGTGCCCGTCCTTCTTTTGGGTTTACTCTAAAATAGAAACAGGTAAGGGGTGCCCGTCCTTCTTTTGGGTTTACTCTAAAATAGAAACAGGTAAGGGGTGCCCGTCCTTCTTTTGGGTTTACTCTAAAATAGAAACAGGTAAGGGGTGCCCGTCCTTCTTTTGGGTTTACTCTAAAATAGAATCAGGTAAGGGGTGCCCGTCCTTCTTTTGGGTTTACTCTAAAATAGAAACAGGTAAGGGGTGCCCGTCCTTCTTTTGGGTTTACTCTAAAATAGAAACAGGTAAGGGGTGCCCGTCCTTCTTTTGGGTTTACTCTAAAATAGAAACAGGTAAGGGGTGCCCGTCCTTCTTTTGGGTTTACTCTAAAATAGAAACAGGTAAGGGGTGCCCGTCCTTCTTTTGGGTTTACTCTAAAATAGAAACAGGTAAGGGGTGCCCGTCCTTCTTTTGGGTTTACTCTAAAATAGAAACAGGTAAGGGGTGCCCGTCCTTCTTTTGGGTTTACTCTAAAATAGAAACAGGTAAGGGGTGCCCGTCCTTCTTTTGGGTTTACTCTAAAATAGAAACAGGTAAGGGGTGCCCGTCCTTCTTTTGGGTTTACTCTAAAATAGAAACAGGTAAGGGGTGCCCGTCCTTCTTTTGGGTTTACTCTAAAATAGAAACAGGTAAGGGGTGCCCGTCCTTCTTTTGAGTAGACTTGTCCACTCTTTTTACCCCTTCCCCCTCCCCCAGTTCTGTCACAAGGCAGTGGAGCCAATGGGGGAGGAGAGCGATCACGTGCACATCACAGCCATCATCGATGCATTTATGCCTGCTGCATACCCACTTGGGCAACCCTCTATATCCCCTTCCCCCTCCCCCAGTTCTGTCACAAGGCAGTGGAGCCAATGGGGGAGGAGAGCGATCACGTGCACATCACAGCCATCATCGATGCATTTATGCCTGCTGCATACCCACTTGGGCAACCCTCTATATCCCCTTCCCCTTCCCCCAGTTCTGTCACAAGGCAGTGGAGCCAATGGGGGAGGAGAGCGATCACGTGCACATCAAAGCCATCATCGATGCATTCATGCCTGCTGCATACCCACTTGGGCAAACCTCTATATCCCCTACCCCTTCCACCAGTTCTGTCACAAGGCAGTGGAGCCAATGGGGGAGGAGAGCGATCACGTGCACATCACAGCCATCACGGATGCCCTTGCCGTACCCATCCGGATTGTTTACCTTGACCGCAGCGCCGGGCAGGCGAATTTTCACGAATTTCTGCCCGAGGAGAGTGTACGGGCTACCCCTGCAATGACGCTGCTCTATCGACCAGGGCATTACGATATTCTGTACCCCAAACAGAAGTGAATTCTGAAGTTATCTGTCGTACGAAAGGCCAACAATTCCTGCCTTACATGTGACCAAATGGTGCAGCAACACAGGCCATAACTTATTCCTTTCAACTAGTAAGCTGCATTATTGTACAGAAGCATTATCACTAGAGAAGCAACAGCTACAGGGAGCTCTTAACAGCACTATCAGTGGTTACTACGCACCAATACACTGTTTACACCACATGAATTACACTACTGCATTTTAACAACTGCACTGTACGATATTCCCCATCTTCAGGGCATGCCTGTCAGTCTCCTCAGCAGCGTTTCAGACCAGTAGATGGAGAGCACAAGGCACACGGCAGCAGGCACAGCGACAAACAAAAACACGGCCAGGTAGCAGAGCAGGGCAAGGGAGCACCAGGGCACAATCACAAAGCTCACCACCGCCAGCACCCCCAGAAACGGTAACCGCGTGCACAGCTGCCGCAGTCGGCCCAGGTAGAAAGCCGCACCATTGATCCCCGTGCGGATGAATGGGAACCATTGGATCGCCCGCTGCAGCAGCCAAAGTGCCAGCTGCTGCCGGCTGGAATACAACAGATGGTGAAACCCTGCTCCTGGCCTCTGCCTATGCCCTTGCCCCTGTCCCTGCCACTGCCACTGCTGTTGCTCCTGCTGCTGCTGCTGCAAGCGATACAAGTAGTGGTGGGGAATATGCCCCCCTTCCACCCACTCCTGCTGCCCCTGCTCCTGCCCCTGCTGATGCTGCTGCAACGCCTGCACAGCCACAGCAGCAGCGGCAGCAGCAGCAGCACCAGCTGCGGCTGCAGGGGACCCGCCTGGGCGCCATTGCTCTAGCAGCACGCGGGGCAGCACCCACCAGAGGGTCTGTCCCCCAGAGGATTGAGACCCCAACGCCTGCCCTCCCAGCACCTGTGCGCCCAGGGCTTGCGCTCCCAGCGCCTGGGCTTCAAGAAACGCATTCGTGCTGCTGCTGCTGTGAACGCCACTGCTGCTTCTCCTTCTCCTGCTGCTGCTACCGCTGCCGCTGCCACTGCCGCTGCCACTGCTGCTGCTGATGTGAGCACCAGAGGCACTGCTGCACCGCTCGTCATGAGGCGAGGGATCCGACGGCTCTAAGCCGTCTGGAAGGTGGGTGAGGGTCGACCGTGTGGGAGAGTGCCTTACGCTGGCAGTGGCGCTGGCAGCAGAGGTGGCGTTGGGTGAGTTGATGCCTTGAGGGAGAGCGAGCCTGGAAGCCTCTAGAAGCCACAGCTGCACGAGAGGAATGGAAGTACAGGGCGGGGAACAGAAACAGAGGAGAAAAAAGTAATGAATATGAGAAATTTAACCAATTTCTACCAGAAAACATATGCAGCTGAATTTGTAGCGTAAGCAGCCTTTCCCTACATGATTCCCAGAAAGAGAACAGCAGAATGATAGCTGGCATTTGAATTTGCGAAAGACATATGAGAGGCTTACGAGGGAGAAGTTTTTAAACGGGTACTGCAGATTCCCCTCAACAACGAGCCTAGGAGTCACCCAGTGGCACAACGGACAGTCCACGAGCCATGGAAGCTGGATCTGCAGTGAAGGCAGCTTATTAAAGACGGCTATAGGGAGGATGAGCACGCAGTGCTTGCAGAAGGTGTGGCCGCACAGCAGCACGTGCGGGGATCTTATGCTGGAATCGTAAGCCTCCTGTAAGGGGGATGAGGAATGGCACGGAGGGGACATGCAGAGAGTTACTTGATTGGCGGCGGTGGTAAGACGTATGAGTGAAACACAGGTTGCCTGGAAGACTTCCAACAGCCAGATTAAAGGCTTCCAGAAGGAAGAGGACGACGGGTGAAGATCGAGGAGAATAATCCAAATTGTACGAAAACACGACGGGTTCGTTCAGCTGAAACGTCTGGCATAGAACAGGAGGGCATACCCAGCAAATAGGGCAGTCCGAGCCTTGTGCGAAGCCGTCCGTTCTGGGCCTGCTTTGGGGGGAAACTCGAGGCACCGCCATGGCGTGGCACGGCACGGATGAGCCCGTGATTGGCCGCTACGAAGCCGTCACTAGCGATAACGCCTTCTCCCCGCGGCGTGACTAATCGAATCCAATCAAATCGAAAACTCTCGAGTCTAATGGGTGTAGCGTCTCGCAAGGAGGGTGACGATCAAACGATGAAACCTCCTCCAAGCGACATCATCCTTGAAATTAACAACAGGGCGGAAGAACGGATTCTCAGATCGACAAGAACTCTTCCTGTCTTGATTTTTTTCCCGTCGGACTGGCTGGCCTGGCTGCTCGGAGGGTCCTGTTGCGTGGTCTATAATTCTCTGGGGTTGCAAGATGTCAGAACCCTTGGATCAATCTTGGGATTCTGGCATAGGTTCGGCGAAGAGATCGAGAACGGTTTAGATCAATTCTGGCCTTTCGGGGACGCGAACCGTCTTGATCGTTCCTCCTAGGGCGAGGCGTATGAACCTTTGAGAACGCACGACAGCCTTGACGGACTGAGCCCGGAGAGACGACAGATGACTGACGCCACGTCAACCATCAGTTTGCTTATGACGGATGGGCCTGCGTGACTCACCCTGCTACCCAGTGAGACACACACTCTCTCCTCACTCCCTGCTTTCTACTCCCCCTCACTCCCTTGTCACTTACTCGCCCAACACGCAAGAGGATCAGAGAAAGCTTATCGTAATCGGTTTGGCTGGGTGGTGGGGGTTGATGCGTGGAGGAGAGGGAGTGCTGTCCAATGGTCTTTTTCCTAGAACTTGGTTTTGACTTATCGACCGAGACGCTTGATTGGCGTGCCCCAGAACATGGCTACATTGCGGCGCAGTGAGTTCTTGTGCGCTCTAGAGAGGTTCGAAGCGGTAAACTAACGCTAAAACTCGTGGTTGAGGGGAAGAGCAGGTGCTACTTCCCACAACGAGAGCTTTGGGAATTGGTCTACACCTTCATGATTTCACCTTGTACCAAACATTATTTACATATATTTACAATGTTCAGAATGCATGAGATTCTTGTGCCCAAAAGCAGCCTTGACAGAGAGCACCTACCAGCTGACACGTATGTCACACCCCCCTTACAATCACACCAGCACGAAGCAACTCCCTCCGAGCCCTTTCTGATACCTTCCCTGCTCCCACCTTCAAGTACCGCAATTTAGGGAAGCTTCCAAGGACCCCTCCAATGCCTGCTGCTGAAATCTTCTTACACATGACCACCGTCAAACTAGTGAGCGTCTCCAGTCTGCTTCTCGCCACAACTGCATCTGAAAATGTGTCATTTTGTTCCACCCTAAGCTCCTCCAACTTAGCGCAGACGGCAAGCAGTTCGATCCACTCCTCCTCCTCCAACCCTAAGCAGTTCAACAGCGCAAGGCGCTTGAGCTGTCCAAAAACCGCCGCTCTAGCAATGGAATGAAAGGACATTGGCTGAGTGCTTGGGACTGGGGCAGAGGAGGAGGAGAAGGAAGAGCAGGAGGAGGAGGAAGTGTGACAAGAATAGGACGGGGGTGATGGAAGGGGTGGGAAGAGGTACATGTGAGGAGATGCGCAGGGGATGGAACTAGGCAGCCAAAGAATACGAAAACTAACGAAGGCGAGCGATTGCAAAATCAAGCATTCCAGTGGAGGGCACAACACTTGCACGGGGATTGCTGACTGGCATCCCTTAAAATGCTTGCCTCCTGACTTGCTGCAGCTAAGTTTCCCACCCCCTGGTTCCATTTCCCCAGCTGCCGCCTCCCTAGCTGCCACTTCCCCTGCCGCCTCCCCTGCTGCCGCATCCCCTGCTGCCGCCTCCCCTGCTGCCGCCTCCCCTGCTGCTGCCTCCCCTGCTGCCGCCTCCCCTGCTGCTGCCTCCCCTGCTGCTGCCTCCCCTGCTGCTGCCTCCCCTGCTGCTGCCTCCCCTGCTGCTGCCTCCCCTGCTGCTGCCTCCCCTGCTGCCGCCTCCCAAACTGCCGCCTCCGATGGCCCTCCATCTTCTAGTGTACTTTCTGCCCACTGAGATGCTTCTGCTGCCCCTCCTCCTAATCTTCTATCTGCTGCTGTTGCTGCTGCTGGTGCAGAATCAACCCCCCATGCTGCAGGAGCAGTGCTCGCACCAACCCTGAGTTGGCAAATGCTTTTTACATCAGCACACATGGCAAGCGTGGCGTCCTTGAGCTTTTCTACCAGCGAATCCAGCCTGGTCAGGGCCACTAAACGTGCCTCCACTGCACCGGTCTGCACCCCTCCCAGCGCACTCTCAGGCAAGGCTTCATCAGGTAACATGGCATCCATAAATTCATCTCCTTCTTCCTCTTCCCCATCCGCACCCCCCTCCTCTTCTCCAACATCCAACTCCGGGGCAAAGAACCCTGCCGCACGGCCAGCAGCGTCAGATGAGCTCATCAGCTTGTCCTCCCACTCCACGGCCGCTCTGCACGCGCGGATAACAGCAGAGAAGGATCGGCACACCGAGATCCCGAACCTGATCTTCCTGAAACTGACGGTGATCCGATCCACAGCACTCTCGCCCCCTTCTCGCTTCACCTCAATGGCCTCAGAAAAGGAGATCTCGCTGGTTTGCATAGCAGTGCTGAAAGAATCAACTACCTCTCTCCATGCTTCAAACTTGTCCGCTTGTGCTGCCTGTGCCTCTGTGAGAATATCCACGTACTTTCCTAAGTGCTTGTTGCTTCCCACCGGTAATACCAGCGCCTCTGCAGCTGCTGCAGAAACACTTGTTCGTCCTTCCTCCTGCCCCTCCCCTCCTGCTTCCCCTCCTGCATCCCCTCTTGCCTCCACTCCTACATCCCCTCTTGCCTCCCCTCCTGCTGCTTCTCCACTCCATTCCACACGCACGAGCATAATCGCAATGCCATCCAATGATACAGCGCGCGGCATAATGGAGTCCGAGGATCCGAGCACCCCTTCCAGACTGAGCGACCGCAGGGCACTGCAGGCTGCAAGCAAGCCTGGGCGGAGGGATGGGAGGCCGGCGAGGTGGAGGGAGTGGAGCTGGGAGGAGCAGCGAGCGAGCAGGGAGCGAAAGCTCCGTGCACCGAACAAACGGTAGGTGGTACCGTGGAGGGAGAGGGAGGAGATAGCTGGGTTGGCTTTGATGATGGGGGCGAGGGAGTATGATGAGACGAGCGGGCAGGAGCGGATGGTGATGTGGGTGAGCTTGTGGAGGGCGCGTGAGAGGGAGGAAAATTCATATGGATCGATGGTGCAGGTGTGAAGGGAGAGGGAGGAGAGGGAGGGGAAGAAGGCGAGGGAAGCGAGGGAGCCTTGCAGTTTGGCGGAGTGGATCGTAAGGGATGTGAGAGTCGTGCGGAGAGCGGATGGAGGGGAGGACGCGAGGCAGGAGGAGGAAGTGGAGGGGGCAAGTGAGTAGAAGGAAGCATGGGGGGAGGAGGAGGAGGAGGAGGAGGAGGAGGAGGAGGAGGAGGAGGAGGAGGAGGAGGAGGAGGAGGAGGAGGAGGAGGAGGAGGAGGAGGAGGAGGCGGAGGAGGAGGAGACAAGAGAGGAGGAGGAGAAAGCAAGAGAGGAGAGAGTGGAGGATTCAGGGTCCCAGAGGGTGAGAGAGGTGAGGGAGGAGCACCAGGGAATGGACAAATAGTCCGAAGGAACGTAGAGGAGAGAGAGGGACTGCAGTGAGGGGAAAAGGTGCAGGGGGGGGAGCACCGGCTGCTGTGTGTGAGAGAGACGCGAGCGCGCAGAGGGCGAGTTTAGCTCCAATGAAGCCAGGAGCCTTCATGCGGAGGGTAGGGGTGAGGGGGAAGGGGAAGGGAGGGGAAGGAGTGAGAGCAAATGCGCATAACTTTGCACTCGGTCCTCCATTCAGGGCGTGTAAAGTCTCGTCAGAGAGCTCTTTAACATCCCAAATCAATAAAGCCATATATGAACGGAGAGACGGACGGATGGACGGACGGACGGACGGACGGACGGACGGACGGACGGATGGATGGATGGATGGATGGATGGACGGATGGATGGATGGTGATGGATTCATGATCATTGGGCAAAAGGATTTGAGGGAGAGAAGGTGCACAAAAGTGTCAACTCACGGGCATTGCTTCGCGAGATCTCGCCACGCTGGACCGTTGACGTTGAAGCTATCCCATGCCGACATGACCAGCTTCAATTTTTCCAGTTTCGGGCAGCCCGCTGCAATCCCTGCAATCAGCTGGTCCCCGAGACCACTGGCGACCTCCACGGTCAGATACGTCACATGGGTAAATACCCCTGAATAATCGTTAAACTTTTTCAACCATTCTCGCGGATTCAAAGCCCTTGATCTGGAGTGGAACTGGAGTCGGAGCGCATGCCGCGTGCGCCGCGATAGGCAGTGTAGGCGGGAACAGGAGAGAGCGACGCTGCAGCGATCGAATGGGTGATTCACGAGGCTGAGAATGATTTGGAGGAGCTCATCGGGGAGAGATAGCAACCTACTATGGTCGGCGCCTTCTCTGTCTTCCGCCATCACGAGCTGACCGAAAATAACGAGTCTGGAAGCCTCCAGAAGACACAGCTGGACAAGAAAACGAGCGAGAAAAGAGCCAAGATGAAGAGCAGAAGCAAGAGGAAGCCGATGCAAAGGATCTGCTAGAATGGAATCGTCGGGAAGGCGCTTGGCCAGATTTTGCTGAGATCAGACGTTTCTTAAAATAAAGGGGTTCATACCCAGCAGATCGGGCAGTCCGAGGCTTGCGGGAAGCCGTCCCGATCTGGGCCTGGTCCCGAGGGGAAATTGAGGCACCACCACGGGATAGTCGGATGTGGCTAGAAGCTGAAATGGGGTTTCGTAATTAACGCTACGAAAGCGCTAACGGGACAGGCTTCTCCCGTTTGCGTTTGAGGCGCTTCAGAAGAAAAGCGCTGTCACGTATTCGTGCTAGCTCGAGCGAAGGCGAGGAGATGGGTGAAGATTACGACTGAAACAAGGGGTGGATCGAACGACGACAACTTCTATCAAGAACTAACCTTCTAAGGAGGACGATTTCCCAAGCTCAGCAGGAATCGTCGTCTGAACTTGGAAGTGTTCGGAGTTGGACTGGCTGGTAGGAGGTGATGGTGTTGATTCACTCTCCGTGGCTGGGTGCAGAAAATAGAAACCGTACCCAACCGATCTGGGCCTCCTGAACAAGCGGAAACGAATCTCCACGGCAGCCATTACCGGATGAATGCGGAGCGGACCGACAGATGACCGACTCCACGTCGACCGTCAGCTCCCGTGCGCTGGAATTGCCCTGCCTGACGCACTCACACTCCCCCTCCACTCGCACACGGGAAACGTTAGTGGCTGCATGTATGGAGAGGGGAGCGGAGCTCTCGAGGCAATCCGCTTCGGGCTCTGGGACGAAGCAATAACGAGTCTTGAGTTCCGAGGATCGCGTTTGACATATGTTGGGAGATGACAGAAAACTGGATGCAGGGGAAAGGGGAGAGGGGCTGCTGGATAGGGGGCAGGGTTTCCCAGGAAAAATCCCCTAACGCGTACGCCCGAGAGGAGTCGTGTTTCATCGAGTTTTGTACTCGAGACCATGTTCAGGAATCACTAAGTTCTTTGACTAAATATACCTCATAAATTGTATCTAAAAGGCCTTGTTTGAAGGGATGGGATAATGGGCCTAAACGAAGGCCAAAATGAAGTGTCCTGTAACGCACATACGTGCCAGGAGCTTCTGTTTTTTTGCAGCGCTCTCAACCATGCAACAACACCTCAAAGTAAACAATATTTACATTTATTTACACAATAAAAGTGAATGGCGATATTGTGCCAAATGTCAAACAATATGTTTAATATATACCCTGCGTGCTGTAGGTACTGTAGTTATTATTATTAAGAGTTGGTGGTGCACCTTCTTTGTTACTTTGCTATATGTACCTTGTGTGCTATAGTGAAACCCCTCTTTCCTTGCCTAAACTCTCTCGTCACTTTCTCCTCTTCACCCTAGCATGGCTCCTCACCTCTAGCTACTATCTTGACATGGTACAGAGCTGGTTCTTTCCCGGAACCTTCTCTTTTTTTTTAAGAATCATGGGCCCGCCCGTACTACAGCGCGAAATGCGCTATTTTTTTTTTTTTTCCCGTTCGCCGTGGCGCCTAATTCCCGTCGCCGCGGCGCCCCGCGTTCCCGTAGCCGCGGCGCCTGCTTTCCGTCGTCGCGGCGCCCGGTTCCCGTCGCCGCGGCGCCCCGTGTTCCGTCGCCGCGGCGCCCTGCGTTCCGTCGTCGGGGCGCACCCCTTCCCGTCGTCCGCGAACCCCGTTTCGTCGCCTCGCGGCCCTCGTCGCCCCGCGATCCGCCTTCACCAGCGCGGACGCCAGCGCCACGGCCAGCCGCGAGCGCCAGTGCCAGCGCCAGCGCCAGCGCCGCAGCCAGCCGTGAGCGCCAGTGCCTGCGCGGACCGCCAGCGCCACCGCCAGCAGCTGCGATTGCCGCCAGCGCCAGCGCCGGCAGCTGCTCACGCTGCCCCCCCTCCCGCCCTCCCTTCCGCGGCTTCAGTCGTGGGGGGGGGGGGGGGAGGGGAGACGTGGGGGTGGCGGGTGTGAACCTCCAGCAGGCTGTCCCTCCCTTCCCTCCTCCTCTCTCCACTGCAGCATTTGTTGCTGTAGGGGGGGGGGGGGAGGAGCGAGGTTAAGAGGGGGGAGAGAAGTGCAGAAGGGTGAGGGGGTGGCGGGAGAAGACAGGTGCGGAAGGTGTGAGGTTGACGGGGTTGAGTGACGAGGGGGGTGAGGACTAGGGGGTTCTTAACGGGGGGGGATCGCATTGAGCGTGCGCGCTCATGCCCGCCTAGCCCACCTCCTCTCCTCATCGGGACTTGGGGGTTCTTAACGGGGGGGGATCGCTATGAGCTTTCGCGCTCAAGCCCGCCTAGCCCACCTCCTCTCCCTTCCCTCTCTCACCTCCCCTTTGTAAAAGGAGGTTCGTAAGCGGGTCCGCCGGTCCTGGCCCCCCACCTCCTCTCCTCTCCTCTCCTCTCCTCTTCTCTCCTCTCCTCTCACCTTCCTCACTTCTCTGCCTTCTTCCACAGCGCTTGTTCAGGGGGTGCTGGCTGCACCAGTTTCTACCGCACGCAGGCTAAGGGGGTGTGTCAAACAATATGTTTAATATATACCCTGCGTGCTGTAGGTACTGTAGTTATTATTATTAAGAGTTGGTGGTGCACCTTCTTTGTTACTTTGCTATATGTACCTTGTGTGCTATAGTGAAACCCCTCTTTCCTTGCCTAAACTCTCTCGTCACTTTCTCCTCTTCACCCTAGCATGGCTCCTCACCTCTAGCTACTATCTTGACACCAAACAGCAGCCTTGACACCAGTATGCACCTACTGCATCTGTCACCAATGTCACATCCCCCTCATAACCACACCAGCACGAAGCAACTCTCTCCGAGCTCTTTCCGTGACCTTCCCCACTTCCACCTTCAAGTAGCACAACCTTGGGAAGCTTCCAAGAAGTCCTCCAATGCCAGTTGCTGTGATTTTACCACACTCGAGCAGAGTCAAACTAGCGAGCGTTCCCACTCTGCTTCCTGCCACCACTGCATCTGAAATTTCGTTGTTTTGCAACACCCTTAGCTCCTCCAACTTAGAGCACGCTCCGACTAGTTCCAGCCAGTCCTGCTCCTTCAACCCTACACAGCGCACCAAGGCGAGGTGCTTGAGGTGCCTGAAGGCTGCAGCTCGGGCAAGGGACTCAAAAGACATTGGGTGATCGCTTGAGCACGGGGCAGAGGAGGAGCGGAGAGATGTGGCGGCAAGGGAAGAGGAGGAGGAATGGTGACATAATGAGGATGGTGGCGAGGGGAAGGAGGAAAGGTACATGCGAGGAGACGAAGACGAAAGGGTGGGAGGCAGCCAGGGGGCACGGGGAGTGGAGGCGAAGCAGAGGGATTGGAGGGTCAGGGTCTCCAGTGGAGGGCAGTACACTTGCACGGGGACTGCTGCATGGTACCCTTCGGAATGCTTCAAGCTTGTCTTTCCACTGTTTAGTTGCGCATCCACTGCTGAAGCCTCCCCTGCTGCTGCCTCCCCTGCTGCTGCCTCCCCTGCTGCTGCCTCCCCTGCTGCTGCCTCCCCTGCTGCTGCTTCCCCTGCTTCTGCTTTCCCTGCTGCTGCCCCACCTGCTGTTGCTTCCCCTGCTGCAACTTCTCCCAACCCTCTGTCTTCTGGTGTGCTTCCCACCCGCTGCGATGCTTCTGCTGCCCCTCCTCTCACTCCGTGCACTGCTGCTCTTCCCTCACGCACTGCTGTCATCGCATAAGCTGCTGCGGCTCCATCTGCTGCTCCTCCTCCTGCGGATGCAGCACCTCCTGCTGCACCTCCTTCTTCCGCTGCTCCACCTCCTTCTTCCGCTGCTCCGCCTCCTTCTTCCGCTGCTCCACCTCCCGCTGCTGCACCTCCTTCTCCCGCTGCTGCACCTCCCGCTGCTCCACCTCCTCCTCCTGGTGTTGCTGCCCTACCTCCTGCTGCTGCCGCATCCACCACTGGCCGAGCCAGGGTGGGGGTGAGTGGGCGCATGGAATCAAAGCTAGCAGACATGGCGTCAGTCTGCTCCCCCAGCTCCTCCATTAGCGCCTGCAGCCTCTCCACCCCCTCTGCACGTGTCTCCACCACATCAGACCGCACCCCACCCAGCATGTCATCCGTGCCCCTGCTTCCATCTCCTGCTTCTGTCTCCTCCCCATCCCTGTCCTCCTCATCTTCAGGATTCAGCTCCGTAGTAAAGAGCCCTGCTGCCTGGAGAGCAGCAGCAGCAGCAGCAGGTGAATGATCCGCAATAGCCATATTGGAGGCAGCAGCAGCAGCAGCAGCAGCAGCAGTAGCAGCACTAGCAACAGCAGCAAGCACCTGCATCAGCGCCTCCTCCCACTTGATCGCCGCATTGGCCTCACGTACCCCGGCGCAGAAGGACCGGCACGCCGAAATCCCGAACCTGATCTTCCCGAGGCTGGCAACAATCCGAGGCACGGCGCTCTCACCCTCCACGCGCGCCGCCGAGAGCGCATCGGAGCGGGCGATTTTAGAGGCTTCATTGGCTATTTGAAAGAGACGGACCACATCGCTCACCGCTGCTAGCTTATCTTCCTGCGCTGCCTCTGCCTCTCTGCGAATGTCCACGTACTTTCCCCACTGCTTGTCGCCCCCCCTCGGGAATACCCGTGCTGCTGCAGCTGCTGCAGAAGCACTCGGATGTGCTTCCTCTGACACGTCTGCCCCACCATCCGTTGTTGCCTCCCCTCCTGCCTCCGTTCCCCGCCCTCCTCCTCCTCTCCGTTCCACCCTCACAAGCATACCCACAAGGCCGTCCAATGATACAGCGCGTGGCAATAAGGAGTCTGAGGCACAATCGACCACCCCTTCCAGGCTGAGCGACCGCAGGGCACTGCAGGCTGCAAGCAGGCCCGGGCGGATGGATGGGAGGCCGGCGAGGTGGAGGGAGTGGAGCTGGGAGGAGGAGTGCGAGAGGAGAGACCGGAAGCCCTGTGCGGCGAACAGACGGTAGGTGGTGCTGTGGAGGGAGAGGGAGGAGAGAGCAGGGTTGGCTTGGAGGATGGGGACGAGAGATTGGGAGGAGACGAGTGGGCAGGAGTGGATGGTGAGGTGGGTGAGGGAGTGGAGGGAGCGTGAGAGAGAGCAGAGTTCGTATGGGTCGATGGTGCAGGAGTGGAGGGAGAGGGAGGCGAGGGAGAGGAAGAGGGAGAGTGAAGCGAGGGAGCCCTGAAGTTTGGCGGAGTGGATCGTGAGAGATGTGAGCGACATGCGGAGAGGGGATGGGAGGGCGGATGAAAGCGGTGAGGAGCAGGAGGAGGAGGAGGAGGAGGAGGAGGAGGAGGAGGAGGAGGAGGAGGAGGAGGAGGAGGAGGAGGAGGAGACAAGGGAAGTTGAGGAGAAGGCAAGGGAGGATAGTGTGGAGGATTCGGGAGCCCATAGAGTGAGAGAGGTGAGGGAGGAGCAGCGGGGAATGGAGATGTAGTCGGATGGAACGTAGAGGAGAGAGAGGGACTGCAGTGAGGGGAGGAGGTGCACGGGGGGAAGTGGCGGCTGCCGGGTGTAGGAGAGACGCGCGCGCGCATAGCGTGAGTTGAGCTCCAGAGAGGTTAGGAGGCTGACGGAGGGGGAAGGGGAGAGAGGGGGTGGGAGGGAGGGGGGGGTGTCAAGCGGGAGGTGTGCTAAGGGAGAGTTGAAGAGAGAAGGTTCTTAAGGATGAGGTGAAGAGGGTGGAAAATGCACGCCGTGAGGTTCTGCAAGTAAGAGCATTTCAGAACACGGGAGATAGGAATGGATGGATAGATGGATGGATGGATGGATGGATGGATGGATGGATGCATGGATGCATGGATGGATGGATAGATAGATGGATGCACAGATGCATGCACGCATCGATGCGTGAATGGATGAATGTGGATGGATGAAGTGGGCAAAATACGTTCAGGGAAAGAGAAGAACGCGAACGGCTACTTACCCGCAGTGTGTCACGAGTGCTCGCCACGCTCGATCCTTTACGTTGAAGAGTCAATTTTTAAGACGACTCATAAAAAGAGAGGAACGGGAACGTTTACTTACGGACAGTGTGTCACGAGTGCGCACCACGCTCGACCGTTGACGTTGAAGCTATCCCAACCCGTCATCCATTTCAGTTTTTCCAATCTCGGGCAGCCCGCTGCAATCCCCGCCATGAGCTGATTTCCGAGCCCAGAAGGAATTTCAACAGTCAGATCCGTTATGTGGGTGAACACCCTTGAATAATCGTCAAACGCTTTCAGCCATTGTCGCAGATTCGTAACCTTTCGCCGAGAGCAGAAGTCGAAGCTGAGCGCGTGCGGCGTGCGCCGAGAGAGAAGGCGTAGGCGGGAGCACGAGAGTGCGACGTTGCGGCGATCGGATGGGTGATCTGCGAGGCCGAGAATGATTTCGAGGAGCTCGTCGGGGAGCGATAGCAGCCTGCTGCTGCCGGCGCGATCGCTTCTTTTCGCCATAGCGAGCTTACCGACTTGGTTGATTGCCTCCTGTAACCTCAAAATACTCCACGTGATAACATCGGAACCTCGTAAGCTATTTTACAGACACGTGTAAGGAAAAAAAAAAAGTCGGGACTCGTGCGATCTCGAGCTCCGCGATCAGCTGATCTGAGAGGCCGACAACGATTCGAACGAGCTTGTCTTGAGGCGCCTAAAAACACGTGCGACCTCGAGCTCCGGGATCAGCTGATTGAGAGGCTGACAACGATCCGCACGAGCTCGTCGGGTTGAGAGTGGAAACGCGAGTCGCTAAGGAGGAATCAGGTTCTAACAAGGCAATTGACTGTTGTAAATTTGTGATGGCAATAGCGGACAAAAATATGACCGTTGGCTCGAGCGATGATGATGTGTCAGGTGTGACTAGTGCGTGCAGACATTGCTGGAGGAGGCCTGAGAGCTGGGACGCGCTGATTGGTGGGAACTGGGGAACTGGGCAGAACCTCGCAGGACACATCCCCTAACGCGTACGTCCGAGGGGAGTGTTCGTGTAACCGTGTTTCATGGAAATTTGTATTTTTCCGAGCCAATCTGAGCTATCACGACCTAAATTTTACCTCTAAATGGTAAATCTAATGTTTTGTTTAATACCCGAAGTCAGCATGGTAATTTTCCAAGTTATGTGAGGTTGAAATAGGGTTGGCGAATCAGGCAGGGGCGAAAGCACACAATTATACTATCACAGTTTCACTGTTGTGCAACGATTTTTTATGCTTGCCTCCAGGTGAAGACAGAAGAAAATATAGTATGATAAAACCCACATTTGCATCAACATTCATCTCACACATACCTCACAACCACACCAGCACGAAGCAACTCTCTTCGAGCCCGTTCCGAGACCTTCCCCGCTTCCACCTTCAAGTACCGCAATCTAGGGAAGCTTCCAAGAGCCTTTCCTATACCTGCTGCTGTAATCCTACCACACATGACCACCGTCAAGCTAGCGAATGTTCCCAGTCTGCTTCCTGCCTCCACTACATCTGAAAATCTGTCGTTTTCCTGCACCTTTAGTTCCCTCAACCTGACACATGCGGCAAGCAGTTGGATCCACTCCTGCTCCTCCAACCCCAAGCAGCGCACCAGGGCAAGCCGCTTCAGCTGTCCAAAAACCGCAGCTCGAGCAATGCACTGAAAAGACGTTGGCTGAATGCTTGGGCTTGGGCCAGGGGAAGGGGAGAAGAGGCAAGAGGTGGAGGAGGAGAAAGATGAGTGGCGAGAAGTGGAAGGTGTGAGGGGGGGGGAGAGATACATGAGAGGAGATGCAGAGGGAAGCGTTGTAGGCAGCCACGAGACGAAGGGAGTGGGGGAGAAATAGAGCGTTTGGAGGGTTAAGGAGTCCAGGCGAGGGCAGAATACTTGCACAGGGACTGCTGATTGGAACCCCTTGGGATATTCGCCTGATGCCTTGCGGCTGCTTATTTGTCCATCTTTTGGTGCCGCCTCCCCTGCTACCACTTCCCCTGCTGTCGCTTTCCCTGCAGTTGCCTCTCCTGCAGCGACCCCCCCTGCTGCTGCCACATCCCCTGTTGCCACATCCCCTGCTGCCGCCTCCCCTGCTACCGCACCCACCACTGGTAGCGCTGGAGTGGATCCCAAGGAGGAGTTGAGATGGCGCAGGAAATGCAAGTTTTCACGCACGGCTACACGCTGCTCCCTCAGCTCCTCCGTCAGTGGCCTCACCATGCCCAACACCTCTTCATGTGTCTCCACCGCACTGGACTGCACCCCACCTGGCGCACTCTCAGGCAAGCCATCAACGGCCAGAAGGCCATCCATGCCCCTCAATTCATCCCCTTCCTCCTCCCCATCCACGTCCTCTTGTCCAAAATTTGGATCTGTAGAAAAAAACCCTGCGGCCTGGCCAGCAACAATAGTGGCGTTGGAGTCAGCAGCAGCAGCAGCAGCTGTATTTGAGTTAGCAGCAGCAGCAGCAGCAGCAGCGAATGCCCTCATCAGCCTTTCCTCCCACACAAAAGCCGCCTTCGACTCGCGAACCGCCCTGCAAAACGACCGGCACGCCGAAATCCCGGATCTGATATTCCCGAGGCAAGCAGCCATCCGTGCCACCTCGATCTCTCCCTCTGCACGCGCTGGCCAGCGAGCGTCGGATTGGGCAATCTCAATGGCTTCTTCAGCAGCTTCGAAGAAATTGATTGCGCTTTGTGTTGCCTCAAACTTGTCTGCCTGAGCCGCCGCTGCCTCTGTGCGAAAATCCACGTATCTCCCACCACTCCCTGCTGCTGCCCGCAATGCTATCCGTGACGCTGCAGCTGCTGCGGCTGCAGAAACACCCGTCTTTCCTTTCTCCCACCCTTCCATTCCAACCTCCCCTCCTGCCTCCCCTCCTGCTTCCCTTCCTGCCTCCCCTCCTGCCCGCCCCCCCGCACCCCCGATCCGCTCCACGCGCACGAGCATACTCACAAGGCCGTCCAGAGACACTTCCCGCGGCGATTGCCGCCCCGGAGGGTCGATCACCCCTTCCAGACTCAGCGCGCTCAGGCCCCTGCAGTCTGCAAGCAGGCCCGGGCGCAAGCAGGGGAGGCCGGCGAGGTGGAGGGAGTGGAGCTGGGAGGAGGAGTGAGCGAGGAGGGAACGGAGGCCCTGTGGTCCGAACAGACGGTGGGTGGTTCCGTGGAGGGAGAGGGAGGAGAGAGCTGGGTTGGCTTGGAGGATGGGGATGAGGGAGTGGGAGGAGAGGAGTGGGCAGGAGTGGATGGTGAGGTGGGTGAGATGGTGGAGGGAGCGTGAGAGGGAGTGGAGGGAGCATGAGAAGGAGTGGAGTTCGTTTGGATCAATGGTGCAGGAGTGGAGGGAGAGGGAGGAGAGGGTGGGGAAGAGAGCGAGGGATGCGAGGGAGCCCTGAAGTTAGGCGGAGTGGATGGTGAGGGACGTGAAGGACGTGCGGAGAGAGGATGGGGGGGGGACGCAACTGAAGAGGCGGATGAGGAGGCAAGGGAGGAGGAGGAGAAGGCAAGAGACGAGAGAGTGGAAGATTCAAGGCTCCAGAGGGTGAGGGAGGGAGGTGAGGGAGGAGCAGCGGGTAATGGGGAGTAAGTCCGAGGGAACGTAGAGGAGAGAGAGGGACTGCAGTGAGGGGAATAGGTGCAGGGGGGGGAGTGGCGGCAGCCGTGTGTAGGAGCGCTCATAGCGTGAGTTTAGCTCCAGCGAGGTCAAGAGCCTGAAGGAAGGGTAAAGGGGCGGGCGTCGAGGGGTTAAGAGAGAGGTGTGCAGAGGGAGGGCTGAAGAGGGAGGGGTGAGGGAAGAGGATGAGGTGAAGGACGGACGGACGGACGGACGGACGGATGGATGGATGGGTGGATGCAAGCACACACGCAGGCATGCATGGATGGATGGATGTGGATGAATAGATTGGCCACAAGGTTCCGTGGGAGAGAAGGGTAACGGAAATGTCTGTTTACGGGCAGTGCTTCGCGAGCTTTCCTTTCTTGAGGTGCCTTCCCACCATGAGCGACGACGACCAAGAGGAAAGGAACCGTCTACTCACGGCTTTTGAGTTGACTCAAAAGCTGTTCTTTCTTGAGGTGCCTTCCCACCATGAGCGACGACGACCAAGAGGAAAGGAACCGTCTACTCACGGCTTTTGAGTTGACTCAAAAGCTGTTCTTTCTTGAGGTGCCTTCCCACCATGAGCGACGACGACCAAGAGGAAAGGAACCGTCTACTCACGGCTTTTGAGTTGACTCAAAAGCTGTTCTTTCTTGAGGTGCCTTCCCACCATGAGCGACGACGACCAAGAGGAAAGGAACCGTCTACTCACGGCTTTTGAGTTGACTCAAAAGCTGTTCTTTCTTGAGGTGCCTTCCCACCATGCGCGACGACGACCAGGAGGAACAACGGAATCGTCTACTTACGGGCAGTTCTTCGCGAGATTTCGCCACGCTTGATCGTTGACGTTGAAACCATTCCTACCCCACAACAATTTCAGTTTTTCCAAATTCGGGCAGCCCGCTGCGATCCCCGACATCAGCTGATTCCCGAGCCCGGATGAAATTTCCACGGTCAAATCCGCTATGTGGGTAAATACCCTTGAATAATCGTCAAACGCTTTCAGCCATTGTCGCAGATTCACAACCCTTCGCCGCAAAGAGTAATACTCGAGGCGGAGCGCGTGCGGCGTGCGTCGAGAGAGGCGGCGGAGGCGGGAGCAGGAGAGCGCGACGCTGCGGCGATCGGATGGGTGATCTGCGAGGCTAAGAATGATTTGGAGGAGCTCGTCGGGGAGCGATAGCAGCCTGCTGTTGCCGGCGCGATCGCTTCCTTTCGCCATCGCGAAAAGATCGTTCACTTTTTTTGTTGCCTCCTGTGAACTCAAATGTCTCGATCTGGAAACATATGCAAACCTCGAAAGGCTTCGCACGAACACGTGAAATTCCAAAAGGCTTCACTTCAGAGCGCGTGCCGCCTCGAACCGAACCCAGCGACTAGATTATCTAGGAGGCCGAAAGCAATCCCGCAAGAGATCGTGGGGGTGTGAGAGGAAGCGAGAGTAGCTCAAGAATCAGGCTGTTGCTTGCGAGGCGACAGGCTTTGTGGCGATGCATATTGTGATATGATAGGGGATGGATGGGAAATATTACCGTTGACGGGCATGATCTTGTGGATGCTGTAGAGAAACGAAAGTAATACAGTGTTACTGGAGGAAGAGGCGGGAAACCTGAGACACGCTCTGATTGGGTGGGACTGGAGCATATACCATCCAAAACAAACCGAACCGAACTAAACCGAGATGGACTTGAAGCGAAACCAAACAGAACCACCACACAAATTGTAGGGTACCCATCTCAACCTCTCAACACCAGAATTCATTGGATTTCCTGTCGGTCGCCGTGAGACCAGATCAGAGATCGGCTGCGATAAGTTGGCGAAGACGACTTTGTCGCAAAGTCGGAGCAGGCCTGAAATGAAACATCTCGTTGGCGTCGGCGCGTCGCAAGGCAAAACTGGTGTCAGTGGCAGGCCCACCACGGCTATTGCGAGTCAGCGTTTATAGGGTATGACACGTATGAGCCCACGTGCTTGTTCCGTCAGAAGGCATTTACTCTATACCGTAGGTATGCTCTCTCACAGAAACAGCTGTCTTTCGACTCGGAGTCGGGGGTTAATCAGTGTGTCGTGATAGTAGGTACTTAGTGAGGAGTCTCCAAGAGGAATCCCCAGCAGTTTTTAGCCACTCTCAGAATCCCCAACAGTGTCCAGCCATGGATCGGGGAGCCCCTCGATACCCGAGTGATCTGAATCGACCACTAGCCAACCCTCAAAGCTCCGCCGGCAATCCCTATGGACCGTCCGACTATTCCCAGGGCTCCTCGGGTTACCCTAACGCGCAGGGATTCGCAGCAGGCTCCGCTGGCCCGCAATACAGCACGGTCGGGAGAATCGAGGGAGGCGGGGTGGGAGGTGCAAACCCTAGCTTGGCTGCGTCCGTGTCCCCGTTCCAGAGTGCGTATGACCAGCAGCTGCAGCATCAGCAACAGCAGCAGCAGGATTCCAATCAGCAGAGGTACCAATACTTGAACCAGCAGCAATTGCAGCAGAGCCAGCAGCAAGAGCAGCAACGGCAGTACCAGCAGCAGCAGGAGCACCTTCAGCAGCAGCAGCATAAGCAGCAGCAGGTTGGGGCCGGAGCTGTGGCGATGCAAGACGCCAATGCCTTGTGGGAGCGGATCGAGGGACTGGAGGTAAGAAAAGACGGCTCACCTCGTTCCGTCCACCTCATGCACGATTGTACAGGCTCGGGAAAGGCACACGGTTCGGGCGTGCTGGTCTGGGTGATAATGCTAACTTGACCAGCACAGTAAGAAGGGGTTCACTAAGAAAGCATGCTCAGAATAAGCATTGCGCCGAGGCAGCGGGGGCAGTGATTAGTGCTCGATAAGAATGCTGCATGGTAACCTGTTTCGCCTATTTCGTCTCCCCCTCTCGATGTCTGTGGCTCCAAGCGGATTTGCGCAGTGCACGGTTGGAGGCAGCGAGGGCGAGGGCTGCTCTGGAAGCTCAGGAGCACAGATGCGCTGGGCTGATGGAGGATGTGAGTGCCGCTGGTAACATGGTAACATGGTAACATGGTAACATGGTAACAGAGTAGTTGGTAATTGAGAACACTAAAAGGCCGGCTGCTCTGGAAGCTCAGGAGCACAGATGCGCGGGGCTGATAGAGGACATGAGTGCCGCTGGTAACATGGTAACAGTAAGAGTTATTAACAGACAGCTGCTCCGGAGGCTCAGGAGCACAGATGCGCGGGGCTGATGGAGGATGTGAGTGCTGCTGGTAACATGGTAACAAAGTAGCTGGTTTATGAGAACACTAGCAAACTATCTCCTCTGGAAGCTCAGAGCATAGATGCGCTGGGCTGATGGAGGACGTGAGTGCTGCTGGTAACATGGTGCTGAGCTGACTCATTTGTTTATTCGCATGAAGAAAAGTGCCAGTGTTCAATTCCTTAGAGCAACTATTCCTCTAGTTGTCATACAGCCTCTTTTTCACCATTTTCCCATGCACACTCCACTCCCCTCCCATTCCCTCTCTTTTCCCGTTCCTCCCCTCCCCTCCCTTCCCCTCCCCTCCCCTCCCTTCCTCCCTGCGCACAAACCCTCAGGTGCGGCGGCTGGAGTCGGACAGAGCGCTGCTGAAGAAGCAGGTGGACGCGTTTGCCTCTCAGCTGCACTCTCCCCCCTCTCCTCCCCTCCTCTCCCCTCCCATCCCAACACCCTCCCAGGTACGACACCTCGAGTCGGACAGAGCGCTGCTAAAGAAGCAGGTGGACGCGTTCGCCTCTCAGCTGCACCCATTCTCGCTGCTGCCCCTCTTCTACCCTCCCCTCCCCTCCGCACATCCTTCCAGGTGCAGCGGCTGGAATCTGACAGGGCGCTGCTGAAGAAGCAGGTGGACGCGTTTGCCTCTCAGCCACACTCTATCTCCCCTGTACTCCTCTCCCCTACTTTTTCCCCCGCCTTGCCTTCCCGTGCCTTCCCCTCCACCCAAACAACATCCTCCCAGGTACGACGGTTGGAGTCGGACAGAGCGCTGCTGAAGAAGCAGGTGGATGCGTTCGCGTCTCAGCTGCACCTCACCAACTCGCAGCTCTCTCAGGCGCAGGCGGCTCTGCAGGCAGTGCAGGAGCAGAACAATGCGCACTCTAACAAGGTGCGTGGCTGGCCTTTTGTTTCCATCAAAAAGCACTGTGTAGCCAAGTCAGCAGGTGGACTAGGCGCGTTCGCGTCTCAGCTGCACCTCACCAACTCGCAGCTGGCCCAGGCTCAGGCAGCACTGCAGGCAGCACAGGAGCAGAACAGTGCGCACTCCAACAAGGTGCGTGGCGGATAATATCCAATTATGATGCCCACCTGGAGGATGTGATTCGCCTCTAAGCTGCTGGCTCAGGCGCAGCGCAGCCTCTGCTTTTGAGTCGATTCAAAAGCACTCCAACAAGATGTGTGGCAGATAATATCCGCCTGGAACATGTGATTCGCCTCTAAGCTGGCTCAGGCGCAGCCTCTGCCCTGCTGCAGGGTCTGATTTGCCTCCTGGCTGAACAATGCGCACTCCAACAAGGTGTGTGGTGGATAATAGCCGCCTGGAGGATGTGGTTCGCATCTAAGCTGACGCAGGCGCAGCGCAGCCTCTGCTCTGCTGCAGGATCCGATTTGCCTCTTGGCAGAGCAATGCTCACTCCAATTTTGAGGCGCCTCAAACAGGATCTGATTTGGCTCTTGGCAGAGCAACGCTCACTCCAAACCACTTGCGCCTTCTGCCATCGTTCCTTCCTTGTCCACTTCTCCTCCTCCTTCCCATCCCTGCCTTCTCTCTTTGTCGCTCTCTTCTTGCACTTGTCCTCTCCTTTGCTCTTCCCTGACCTTCCCTCACCCCCCTCCCCCCATCTTATGCTTGCCTTCGCGCCCCCGTGCCATCAGCGGAGGAGCAGGCAGTAGCACTGCGCGAGGGAGTGGAGGCAGCAGCACTGCGCGAGGCAGTGGAGGCAGCAGGCAGGCATCAAGTCTGAGGCGTCTCAAACCCCCCCTTCCCTTTCCCGCCTTGTCTCCCTTCCATTCCCCTTTTACTCTTGCTTCCGTACCCCTCTCCTCATCCCCGTCCGTTCCCATGCCGACAGTCGGAGGAGCAGGCAGCAGTGCTGCGCAAGGCAGTGGAGGCAGCAGGCATTGAGAGGGATGCAGCTGTGCTCGCCAAGGTACTGTGGCCGTTGTTTTGTGTGGGGGCAAAGGGAATATCTGTGTGTGTGCATGTTCGTGTGTATGAAGGGGAAGGGGGGAAGGGCAGGGAGGGGAGGGGGGGGGGGGAGAGTTTTTTTGTTTTATTGCTCAATTTTTGTTTTGTTTTCTTCTTCTTCTTCTTTCACTGCCTACCGCCTGTTTTGAAACTTCTAACTCTTTCTATAGTGTAGTGTAGTGTAGTGGTGCTCAGAACAAATGCAGTCTTCAGACTACTGCCCTCCACGCCTCTGCAACCCAGTGAGGCTGGAGAACTTGACACCGTAGGTGTGGGTGCTGGAAAGTTGACTGCTGCAGGAGGCAGTTGCATAACCGTCAAGGGACGCTTGCTGCTGCTGTTTGCCTGTTCCCTGTCTTCATCTCTTTTCCCTTTGACTCACCCTCCCTTCCCTCGCTACCGCTCTCCCCCCACAAGCAGGAGGACCTGGCATCGCAGGTGCGGGTGCTGAAGAGACGACTGCAGGAGGCAGAGGAGGAGCAATGCAAGGTAACGGGGCGGCAGAGGGCATTGGCAGGATTAGAGCTAGGAGCATGGACTGCCGTGTATGGGCTGTCATTGATTAAGGGGTGGGAGGGGGGGGGTGGGGAGGGGGGGGTGGTTGTACAGCACTCTGCCACCATTGGTTACGGGGTTGTACAATCCTGGGTCTCTTCTTGTCATTGCCCGGTTTCTTCAGGCGAAGATACATTGCCAGCAGTGCTTGCAGCGTTCGCAGCTATGCTTACACCAATTTCGAGTGGAGTAAGCATTTTGGAGTTGCCTAAAAAAGCCCCTCCTCTCCTCCCTCCGCGACTCACCTGTCGCAGGCAGAAGAGGCATCGGCAGCGCTAGCAGCAGAGCTGAGGGCGCTACAGCACTCAACAGAGGCCACGGTGGATCGGGCAGGTGCGGCGTTTTCTCCCGACCCTGACCAGCTCCGGGTTGCCGAAGCTGCCAGGGATGCTGCCAAGGCTGAGCTGCAGGTACGGAACAGGCGGGTGAGAGGCAAGGTGTGAGTGGGTGTGGACTTGAATGTGGGTTTACGCTAGGTGAGTATGTCTTGATTGGTTTTGAGTGGTCTTGAATGGTCTCGCATGGTCTCGCTTGTCCCTCTTTCCCCTTTCTTTCTTGAACAACTCGAGGTCTTGTGTGACTGGCAACAGGTGACAGGCATGCAGCAGCAGCTGACAAGCATGCAGCAGCAGCTGACAGGCATGCAGCAGCAGCTGACAAGCATGCAGCAGCAGCTGACAGGCATGCAGCAGCAGCTGACAGGCATGCAGCAGCTGACAGGCATGCAGCAGCTGACAGGCATGCAGCAGCTGACAGGCATGCAGCAGCTGACAGGCATGCAGCAGCTGACAGGCATGTGGTTCTCAAGCAGAGGCAGAGCCACAGAGAACGGTCAGATGCAATCATGTCCACATACTTATCTAACCTTCTCATTTTGCACTCTCTCCTCCCTCGTCCCTCCACAGGACCTGCGCCAGGAGCTGACAGGCATGCGGCAGCAGCTGATAGCAGAGAGGCAGAGGGCGGCAGCGGCGGCTGGAGGGAAGGAAGCGGTTGAGAAGCAGCTGGCAGCCGTGCAGGCGAGTCTGAAGGTGGGTTGGGTTGAGCCGTTTTTTTCTTCTATTTTCTTTTCTTTTCTTCTTCTTCTTCTCCCTTTTTTTCCTAGTTCGGTTGTTATCCGAATTTTCCCTCATTTTCTATCTTTGTGCCATCTTCAGGGGGCATTGGAAGCAGAGGAGAGGCTCAAGATCAATGCTAAGGCAGAGGTTCGGCAAGAGGTGGAAGGGGACCTCAGGTCCGACATCGAGGCTGAGGTTCGGCAGAAGCTGGAAGCGGAGGTCCGGGAAGCGGCTGAGGTTGAGGCTCGGAAGAAGATGGAATCCGAGGTTCGGCAGGACGTGGAGGGGAAGGTTCGGAAAGAACTTGAAGCTGAGGTTCGGGAGAAGCTGAAGGCGGAGGTTCGGGAGGAGCTAGGAAGGGGAGCTGGGAAAAGTGCTGAGGAGGACTCAAAAGCCAGCAGGCTAGGGCCGGCGGCAGGATCGGTCGATGTGGGAACTCAAGTGACATCTGTGAGCGAGGAGGCTCGGAAAGAGATCGAAGCAGCTGCTGTGGCTCGGATGCGGCAGGAATTGAAGGAAGAGGTTCGTAAGGAGCTTTGGGACGAGGTTGAGAAGCAGGTTCGGGAAGAGGTGTCTGAGAAGGTTCGGGAGGAGATGCGGAAGGAGGTAGAAATGGAGTTGAAAAAGTCCAAGGGTGATCCTGAGGGTGCTTCGACTGCTGCTGCTGCTGGCTGTGGTGCTGGTGCTGGTGGAGCTACGGTTGAGAGTGGTGTAGAGGGTGTAGGGGACGGTGAGAGGGCGGAGGTGGAGGGCAAAGGTGAAGGAGTAGGTGAAGATGTGGCAGGTGGAGGAGAAAGAGAAGGAGCAGGAGCAGGGGCGGGAGCAGGGGCGGCGGCAGCAGGGGTGGCAGCAGGGGCAGGAGAAGGGGTGGGAGAAGGGGTGGGAACAGGGGTTGGAGAAGGGGTGGGAGCAGGGGTTGGAGAGGCAAGTGAAGCAGTGGGGCAGTCAACTCAAGAACTTGCACGATTGAAGGTGATTAGCCTTGTCATTTTCCCCTTTTTAATGGCTCCTTGGTTCTTACTATGCTCACATGCACACAATGAGACGAATTCTGAGAGCTCTGACCCATTTGTAGAACTCTTGAATTTTTTGGTTGGGCGCATTCAGCTTGTCTGCTGCTCAGGTCACATAAAAGCTCTACGTGCATTGAGAAGCTTCTGGATCTAGAGAATAATTACACGTAATTTCACAAGGTCTAGGCCAAAATTTCTGCCTCTTACTGCTGGAAGAAGGGGATAGAGCTAAGGCGGAGTGGGGGGCTCCACTTGTCCCTCTTATGCGGTTTTCATCCAATCTGCTGCACCCATGGCCGTGGCAGGAGGAGGCGGAGAAAGCAGAGGCAGAGCGGGGTGAGCTGCAGCAGCAGTTGGAGAAGCTGCAGGCGTCTCTGGCAAAGAAGGAGAAAGCACGACTGAGACTGCTGTCTGAGGTGAGTGCTGCAATAAGTCGATGCTTTGGGTTGGTATTGTTGTTGTGAAGGGTGGAAGCAAGCAAATCGTTTGTCAAATCTCCTCCCTTCATGTCATTCTCTCTTTCCTCAGTCGCTGCTTTTCCATTTTCAAAAGAGCAACGCTTCTGAGTCCCATTCTAGTTCCTCCACTTTTCGTCTCGTTATCATGATGATACTATCCATGCTTCTGTTTCCTGCCATGCATATATAACATCAGTCATATCGATATTCCTGAATAGAGCATCACTTCTTCTATTCCCATTCCATACAGTTCCATGCTGTTTTCCCCTGCCATCCACCTACATGCTTCCATCAGGTGGATTCCCAGTCGCTCCAGTCCAGATAGAGCTTTTTACCTCGATCGAATCAACTCATCTATAACTTGACTCCCCCTGCCACCCATCCACAAACACCCATCAGGTGGATTCCCAGTCACCCCAGATAGAGCGCCTTTTCCAAATGAAATCAACCCATCCATAACCAGACACCTCCTGCCACCCACCCACAAACACACATCAGGTGGATTCCCAGTCGCTGCAGATAGAGAGACTATTCGCGGAGAATTCAGGCCTGGCAGCAGGGCTCAAGGAGGTCTCTGCCATCGCTGCCCGCTGGGAGGCTCAGGTGAATACAACAGAGGCTCAGGTGAGTGCAAGCAACAGAGGCTCAGGTGAGCGCAGCAGAGGCTCAGGTGGTGAGTGCACCAAAGGCTCCCAGCCTCAGGTGCGTGCAACAGATGCTCACAAAGAATGTTTTCGTCTGTGCTCCTTTATCTTCCAGGATGCTTTCTCCCTTACTTCTCTGCCTGGTCAATCTAGCTTGAGACATACCTCCTCCTCCTCCTCCTCCTCCTCCTCCTCCTCCTCCTCCTCCTCCTCCTCCTCCTCCTCCTCCTCCTCCTCCTCCTCCTCCTCCTCCTCCTCCTCCTCCTCCTCTCCATTTGCTTGTTTCTTCAGGTTTGCGCATGGCAGCAGCTGCAGAACGAGCAGCAGCAGCAAGTGGACAGCAGCATCAGGGCAGCAAAAGCAGGGGGGGCATCAACAGCAGCAGGCACAGGAGCAGGCACAGGAGCTGGAGCAGGAGCAGCCTCTTCAGCAGAGAAAGGAGGAACAGGAGAGAAAGGAGGGGCGGGAGCAGCAGCAGCAGCAGCAGCAGTGGGAGGGGCGGTGGGTCCAGGGTTAGGAGACACGGACACAGAGGCAGACACAGATGATCCCGAGCTGCCAGTCTCCACCTCCCCCAGGCAGCACCTGGAGCTGCCACCAGTAAACACCTCCCCTAGAGAAGCCCTGGAGCTGCCACCATCGTCTGCTGCTGGGATCTCAGCAAGTGGGGAACGGAATGGAGAGGTGGTGGCTCTGCAAGGGGATGGTGCACTGGTGGTAGGGTCAGGAGCGGTGGAAGGTGGTGGAGAGGATGGGGCAGGGAAGGAGGACGGGGATGGGGTTCGTGGTGGGGAGGATGGGGGAGTGGGCAAGAGGAGGAAAGAGGGTGTGGAGGTGACTGGAGGAAACTCCATGGAAGTTCTGGTGGAAGAGAACAAGAAGCTCAAGGTGAGAGAAGCGGAGCTTAGCTAAGTGTTTCACTGAACTATTGCAAGGGGAGTTGTGGAAGTGCTGATGGAAGAGAATCAGGAGCTCCAGGTGAGAGGAGCGGAGCTTAGCTAAGTCTCTGGGAGATTTAAAGATTGCACACGGAGTTGTGGAGGTGCTGGTGAAAGAGAACTACTGGGCTCAAGGTTAGCAGCAGTGGGATCAAGTGGGGCGGGGCGATTTAGCAGTGACAAACGGAGAAATCAAAGGAAAATCAAAGATTGATGTTATCTCTGTGCCAACCAAAGCTATATCACTATGTTCTCCCCACCGTTGTTTCTCCCAAGCGCTCTCCTCTCCCTCCATCTCTTGCTCTCCTTCACCACCCTCAGAAGCAGCTATCTCTGCCCCTCTCTACCCCTCTCTGCCCCTCTCTGAATCTCACTGTCCCTCACTGTCCCTCTCTGCCCTTCTCTGCCCTTCTCTGCCCTTCTCTGCTCCTCTGCCCCTCTCTACCCCTCTGCCCGCCTCCCATCGTCACTAAAGGACGAACTCACTGCCGCCCAGAACCGCATCCGCCAGCTGTCAGTGCAGGCACTGCGCTCCGATGCCAGCTGTACTACGGCCGTCCACAGGCTTTCACAAACCAAACGCCTGTGAGTGGTGGTAGTGCGCTGTGTTGGTACTCGGTAGTCAAAGTGGGGGTGGAAGTAGGAAGGTGGGCGCATACAGGCGCTGTGCTCCCAGAGGCTCTCACAGACCAAGCGCCTGTGAGTAGTGGTAGTGTGCTCAGCACTGGTGGTACTAGGTAGTGGTACTCGGTATTGGTGGTGGTACTAGGTAGTGGTACTCGGTATTGGTGGTGGTACTAGGTAGTGGTACTCGGTATTGGTGGTGGTACTAGGTAGTGGTACTCGGTATTGGTGGTGGTACTAGGTAGTGGTACTCGGTATTGGTGGTGGTACTAGGTAGTGGTACTCGGTATTGGTGGTGGTACTAGGTAGTGGTACTCGGTATTGGTGGTGGTACTAGGTAGTGGTACTCGGTATTGGTGGTGGTACTAGGTAGTGGTACTCGGTATTGGTGGTGGTACTAGGTAGTGGTACTCGGTATTGGTGGTGGTACTAGGTAGTGGTACTCGGTATTGGTGGTGGTACTAGGTAGTGGTACTCGGTATTGGTGGTGGTACTAGGTAGTGGTACTCGGTATTGGTGGTGGTACTAGGTAGTGGTACTCGGTATTGGTGGTGGTACTAGGTAGTGGTACTCGGTATTGGTGGTGGTACTAGGTAGTGGTACTCGGTATTGGTGGTGGTACTAGGTAGTGGTACTCGGTATTGGTGGTGGTACTAGGTAGTGGTACTCGGTATTGGTGGTGGTACTAGGTAGTGGTACTCGGTATTGGTGGTGGTACTAGGTAGTGGTACTCGGTATTGGTGGTGGTACTAGGTAGTGGTACTCGGTATTGGTGGTGGTACTAGGTAGTGGTACTCGGTGATGGTGGTGGTACTAGGTAGTGGTACTCGGTATTGGTGGTGGTACTAGGTAGTGGTACTCGGTATTGGTGGTGGTACTAGGTAGTGGTACTCGGTATTGGTGGTGGTACTAGGTAGTGGTACTCGGTATTGGTGGTGGTACTAGGTAGTGGTACTCGGTATTGGTGGTGGTACTAGGTAGTGGTACTCGGTGATGGTGGTGGTACTAGGTAGTGGTACTCGGTATTGGTGGTGGTACTAGGTAGTGGTACTCGGTATTGGTGGTGGTACTAGGTAGTGGTACGCGGTGTTGGTGGTGGTACTAGGTAGTGGTACTCGGTATTGGTGGTGGTACTAGGTAGTGGTACTCGGTATTGGTGGTGGTACTAGGTAGTGGTACTCGGTATTGGTGGTGGTACTAGGTAGTGGTACTCGGTATTGGTGGTGGTACTAGGTAGTGGTACTCGGTATTGGTGGTGGTACTAGGTAGTGGTACTCGGTATTGGTGGTGGTACTAGGTAGTGGTACTCGGTATTGGTGGTGGTACTAGGTAGTGGTACTCGGTATTGGTGGTGGTACTAGGTAGTGGTACTCGGTATTGGTGGTGGTACTAGGTAGTGGTACTCGGTATTGGTGGTGGTACTAGGTAGTGGTACTCGGTATTGGTGGTGGTACTAGGTAGTGGTACTCGGTATTGGTGGTGGTACTAGGTAGTGGTACTCGGTATTGGTGGTGGTACTAGGTAGTGGTACTCGGTATTGGTGGTGGTACTAGGTAGTGGTACTCGGTATTGGTGGTGGTACTAGGTAGTGGTACTCGGTATTGGTGGTGGTACTAGGTAGTGGTACTCGGTATTGGTGGTGGTACTAGGTAGTGGTACTCGGTATTGGTGGTGGTACTAGGTAGTGGTACTCGGTATTGGTGGTGGTACTAGGTAGTGGTACTCGGTATTGGTGGTGGTACTAGGTAGTGGTACTCGGTATTGGTGGTGGTACTAGGTAGTGGTACTCGGTATTGGTGGTGGTACTAGGTAGTGGTACTCGGTATTGGTGGTGGTACTAGGTAGTGGTACTCGGTATTGGTGGTGGTACTAGGTAGTGGTACTCGGTATTGGTGGTGGTACTAGGTAGTGGTACTCGGTATTGGTGGTGGTACTAGGTAGTGGTACTCGGTGATGGTGGTGGTACTAGGTAGTGGTACTCGGTATTGGTGGTGGTACTAGGTAGTGGTACTCGGTATTGGTGGTGGTACTAGGTAGTGGTACTCGGTATTGGTGGTGGTACTAGGTAGTGGTACTCGGTATTGGTGGTGGTACTAGGTAGTGGTACTCGGTATTGGTGGTGGTACTAGGTAGTGGTACTCGGTATTGGTGGTGGTACTAGGTAGTGGTACTCGGTATTGGTGGTGGTACTAGGTAGTGGTACTCGGTATTGGTGGTGGTACTAGGTAGTGGTACTCGGTATTGGTGGTGGTACTAGGTAGTGGTACTCGGTATTGGTGGTGGTACTAGGTAGTGGTACTCGGTATTGGTGGTGGTACTAGGTAGTGGTACTCGGTATTGGTGGTGGTACTAGGTAGTGGTACTCGGTATTGGTGGTGGTACTAGGTAGTGGTACTCGGTATTGGTGGTGGTACTAGGTAGTGGTACTCGGTATTGGTGGTGGTACTAGGTAGTGGTACTCGGTATTGGTGGTGGTACTAGGTAGTGGTACTCGGTATTGGTGGTGGTACTAGGTAGTGGTACTCGGTATTGGTGGTGGTACTAGGTAGTGGTACTCGGTATTGGTGGTGGTACTAGGTAGTGGTACTCGGTGATGGTGGTGGTACTAGGTAGTGGTACTCGGTATTGGTGGTGGTACTAGGTAGTGGTACTCGGTATTGGTGGTGGTACTAGGTAGTGGTACTCGGTATTGGTGGTGGTACTAGGTAGTGGTACTCGGTATTGGTGGTGGTACTAGGTAGTGGTACTCGGTATTGGTGGTGGTACTAGGTAGTGGTACTCGGTATTGGTGGTGGTACTAGGTAGTGGTACTCGGTATTGGTGGTGGTACTAGGTAGTGGTACTCGGTATTGGTGGTGGTACTAGGTAGTGGTACTCGGTATTGGTGGTGGTACTAGGTAGTGGTACTCGGTATTGGTGGTGGTACTAGGTAGTGGTACTCGGTATTGGTGGTGGTACTAGGTAGTGGTACTCGGTATTGGTGGTGGTACTAGGTAGTGGTACTCGGTATTGGTGGTGGTACTAGGTAGTGGTACTCGGTATTGGTGGTGGTACTAGGTAGTGGTACTCGGTATTGGTGGTGGTACTAGGTAGTGGTACTCGGTATTGGTGGTGGTACTAGGTAGTGGTACTCGGTATTGGTGGTGGTACTAGGTAGTGGTACTCGGTATTGGTGGTGGTACTAGGTAGTGGTACTCGGTATTGGTGGTGGTACTAGGTAGTGGTACTCGGTATTGGTGGTGGTACTAGGTAGTGGTACTCGGTATTGGTGGTGGTACTAGGTAGTGGTACTCGGTATTGGTGGTGGTACTAGGTAGTGGTACTCGGTATTGGTGGTGGTACTAGGTAGTGGTACTCGGTATTGGTGGTGGTACTAGGTAGTGGTACTCGGTATTGGTGGTGGTACTAGGTAGTGGTACTCGGTATTGGTGGTGGTACTAGGTAGTGGTACTCGGTATTGGTGGTGGTACTAGGTAGTGGTACTCGGTATTGGTGGTGGTACTAGGTAGTGGTACTCGGTATTGGTGGTGGTACTAGGTAGTGGTACTCGGTATTGGTGGTGGTACTAGGTAGTGGTACTCGGTATTGGTGGTGGTACTAGGTAGTGGTACTCGGTATTGGTGGTGGTACTAGGTAGTGGTACTCGGTATTGGTGGTGGTACTAGGTAGTGGTACTCGGTATTGGTGGTGGTACTAGGTAGTGGTACTCGGTATTGGTGGTGGTACTAGGTAGTGGTACTCGGTATTGGTGGTGGTACTAGGTAGTGGTACTCGGTATTGGTGGTGGTACTAGGTAGTGGTACTCGGTATTGGTGGTGGTACTAGGTAGTGGTACTCGGTATTGGTGGTGGTACTAGGTAGTGGTACTCGGTATTGGTGGTGGTACTAGGTAGTGGTACTCGGTATTGGTGGTGGTACTAGGTAGTGGTACTCGGTATTGGTGGTGGTACTAGGTAGTGGTACTCGGTGATGGTGGTGGTACTAGGTAGTGGTACTCGGTATTGGTGGTGGTACTAGGTAGTGGTACTCGGTATTGGTGGTGGTACTAGGTAGTGGTACTCGGTATTGGTGGTGGTACTAGGTAGTGGTACTCGGTATTGGTGGTGGTACTAGGTAGTGGTACTCGGTATTGGTGGTGGTACTAGGTAGTGGTACTCGGTATTGGTGGTGGTACTAGGTAGTGGTACTCGGTGATGGTGGTGGTACTAGGTAGTGGTACTCGGTATTGGTGGTGGTACTAGGTAGTGGTACTCGGTATTGGTGGTGGTACTAGGTAGTGGTACTCGGTATTGGTGGTGGTACTAGGTAGTGGTACTCGGTATTGGTGGTGGTACTAGGTAGTGGTACTCGGTATTGGTGGTGGTATTAGGCAATTCGGTGCAGACAGGTACTGCGTTCCGATGCCAGCTGTACCACGGCTGTCCAGAGGCTCTCAAAAACCAAACGCCTGTGAGTAGTGGTAGTGTGCCATGCTGGTACTCGGTAGTGGTAGTGGGGTGTGCTGGTACTCGGTAGTGGTAGTGTGGTGTGCTGGTACTCGGTAGTGGTAGTGTGGTGTGCTGGTACTCGGTAGTGGTAGTGTGGTGTGCTGGTACTCGGTAGTGGTAGTGTGGTGTGCTGGTACTCGGTAGTGGTAGTGTGGTGTGCTGGTACTCGGTTGTGGTAGTGTGGTGTGCTGGTACTCGGTAGTGGTAGTGGGGTGTGCTGGTACTCGGTAGTGGTAGTGGGGTGTGCTGGTACTCGGTAGTGGTAGTGTGGTGTGCTGGTACTCGGTAGTGGTAGTGTGGTGTGCTGGTACTCGGTAGTGGTAGTGTGGTGTGCTGGTACTCGGTAGTGGTAGTGTGGTGTGCTGGTACTCGGTAGTGGTAGTGGGGTGTGCTGGTACTCGGTAGTGGTAGTGTGGTGTGCTGGTACTCGGTAGTGGTAGTGTGGTGTGCTGGTACTCGGTAGTGGTAGTGTGGTGTGCTGGTACTCGGTAGTGGTAGTGTGGTGTGCTGGTGCTCGGTAGTGGTAGTGGGGTGTGCTGGTACTCGGTAGTGGTAGTGTGGTGTGCTGGTACTCGGTAGTGGTAGTGGGGTGTGCTGGTACTCGGTAGTGGTAGTGTGGTGTGCTGGTACTCGGTAGTGGTAGTGTGGTGTGCTGGTACTCGGTAGTGGTAGTGGGGTGTGCTGGTACTTGGTAGTGGTAGTGGGGTGTGCTGGTACTCGGTAGTGGTAGTGTGGTGTGCTGGTACTCGGTAGTGGTAGTGTGGTGTGCTGGTACTCGGTAGTGGTAGTGTGCTGTGCTGGTACTCGGTAGTGGTAGTGTGCTGTGCTGGTACTTGGTAGTCGAAGTGGGGGTGGAAACAGGTAGCGGGATGCACTGCACAGGTGCTGCGCTGCTATGCCAGCTGCACAACCGCCGTCCATAGGCTCTCCCAGACCAAGCGATTGTGAGTAGTGTGCTTCTCTGGTGGTGGTAGAGGTAGTGGTATCGAGAAGGTGGGTGTACTGTACATGCATGCACTGCACGCCAAACGAGCTGTCAGTGCAGGTGCCGCGCTGCAATGCCAGCTGCACCACAGCTGCGCAGAGGCTGTCCCAGAGCAAGCGACTGTGAGTCGTGTGCTGCTGTGATGGAGGTGGCGGCGTGGCGGTGCTAGGAGCGGTATTGGCGGTGGCACAGACGCAGCGCTGCGATGCCGCCGGCTGCACCACGGCCGCACAGAGGCTGTCTCAGTCCAAGCGATTGTGAGTTGTGGAGGTGTGCTGTGCTGTGCTGCTGCTGCTGCTGCTGCTGCTGGTGGTGGTGGTTCTTGTGATAGTGGTGGCAGTGAAGGGTAGTAGGAAGGTGGGTCCACAGATGCTGCCCTCCAGTGCCTGCTGTGCCACGGCTGTGCAAGCTGGAGGGCACTGTGGGAGGCTCTCCCACGCCAAGCGTCTGCAAGTGGCGCCGTGTTTTGAGTCGACTCAAACAGTGCCAGCCAGCTGCGCCACGGCTCACCTCCAAAAAACAGATAAAGGCTGAATTTGTTTCTTGAGATTTCTCAAAAAACAGATTCATCCGTGCAAAAGCTCTCCCAGGCCAAGCGTCTGCGAGTGGCGCCACAGCCTTTTCCCTTCCATCCTACAGTTATTCCCTTTTGAGGCACTACTTTCGCTTCACCACCACACGCTCTCGCCTTGCTTCCTCCTGCCCTTCTTTTCTTCCGTCTCCCCTCCGTCCTTTTATTCCTTAGAAGATTGTGGGGAAGCTGGGCTCATTATGACAAGTCTGCACCCTTTTCTGTCCGGGTTTCTTTCAGGTATGGCCCTCTGTCGAGCAGCATCGAGCAGAAGCTTCTCCAGTACAAGCAGGAAGCTCCCCTGCAAGGTCATGTGTGAAGCACTCGTACCCAGTAAACTGCGCCAGCTTCATCATACGTAGCTTTGCTCCATTCACTACTAAAACTCTCGTCTATTTTTCTTCCATAAACAGAGATGATTTCTCAAACCTTGCATTTCTCCTCCATGCCAAGCCATGGTTTGAGGCGCCTCTAAAGTATTTTTCTTCCATGAAGAATGATGATTTCTCAAACCTTGCAGTTTCTCCTCCATGCCAAGCCATGCCACCGCCCCGCTCCGAGTCTGTCCAGCAATGGTAGCTGCCGAAACCAATCCACATCACTCAGGGCCTGCCACGTCATCACATCACACCAACCACAGCGTTTCTCAGGTTATTTAGCAGTGGCCAATACCCTAGGTGAATATTATAGACAAGCAGTCAGCAGTGTATCTTGCCAAGAACCCCTAATTTGGCACTGATATGTCGACAGGGGACGCTGGGATGAGGAGAGGGGGGAAACGAAAAGAGAGAGGGCGGGACGAAAGTGAGACGGGGGAACGAAAGGGAGAGGGGGGAACGAAAAGGGAGAGTGGGGAAACTCAATGCAGGGATGAAACTGGAGATCTAGAGGGAGGATGAGGTACCCCCCTGTGGCAACCTCTTTAAGTACGAGTTTGATTTTGCTGTGTCAACTCACCTGCTGCAGCACTCGCATCTTTCCCTCCAGGTTGCGACAGCAGTTGGCATGAACAGTGACCAGCCGCCCCAGCTGCCGCCCGATCTGGCAGAAACCGCCAAAGCGGTCCGTCGGCAAGTAGTGAACGGAGAGACGGATGATGTCGCGGGTGTACGGGTCTGCTTCGGGTTGCACCCGCATAAATGCATCCTGGTCGTGAATACCAGGGAAGCTGATGGTGGGGTTGAAGGGGGAAGGAGGGAAATGGGGAAGGGGGAAAGGGTATAGTGAATGGAGAAATGGAGGGTATCGCGGGTGTATGGGTCTGCCTCGGGTCGTACCCGCATGAATGCATCCTGGTCGTGAATACCAGGGAAGCTGATGGTGGGGGTGGTGTGGTGAATGGGATGAGGGTATAATGCACGGAGGACTGGAGGATGACTCACATGGGTCTGCCTTTTGAGACTTCTCAAAAGTCGTCTACCTACACATGGAGGAACGGACGATGTCTCTAATGGGTCTGTTTCAGGGCGCACTTTCATGAACGCAATTCCAAGAAAGCTGTTCCTTGGGGCAGAAAGTGGGGAGAGTAGTGCAAGTAAGGGACTGAGGCAGGGAGGGTGTTGCGGATGTATGGGTCTTGCTTCCGGGCGCACTCTCCTCAGAGCATCCCGGTTGTGAATCCGAGGGAAGCTGTGAGAGGGGTTAAGGGGGAGGAAGGAAAACGGGGAGGGTGTGATGCCATGGGGGAAGCGGAAGAGAGGCCTACCGAGTGTGAGCATTGAGCCAGCAGTCGAAGAATCACAGTACACGATTGCTGCTTGCTCCGGGCCGTGTAGTACCAACACATTGGCTGCTGCTATTGAGATGATGACTTAGAAGCCGCCTTTCTGGGGGTGACGGAACGGAACTGGGCTAGTAGTCGAAGAATCGCAGCACATGGCAGGTAGTTGCTGCGAGCCATGTGGAACCCCCCATTGGCTGCTGCTGACTTTTGAGTCGACTCAAAAGTCAACTTGTTCCTGCGAGCCATGTACAACCCCCATTGGCTGCTGCTTCCTCGGGGGAGGGCCTGGGGGGTATGGAAGATCAGAAAGGTGGAGGAGGGCCTAGGGGGTGCGGGCAAGAAAGACGGGAAGGTGGAGGAGGGCTTAGGGGGTGCGGGCAAGAAAGACGGGAAGGTGGAGGAGGGCTTAGGGGGTGCGGGCAAGAAAGACGGGAAGGTGGAGGAGGGCCTAGGGGGTGCGGGCAAGAAAGACGGGAAGGTGGAGGAGGGCTTAGGGGGTGCGGGCAAGAAAGACGGGAAGGTGGAGGAGGGCTTAGGGGGTGCGGGCAAGAAAGACGGGAAGGTGGAGGAGGGCTTAGGGGGTGCGGGCAAGAAAGACGGGAAGGTGGAGGAGGGCTTAGGGGGTGCGGGCAAGAAAGACGGGAAGGTGGAGGAGGGCTTAGGGGGTGCGGGCAAGAAAGACGGGAAGGTGGAGGAGGGCTTAGGGGGTGCGGGCAAGAAAGACGGGAAGGTGGAGGAGGGCTTAGGGGGTGCGGGCAAGAAAGACGGGAAGGTGGAGGAGGGCTTAGGGGGTGCGGGCAAGAAAGACGGGAAGGTGGAGGAGGGCTTAGGGGGTGCGGGCAAGAAAGACGGGAAGGTGGAGGAGGGCTTAGGGGGTGCGGGCAAGAAAGACGGGAAGGTGGAGGAGGGCTTAGGGGGTGCGGGCAAGAAAGACGGGAAGGTGGAGGAGGGCTTAGGGGGTGCGGGCAAGAAAGACGGGAAGGTGGAGGAGGGCTTAGGGGGTGCGGGCAAGAAAGACGGGAAGGTGGAGGAGGGCTTAGGGGGTGCGGGCAAGAAAGACGGGAAGGTGGAGGAGGGCTTAGGGGGTGCGGGCAAGAAAGACGGGAAGGTGGAGGAGGGCTTAGGGGGTGCGGGCAAGAAAGACGGGAAGGTGGAGGAGGGCTTAGGGGGTGCGGGCAAGAAAGACGGGAAGGTGGAGGAGGGCTTAGGGGGTGCGGGCAAGAAAGACGGGAAGGTGGAGGAGAGACTTGCCAGGTGTGGCCTTTTTAGCCAGTAGTTGAGAAGTAGCAGCACAGTATTGTTGCTGGATGCCCCATGCAGAACCCTCGATTGGCTGCTGCTGCAACTCACTTCACTCAAACGACTTACCGGGTGTGGGATTTGAGCCAGTAGTCGAAGAAGCGCAGCACACGGGTGTTGCTGCGAGCCATGTAGAACCCCCCGTTGGCTGCTGCCGCCTTGGGATCTGCCGACCAGCGATCGCATGCTATGAGCTAGTCGGATGAGACGTTGAGCAGGTGGGGTAGGGGGTTCTGGTGGAGGGGAGGATAGGGTAGGAAGAAGGAAGAGAGATAGTCAAAGAGGGTTAGCTGAGAAAGGAGATTGCTGCCTTGGGATCTGCCGACCAGCAATTTCACGCTAAGAGCAAGTCAGATGAGGTGAGGAGCTTCTGCCCGAGGTGGGGAAGGAGGTCCTGGTGGCACACCTCGTCTTGTGCTTTGAGTTCATCTGACCAGCGACCGCAGGCTATTAGGATGTTGGATAAGATGAGATGGGGAGCAGAGCAGAGCAGAGCAGAGCAGAGCAGAGCAGAGCAGAGCAGAGCAGAGCAGAGCAGAGCAGAGCAGAGCAGAGCAGGTGCATAAAGGGGTTCTGACAGAGGGGAGCAGACAAAAGAGGTTAGCAGATAAGTGGCCACAGGCTGCTACAATCGACCGTGAAGTTGTCGTTGTCGTTGTCGTTGGCGTTGTCGTTGTCGTTGGCGTTGGCGTTGTCGTTGTCGTTGTCGTTGTCGTTGTCGTTGTCGTTGTCGTTGTCGTTGTCGTTGTCGTTGTTGTTGTTGTTGTTGTTGTTGTTGTTGGTGTTGTTGGTGTTGTTTACTATAATATGTTGAGAGACATCTGAAGCGAATTTAATTGCACACAAGGTGCTGGCAATCACATGCACACCTGCAGACACATGACGTCACTGCCACCCACATGCATCCACATGACGTCACTGCCACCCACATGCATCCACATGACGTCACTGCCACCCACATGCATCCACATGACGTCACTGCCACCCACATGCATCCACATGACGTCACTGCCACCCACATGCATCCACATGACGTCACTGCCACCCACATGCATCCACATGACGTCACTGCCACCCACATGCATCCACATGACATCACTGCCACCCACCTGCATCCACATGACGTCACTGCCACCCACATGCATCCACATGACGTCACTGCCACCCACATGCATCCACATGACGTCACTGCCACCCACATGCATCCACATGACATCACTGCCACCCACCTGCATCCACATGACGTCACTGCCACCCACATGTATCCACATGACGTCACTGCCACCCACATGCATCCACATGACATCACTGCCACCCACCTGCATCCACGTGACGTCACTGCCACCCAAATGCATCCACATGACGTCACTGCCACCCACATGCATCCACATGATGTCACTGCCACCCACCTGTAGCCACATGACGTCACTGCCACCCACCTGTAGCCACATGACGTCACTGCCACCCACCTGTAGCCACATGACGTCATTGCCACCCACCTGTAGCCACATGACGTCATTGTCTGTAAATATCACATCGAATTTTAAAGACAAGATTTTCTTGATGACATGCAGTCGCCTCCACATCTGGACAGAGTGGGAAGGATAAAAACGAAGACGCAACGAGAAGAGATTGCGGAGAGATGCGAAGAGATGAGTAGAGATGAGGAGAGATGAGGAGAGATGAGTAGAGACAAAATAATAATAGGCAAAAGCATCAGATGCGATTGTATGTATCTCATGAGATACTGCTGGGTTGACTTTTGAGTCGACTCAAAAGTCAACTCTATATGTAATCTCTAAAGATTCTGCTTGCCCAAAAAAGGAACAGTACCAGGTGCAGATAGGAGGGGGTCATGAATTTCTTCTGCTCGCCACTGAAGTCGTCCCTCTCACTCTTCGGAACATCCTCCTGCCCACAAAAAAAAAAAAAAAGAGAGAGGGAAACAGCGACGAGAAGCCACACCATGTGCACATACGAGTGCAGAGGTGGGGTGGGGTGGGATGGATTTTCGAGAAGCCATACCAGGTGCAGATCGGAGTGGTGTGTCGTGTTTTGATTCGACTCAAAACACGACTCATAACACGCGTTTTGAGTCGACTCAAAACACGACTCATTACACGCGTTTTGAGTCGACTCAAAACACGACTCATTACACGCGGTTTGAGTCGACTCAAAACAGGACTCATTACACGCGTCTTGAGTCGACTCAAAACAGGACTCATTACACGCGTTTTGAGTCGACTCAAAACACGACTCATTACACGCGTTTTGAGTCGACTCAAAACACGACTCATTACACGCGTTTTGAGTCGACTCAAAACACGACTCATTACACGCGTTTTGAGTCGACTCAAAACACGACTCATTACACGCGTTTTGAGTCGACTCAAAACACGACTCATTACACCCGTTTTGATTCGACTCAAAACAGGACTCATTACACGCGTTTTGAGTCGACTCAAAACACGACTCATTACACACGTTTTGATTCGACTCAAAACACGACTCATTACACGCGTTTTGAGTCGACTCAAAACACGACTCATTACACGCGTTTTGAGTCGACTCAAAACACGACTCATTACACTCGTTTTGAGTGGACTCAAAACACGACTCAAAACACGACTCGACTCATTACACGCGTTTTGAGTCGACTCAAAACCTATGTTGGGAAAAACGCGTTTCGCATTTAGTACGCTTTCGTATAAACGCTAGCGTCTATACGCAGTACGCTGGCCGGAGGAGGTCTGGTACGCACAGAAAAACGCTTGCCCGGGCAGCTAAAATTTTCACCCGGGCAGGTTAAAATGCTAGGTCAAGAGATGGGAACGGGAGCTGCTGTAGTAGGTTATCGTCGCAAAGTGAACTAAAAAGGGGATCGAAGGGAAAAATGACGTGACATTGAGCGGGGAGGATGAGTCTGGTTGAAGTTGGCAACGAATTGGAAGGGATTGGTAATCGATGCGGTTGGAGTGGGTTGTTGAGCGGTGGATAGGAGGGGATGATCCACCAAACAGTCTCGAAATTCAGATCTGAGGTCGCGTTTGCAATTCGCAAACTCAGATCTGAATTCCGAGACTCAAATTTGAGTTCGCCAGATCGAGAACACAACTGAATTATTTTTTTCCGGTCAGCCGGAGCAAAATTTGGCGAATTTTAGAAAAATACGCAGCGTACGAATTCTAGATGCGTATAAACTCAATACGCAACTTTAAACTTGTGTTTTTTCCAACTTAGCTCAAAACACGACTCATTACACGCGTTTTGATTCGACTCAAAACACGACTCATTACACGCGGTTTGATTCGACTCAAAACACGACTCATTACACGCGTTTTGAGTCGACTCAAAACACGACTCATTACACGCGTTTTGAGTCGACTCAAAATGCGTATACGAGTGCAGAGGTTAGGTGGGGTGGGATGGATTTTCGAGAAGCCACTCCAGGTGCAGATAGGAGTGGTGTGGGGGGGGGGGGAGGCGGAGGAAGAGGGGAGGTGGGTTGAAAACAAAAAGATTCCTCAAACTGACACCTTGTAAAGTGAGAGGTAAAGTCACACATTGAGTCGACTCGCAAAGAGGTGAAGTCATCATACACGCCTACACTACTGCTGGTTTGCTGGCCTCCAGCCAGCCACACACACCTGTGTGTCAAGATAGCAGTGCAGGCGCAGCGAGCAGCAGAAGGCCAGGCTGCGGTGGTCGTAGCAGATCACCAGCAGGCGAGACACCAGCGTGCGTGGCATTTGCAGTATGCCAGTGTGCACCATGCCTTGCACATCGAAATCTGGCGGTGTGGATTCAGCTGTTGCACCTCCCAAGTACTCCTGCTCCTCCTGCTTCTGCTGCTGCTCCTGCTTCTGCTTCTGCTTCTGCTGCTGCTGCTGCTGCTGCTGCTGCTGCTGCTGCTGCTGCTGCTGCTGCTGCTGCTGCTGCTGCTGCTGCTGCTGCTGCTGCTGCTGCTGCTGCTGCTGCGGCTGCTGCTGCTGGGGCTTCTGCTCCTGCAGTTGCTTCTGCTGTGCATTTGCCTCCTGCGCCCCTCTATCATCAACCAGTCTCATCCTCGTCAAGAACATCTTCATCATGGGTATCCACGCCTCTGAAAAAACCGTCACTATCACCAAGCCACGCCCCGACTCCCCTTCCTCTCCTACCGCCCTTGTCTCCTCTGTCTTGTCCCTTGCCATCCTTCCAGTATCTCCAGCGTTGCTGCTGGTTCTGTTTTGAGACGTCTCAAAACCCGCCCTTGCCTCCTCCGTCTTGTCCTTTGCCATCCTTCCAGTATCTCCAGCGTTGCTACAGTTTCTGCTGCTGCTTGTGCTGCTGCTGCCAGCAGTGCTGCTGTTTGTATAAGCAGCGGCTTCTGCTGCGCGTGGACCCTGTGGTGCCACGTCAGATGCTAATTGCTTGCGTGTCACTGGAGGTGGCGTTCCTGCTGACGTGGCCAGGTCGGTGAGAACGTCCTTGAGACTCCTGCCGCGTTTCCAGTCAAACCAGTCAAGCGATTAAACCAGGAGGTGACTTTCGAATTGACTCAAAAATCACCTCGTTTTCAGTCAAACCAGTCAAGCGATATAACCACAGGAGGCAAGAGAGGCGGTAAGAGAGGGAAGAGGACAGGGGTGGGGGGGGGGGGGGTGTATGTGAGGGAAGGAGTTATGTCTCACACAAGAAAGTACCTTGACTCAGAACACGAGTAATGATTCGAATAATCTGATCCGTCTCCCGCTGTAACTACCCCTTCGTTCCCTCCTCCCTCACTGCCACCCCTCCCTCCACCACCACCGCCAGCACTGCCATCACCGTCCCTCAACCCGTTCCCCCAACCACCTTCCGCATAGTCCCCCTTCTCCCCCACCCCCTGCGCCCCAGACCCCTCGGCAGCAAGCTGTGCGGCAGCAGTGGGCGGGGGGAGCGGAGAAGGGGGCGCAAGGAGGGGGATGGCGAGGAGGGGGAGGAGGATGAGCAACGAGAGGATGAAGAGGAGAGAGTTGCTGAAAAAAGTGGGGGTTGTTCTTAGTCTAAACAGGGCGTGATGAGAGGGATGAGAGGGATGAGAGGGATGGGAGGGATGAGAGGGATGCTCGTTGTTGGAGGGAGCGAAAAAGCAAGACCTGAGGCGATCCCCAAGGGCAGGAAGAAAAGGGAGGGAGGAGGGGAGCGAGGAGGAGGAGGAAGAGGAGGCGGATGTTGAGGCGGGAGGCCAGGTGGGAGGTGGGGCGGGTGGAGAGGATGCAGGGGCTTGGGAAGGAACCATGAGGGAACGAGCAGCAGTGTCCATCTGCTGACGAGAAGCTTCTATCCTGCTAGGTTCTTCGTAACTGCAATCTTTGGCATCTACTACGCTGCTGCTGCTGTTACCATGCGAGCTATGATGAGGGTCAGAGCTAGGCGGCGGCATGTCTGACGACGAGGTGGCAGCAACTGCAAACGCCGCCGTGTTTGGGGCTGTGATTTGACTCCTCGATCGACGGTGGAAACGTCTAGAAGACTGTACGGCATCGCGGGAACCGAATTTCAAATCCGAGTTTGTATCCGACTTCAAGGCTCTGCGGATTTTCTTGAAAGAAGGGCGCAGCCACTCAAGAATCGACCGCTATTGAGAATCCTCACATGCGCAGCCACCCATTCTTACAAGCGCAACAAACTCGACCTTTCAGGTTGTGAGCCGTTTCAAACGGCTCTCAGTGCAACTTGGGGAAAGGGCGAATGATTTGAAATTTCTCTCAACACGGAAGAACACACGTAGCTGGTCGGGACCCAGGACGTGGCTCGAGTCGTGACGACTAGTAGTAGTACGACGCGGCGTTGCGACGGCGACGGTGGAGGCGGTACCAATCATCCTAGGACAGACTGTGCCTGAGCTGTGTTGCGACTGACAGAGTTTTGAGACGTCTCAAATCGCCTAATCGATCGACCGACGGCGTCGTGGGAGGTCGACGAGGTTCAGAAACCAACGAGGTCGTCTCGCAACTGATGTTGCATCTACGCCACGTGGCAACAGACGCGCGGCGGGCTCGGGGTACGGATGAATAGGGCACGTTTCACGCCATGCTCTCCATGGGAAGTCGCTATTGATGGCGAATAGGGTTATCAGCAGGCGAAGAACTAAGTCCTCGGTGTGTGGTGTAATACGCGAATGACGAATTTCCACCATCACTGCTGCTGGTCCACTGGGACTGCTAGTTGTAGGTACTCGTAAAAATTTAGCTTGGAATCGGTTCCCCCCAGCTTTGGCTCCCACATTGAACCCTGAGGTTTACACGAGTATACGCGTTGTTGGGGTCCCTGGATTGGGTATGACTGGATTCTTGTCAAAATTGCGTACTCGTTATTTGTAAGGAGTCCTACTGCAAATCCAGAGTCTAAATCTTCAGGTCAGGGAGAGGTGGCTTTCCTCACCAGTAAGCTGGTCTGCCCATACTGCAACAACGATGAAACCTTGGACCACTGCCTCTTCTCCTAACCGGGCATTCAGGTGGTCACCTCGGCCATCGTGCGTGCACTACACATGATAAACCCTTCGCACCACATCTCTTCGCTGAGAGACATGCTCTTCAAGCGCGCCGGATCCAGCCAAGCCTTTCCGGAAGCGACATTGACGTCGATTGGTTTACATCAACTGTAGTTGGAACGCTGCGAAGCTCTATTTGGGGGCAAGAGATTCCGTGAGCGCTGAGTTGTAAGGAGGATTGAAATATCATTTTACCCACACGCGAGGGATATACGCGAGGGGGTCGTTAGCAAGGAGTCTGAAGCACCTGGCTATCGGGCGGAAGAAAAAAAAAATCGTCAAATGTCTGGCGGAAGAGCAATGGCTTGTTGCGAGGATCAAAGTTGCAGACAGGAACAAAGTGGAACTGGACCCGTGCATTTTCTGCTATCTGGGCCAATCCTTGAGGGCTTGTACAAGAAACAAAGGATAACACAGTATGTTTGTGAACATCATGATTCGAGGTTGATTTCAAATCAGGCTCATCGGAATAAATTGCTTATTTGAGGTGAACGAGCTTTGGGAGAGACTGGTGGCGGCATAAGGAGAGCGCGTTCGCATCACAAAGTACGTGTCTTTCACAATCCATGCACCTTGTCAACGGAGCCTGGCTAGTTAATCATGTGGACATCCCTAATCATGTACAGTAAGGAAGCATGTTGCCAACAATCCTTCTTTCTTCACATGTGGAGCCCTTACTGTTGCCTTTTCAGCCTTGCACACACAACTAAAGAGCAGCTATGTATAGTAACCCATTTGTGTACCGTATGTGACTATGCAGAGGCCAACTGTCACTAGAGGCCCCTGTGACTCGGAGCGTTGCTGCTGTTGCCCGCTCCAGCTGATGTAAACTGGCCATTCAACAGCCACCTATATACAACTATGGCCAGCTACATTCATAGGCATGCATTCAAGTACAACCCAAAGCTAGCCTCGGCTATTTTGGTGTCATGCTGGGCAGGGAGTAGGCAGAATACACCTCGTCATGAAAATGGTCTTTTGAATACAATGATGCCGAGCAGGAGAATCACGAGAAGCACCACGGCCGGTCCCCCATGCTCTCCTCCTCCAATTAGCTTCCCTTCCAAATCTATCCCACTACCCCTGCCTTCCTCCACCTCTTCTTCATCTTCCTCCTCCTCCTCCTCCACCACCTCCTCCTCCTCCTCCTCCTCCTCCTCCTCCTCCTCCTCCTCCTCCTCCTCCTCCTCCTCCTCCTCCTCCTCCTCCTCTTCCTCCTCTTTATTCCTATCACTGTAATCAACAGCAGCCGCAGGAGCAGCTCGGATGGCAAAATGCAAGCTACCACATAACTGTCCCCGACACTTGTTCTCCTCCTCTTATTCTTCCTCTCTCTCCTCCTCCTCCCCGTCACCCCCCTCCTCACTGCTCTCACTCATCCGCTCTAAAGAGTCATGGTGATCTGCACCCAGTAGGAGAAGCAGCAAGTCCCAGGCAGCTCCATGCAAGGAGGAGAGCTGGTCTAGCACGTGAGACACCACTGATACCACCGATGGCGACGGCGGGGAGGAGGGGGGTGATGGTGGGTGAGATAGCTTGGGGAGTTCGGAGGAGCTGTGGGCTTCAGAGGTTGGTGGTACGGACAGTGCTGGGCATGGTGGTGGTGCCGGGGGCGGGGGTGGAGTTGCTTTGGGTGGGAGGTTGGTGCTCCCTTGCCCAGCTTGTCCGTCCCATGCCCGTCGTCCACCCGCTTGAAGGGTGGGTGGCTGATGGCAAGGCCGAGGCAAATACTATTTCCCGAAATGGAAGGTGGGGAGGGGAAATAGGTTGTTTCCTTGGGGTGCATATCCGTGAGGGGAAATGACTGTTATGCAGGCATTTCCCATGGATTAAGTTCGGATGGAAAATCACCGCCTCGGCATCATTTTCCGGGCCCTTTCGGACCAAAGAATGCAGAGGCAGTAAGCTACGTATTTCCCCTCCCTTTCCCTCCGTGATGCCTGCAGAACAACACCCATATGTTGATCTTCATGCCTTCATTCCTCCCAAGCACCGTCCTTTCCCTCCATCCGTTGCTATCCTTCACCACCCTCTACACCACCTTTCTCTGCCCCTGTTTACCCCTCTCTACCACCCTCTTCCCCTCTCTTCCCTTCTCTGCCCCACTACAGGACGAGTCACTGCCACCCGCATCCGCCAGCTGTCAGTGCAGGCACTGCGTTCCGATGCCAGTTGTACCACGGCCGTCCAGAGGCTGTCCCAGACCAAGTGGATGTGAGTGCTGGCAGAGTGCTATGCTGCTGGGTGCTGCTGGGTGCTGCTGGGTGCTGCTGGGTGCTGCTGGGTGCTGCTGGGTGCTGCTGGGTCTTCTGGGTGCTGAGACCATTTACAAAAAGGCGGGTCTACTGGCGCTGCGTTCTGATGCCAGCTGCACCACGGCCGTGCTGAGGCCGTCCCAGACAAAGCGATTGTGAGTGTTGTGGTGGTGGTGGTTGTGGTAGGGAGGTGGACGCACCCCATACGTTCTGCGCTGCCTGCCAGCCAGCTGTCAGTGCAGGCACTGCGCGCCGATGCCAGCTGCACCACGGCCGTGCAGAGGCTGTCCCAGACCAAGCGATTGTGAGTAGTGCCGCTTTGTTGATGGTGGTGCAAGTGGTGGCAGCAGGAAGGTGGGTCCACAGGCGCTGCGCTGCGATGCCAGCTGCACAACCGCCGTCCGGAGGCGCTCTCTCAAACCAAGCGCCTGTAAGTGTTGCTGCTGCCAGCACATGCTGGTGGTGTTTGTGTTTGGTGGGTACACGCTCACCTGAGCAACGGATTTTGAGAATTCTCAAAAACTCCCTGTAGCGCCTGTAAGTGTTGCTGCTGTGCTGGTGGTGTTTGTGTTTGGTGGGTACACGCTCACCGGAGCAACAGACTTTGAGTCGACTTAAACATCGTGCTCCCCTGAGCGTTCTTTAGAATTTCCAAGAGTACTCAAAAAGCGCTCTCGCTGAGGGTTGGTTCAGTACAAGCTTGACCACCACCGCTGCTCAGAGGTTCTCTCAGGTTAAGGGTTCAGACTAGGCGGCTGTGAGTGGTGTGCTGCTGCTGGCCTCCCGGCTTGTCCTCTTGCCACTGCCTTATCTTTCCATCCAGCCGTTTTTTCCTTGCGCTCAGCTCAAAGCACCATTCTCACTTTCATCAGTCCACGTCTGTCCCTTGCTTCCTGCCCTGCCTTTCTTTCGTCTCTCCTCCATCCTTCCATCATTTTTAGGGGTTTTTGGTTCTTTCTTTGGTAGAGGAAAGCTGGACTCAGTATGACACACGTGTGTGTGCGCTAAACCCTATGTGTGCTTCTGTGTGTGGTGGTATGTCTTTCAGGTACGGTCTATGTTTGAGTCGACTCGAAAGAGGAACGCTGGATTTAATGGGTGTGCGTGTGCTAAACCCTCTCTGTACGTTTGTGTGTGCTGGGATGTCTTTCAGGTACGGCCCTCTGTTGAGCAGCATCGAGCAGAAGCTTCTCCGATACAAGCAGGAAGCTTCTCTACAAGGACATGTGTGAAGGTGGCCTTGCTGACTTTCTTTCTCACAACACATCCAGGAACAGCCCTCTTGAATCTTTACCTCTTCCTCTAGCTAATGCTTTAGGCGCCTCAAAAGCCTTGCCTTTGCCAACTCATCTCACTGACTTTCACCGACTTTCTCTCATCGCATCAAGGAACAGCCGGATGAGGTCTCTAGACCCTGCTAATGAGAGATGCTTGTGGCATCGACTGATTACATACACGCAGGTAGTACGTACATATGCTCTTATATTACACATTGCACAACAATGAAACGTATTAGTATAACGCTACATTCCTGCCAAACTCTCGGGCTATTGTTCTTCCTCAGAAACTGACTCTCTTTTCAGATGCTACAGTTCCTCCCGCTCCACGTCAATCCATGCTGCCCCACTCCCACCCTGTCCACCAATGGTAGCTGCCGAAACCAATCCACGTCACCCAAGACCTGCCATGTCATTGCACCGACCACAGCAAGTTTTTTGTCATTTTGCAGTCAGCCAAACCCAAGGTACATTGCAGATAACCACCCTTTTGAATCTCTCCTAATTCCCCCACACATGAGCAAGGGAGAGGGGAAAATGAGAAACGGAGTGGTGGGAATATATTGCAGAAATAATTTTAGATCTGGAGAAGGAGGTGCTTTGTGTTTACCTGCTGCACTGCAACCTCTTCACATTGCTTGGGTACGGTACCTTTGTCTGTTCTAAAAAAGTACAATGTTAACCCACCTGCTGCAGCGCTCGCATCTTTTCCTCCAGTCCAATACAGCAGTTGGCATTTACAGTGACCAGCCGCCCCAGCTGCCGCCCCATCTCGCAGAAACCGCCAAAGCGGTCCGTCGGCAGGTAGTGGACGGAGAGACGGAGAGTATCACGAGTGTATGGGTCTGCTTCGGGTCGCACCCGCATGAATGCATCCTGGTCGTGAATACCGGGGAAGCTGATGGTGGGGTTGAAGGGGGAAGGGGGGAAATGGGGAAGGGTGAAAGGGTATAGTGAATGGAGAGATGGAGGGCAGCGCGGGTGTATGGGTCTTCTTCGGGTCGCACTCGCATGAATGCATCCTGATCATGAAGACTGGGGAAGCTGATGGTGGGGGGAGAGGGGTGGAGGAGAGGAATGGATAGTGTATGTATGCAGAGTTGTGGTTCGCCTCAAAAGTGAGGGTCTGCTCCAGGCCACACCCGAATGAATGCGTTTAACAAGTGAATTTGTGAGAGTGCCTCAGAAATTCACTTCTTCAGACCGCACCTGTATGAACGCGCTCCTGGTCGTGAATCCCGGGGAAGGTGGAGGAAGGCTTACCGGGTGTGTGCATTGAGCCAGTAGTCAAAGAATCGCAACACACGGTCGTTGCTGCGAGCCATGTAGAACCCCCCATTGGCTGCTGCCGCCTTGGGATCTGCCGACCAGCGATCGCATGCTATGAGCATGTCTGATGAGACGTTGAGCAGGTGAGGAAGGGGGTTCTGGTGGAGGGGAGGGGAGGGGAGGGGAGGGGAGGAGGGAAGCAGGCACGAAGAGGTCAGCAGATAAGTGGACAGACTGCTACGATCTACCGTAACCCTTTTTGTTCATTCTTTAATTTCAATGCTATGTCGAGGGACATTTCAGAACAAGTCTTATTGCACAAGGCGCTGCCACATACATACACAGCTACACCCACATTGATGTCACTGTCACCCACCTGCACCCACATGACGTCACTGCCACCCACCTGTAGCCACATCACGTCATTGTCTGTGAAGATCACATCAAATCTCAAAGATAGGATTTGCCTGATGACATGCAGCCGCCTCCACATCTGGGCAGAGTGAGAAGAAGAGATGAGGAGGGATGGGGGGTGATGGGGATGGATGAGGAGTGATGAACAGAGATGAGGAGTGATGAACAGAGATGAGGAGTGATGAACAGAGATGAGGAGTGATGAACAGAGATGAGGAGTGATGAACAGAGATGAGGAGTGATGAACAGAGATGAGGAGTGATGAACAGAGATGAGGAGTGATGAACAGAGATGAGGAGTGATGAACAGAGATGAGGAGTGATGAACAGAGATGAGGAGTGATGAACAGAGATGAGGAGTGATGAACAGAGATGAGGAGTGATGAACAGAGATGAGGAGTGATGAACAGAGATGAGGAGTGATGAACAGAGATGAGGAGTGATGAACAGAGATGAGGAGTGATGAACAGAGATGAGGAGTGATGAACAGAGACAAAGAGAGAAATTACAGGAACAGTGGGGAGTGGGCAGAGATGAGATGATGAGAATTCAAGAGGGCAAGGCAAGGCAATGACATGTCTGTTATCTAAGAGGGAAAAGCATCATGTGTACGACCAGATGTAACTCTTAGCACACTGCCCGCCCAGGAAAGGAACAGTACCAGGTGCAGATAGGAGGGGGTCATGAATTTCTTCTGCCCGCCACTGAAGTCGTCCCTCTCACTCTTCGGAACATCCTCCTGCCCACAAAAAAAAAAAAAGAGAGAGGGAAACAGCGACGAGAAGCCATTCCAGGTGCGGTCAAGAGTGCAGAGGTGGGGTGGGTGGGGTGGATTGGGAACAGGAAGATTCCGCGAACTGACACCTTGTGAAGTGAGAGGTAAAGTCATCAGTCAAATATACTGCACTGCTCCTTTCTTTCCTCCCTACCCTTGACGCCTAAACTGCTGCTGTCCAAATGCCCTCCGGCCAGATCCACCTGTGAGTCGAGGCGAGGAAGCAGTGCAGGCGGACTTTTGAGTCGACACAAAAGTCACCTGTGAGTCAAGGCGAGGAAGCAGTGCAGACGCAGCGAGCAGCAGAACTCCAGGCTGTGATGGTCGTAGCAGATCACGAGCAGGCGAGGCACCAATGTGCGTGCCATTTGATTTGAGGCCTGCGCCCCGTGCGGCCGAGCCTATCAGCACCAAGCGGTGGCGATTCAGCCACACGCACGCACCTGTGTGTCGAGGAAGCAGTGCAGGCGGAGCGAGCAGCAGAACTCCAGGCTGTGATGGTCGTAGCAGATCACCAGCAGGCGAGACACCAGCGTGCTTTGCATCTGGGACATGTGCCCCGTGCCTGGCATATCTGAATCTGACGGTCCGGACTCAGCTGCTGCACCTTCCCTCAAGTACTCCTCCTGCTGCTGTTGCTGCTTCTGTTGCTGCTCCCAGGGGGTCTGCTCCCGCTGTTGCTTCTCCTGCGTATTCGTCTCCTCGTCTCTGTCATCAACCAGTCTCATCATCGTTAAGAACATCTTAATCATGGGTATCCACGCCTCTGACAAAACCGTCACTATCACCACGCCACGTTCTGACGCCCCTTCCTCTGCTACCACTCGTGCCTCCTCCGTCTCGTCCTTTTCATCCACCCTTCCATCAGTTCCAGCGTTGCTGCTGCCAGCAGTGCTGCCTGTTGTGCTGCCTGTGCTACTTTTTTTGCTGACGCTGTTTGCGTCAGCAGCAGCTTCTGCTGCGCGAAAACTCTGTGGCGCCACGTCAGACGCTGATTGCTTGCTTGTCATTGGAGGCGGCATTCCCGCTGGCGTGGCAAGGTCGGTGAGAACATCCTCTAGGCTCCTGCCACGTGGGACCAGCGAAAGACCCCAGGAAGAGGAAGGCAAGGGAGGTAGAAAACGAGAAGTTGTGTGGGATAGGGAAAGGTGAGGGACTGAGAGAGGAGCGGGAAGGGATGAAGTTACTTGCCTACGTATCTTGATTCAGGACACACAGAATGAGTCAATTGGTTTTTTTTTAGTGGAATCACCACTTGCCTGCATACCTCGATTCAGAACACATCTCATAACTGCCTCAACTCACCACAAGCGATGAGTTGAATACTCTGAACCATCTGCTGCTGCAGATGGCTTATCAGCTGTCTCTGCCTCCGTACCTCGGTTCAGAATACACCTGAAGAGTTTAGTATTGCTTTGGGTCGCCCTGAAAAACACTTGCCTGCGTACCTTGATTCAAAGCACGCGTGATGCGTCGAGTCACCTGATGCATCTGCTGCTGCCATCATTACCCCTTCGTCCCATCCCTTCTCACTGTCATCCCTCTCTCCACCTCCACTGCCATCGCCACCCCCCACCTCGTTCCCCCAATCAACCTCCCAATATTCCCCCTTCTCCCCCACTCCCTGTGCCCCAGACCCCTCCACATCTGGCTGTGTGGCAGCAGCGGGTGGGGGGAGCGGAGAGGGGGGGCCGAGGAAGGGGGAGGCGAGGAGGGGGAGGAGTATGAGCAGGGAGAGCAGCAGCAGCAGCATGCTGTTGAGGAAAGTAGGGGTTATCCGTAGGCGGGACAGGGCGTGATGAGAGGGATGGGAGGGATGGGAGGGATGAGAGGGATGAGAGGGATGAGGTTGGTTCAGAGTGACAGGCAGGTGCTCGTTGTTCGGTGGAACAAGAAAGCAAGATATGAGGCGGTCCCCTAGTGCAGGAAGGAACGGGAAGGAGGAGGGGCGTGAGGAGGAGGAAGAGGAGGCAGAAGGCGAGGCGGGAGGCGAGGCGGGACAGGATCCATCAGGCGGGAGGGGTGGGGAAGGATCCGTCACGAGCAGCAACGTCCAGAGAATTCATCCTGTTAGCAATGTCTTCGGAATCTCCATCCTGTACATCTAGTGCGCTATTGTTGCCGCCATGGGAGTTGCCATTGGAAGCTTTGCTTGGCGACTCTTGAGACGTCTCAAGAGCCGCCACCATGTCATCATCTCTTGAGGCGGCAACCGAAACGCCATGGTTGGGGTCGATGTCTTCACTTGACAACGGAAACGGCATCACGAGACCCAATTTCTAAGCCCGGTTTCAAACCCGGTTCCTTCAAGACTCTGAAGATTTCTTGAAAGAAGGGCGCAGCCACCACCACCCAGGTAGTAGTAATTCAAAATCTGCGAAATCCGCAAATGCGTAGCCGCCGATTCTACATGCGCAGCAACTCTAACGCATCTCACGCAGTAATTCTCACAGGCGCAATGAGCCTCTCGAGCCGTAAGACGTTTCAAAAGGCTCTCAATGCAAGTAAAACCCAGGAGAGAGCGAATGCCCAAATGGCCTGAAAAGCTCTCTCAAACACGGAATACCACATAGTAGCTGGTGGGGACTCGGGACGTGGCGCTTGAGTCGTGACGAGCAGGCCTTGCTCTGCATCATGATTCGCAGATACGAACCGCACCTGGGTCTCTCGACCTGGTCACGCTGGTAGCTGGCCGCACATCATGATTCTCAGATACGAACCGCACAGTGGGGTCTCGCTCGCGCTGGTTGAGAGGCTCTGGGCGGTTCGAATCGAGGCCGCAGCAATTGCGGCTCCTGCGGGTTGGCGAGGCGGCCACGGCAGCGACGCGCCGGTGCACATGCGGCGACAAGCCGCAACCGTTCCGCATGAGTGGTCATGGAATGAAGGTGGTGGTGGCGGTGCTGGCGGTGAGGTGCTAGTGAGCGATAATAGCTCATGGTTGAACGAATTCATGGTTGGACCAACTCAAGGCTGTTTTGGTAGTGCCATTAGCCGTCGCCGAGGTAAGGAGTTGCTCTGCGCGACCTTGGACAACGGGTCCCGACGGCGATGGTGATAGCGGCGATGGTGACATATGTGCTCTGCCTGACAGAGTTTTGGGACGTCCCGAATCTCGCGTGACAGATGTATATCGGCGGCATCGCGTGGGAACGCCGAGCGTCGCGGAGATTAACGAGCGCTTGCATTTCCACCACGTGGCAATTAATATGCAGTGCGGTCGCGTGCGTGATACCTGCTCGAGGTTTGGCGGTAACTGGACACTTACGGCTTTTGGCTGGAACTTGAATCGTGTACACGTGATGCTCGTTTGAGAAGACCACTGTTGCCTTACTATATTGGCGTTTAAGTGATTCTTTTATTTCGCAAAAGTTTTGTCCACCCGCACCTAGCCAAAAAGGGCTTATAAAAAAAATGTAACTCTCTGTTGACAGTTTGACCTCGATCTCTTCAGTTTGACTTTGGTTTCTGTTGTTAGTGTTGGTTCATAATCACTCCAACTTGCTCGGGGGACTTGAAATGTGGGTGCAACTGGCTGGCGCAAAAAACACGGGTGCAGACTTTCCATCAGGTGCAGAGCGAATTTGCATGCATGGGTTGAGCGTCATGTGTATTTGACTTGGGCGGTTTGGGGCCTTGGGGTTGGTGATTCTGTCAGGTTTGCTGAGGTTGCATTCTCGTTATGGGAAACGCGAAATTTTTATCAGCTGCAATGTGCACATGAGGAACCCAGCTAGCGTGAGTGCTCACTAGAAGTAATAGCTTTGAATGGAAACGGCTAGAATGGAGGCCCTAGAATATGTCAGAAGGGTCGTGTGTCAGGCCATTTCACCCCAAAAAGAGAGGCCACATCTCCTGGTTTAGTCGCCGCCACACCAATGCATCCCCGATCTAGTGCTCGCTTACGATCACGTACGCTCCCAAACTAGTAGTACCGGATCACGACAATTGTCGAGTAAGGGCCCATTTCTGTGGGGACACAAGTGTCTCAATCCCCATTTCCCGAGTCACGCCTGCAAATTTGCCAAATGTCGCGTCATAAAGAGCAAATGTACCGCGACGTTGGGCGACAGATTGCCAGGTATACTTGGATACTTTCCATTGGCTGCAATCTAAGTGACTGGGCCTTGGCGTTTTCGAGCCGGGCAGAGTGCTGAAACATTGTGCATGAAGCAATACCCTCGAGGCGGGTCACTGTATCGGGTTGGAAAGGAGCACATGAGCGGGCAGGGAAGAACGAAAGTGGGCCGTGAGCACCAGTCGTTGGTCTGCCCGGGTAGGGCGGTTTCATTTTCCGCTCGAATCTGCCACCACTTCGGGAGTCCAGGTGCATGCGGGCGGCCCAGCCAATAGCTTGAAATTTCAACACGCGCGCGATTTTTGGGATGTGACGGGGCCTCGTCCAAGTCGTTCGCGACACTAGTGCAATTCACGCCAACCAATCAGGGCTTCGGATTCGTTTTGAGCCACCCTTAGTAATCAGGGTTCTAGGTATAGTCAACCCTGATGCGTAGGGTAATTTTTTATTCCCCCTGACAAATGCAGGGTAAAAAAAATGAAAGTCTGTTTGGCCAGGGTATTTTTAAAAACAAACTAAAATAAATAATGCTAAAATTAGTCGGCACAACGCTAGTGGCTCAGTTAGTTCAGGTATAAGAGAGATTTGGAAGGTCGGAGGTTCGTATCTTGTAGTCGCGAGGATTTTGCAGGGGCCCTGTATAGGGCTTCGCCTCGCTACGAAGCGTTCGGTATCAGTGTTACTGAGATTGTACACTGTACAGTCAGAGAAATAAGTCCCTTACGCTGTTTTTCAAAGGGTACAAAAAAACTTACACTTTCTGGCCTAGGGTAAAAAATCCACTACCCTGCCTGTGAAAGGGTAACTGAAAAAAAGCGGCCGCCAGTCAGTGCAAAAAGGGTATTTTACCCTGATAACGAGAGGCCTGCCACCAATGTAAAATACAGTGTAAGTCGCATTAGTGCGATCCGCGCTTGTGACTGTTGGAAACAATTGATTTAAAGCGCTTCTGTCGTGGCGAAACACCAAGTCACAAGCGAAGCAAAGCATATCGAAGCACCGGCGAGTCAACCCTCGGAGGTTGAAGTAACCGCTGGAGGTTATGCGAAAGTCAAAGGTCAGCGACCTTTGACCTGACTAGTACAGTGCGACAGCAAGGACACACAACTGACTCGTTACAGAGCAGTTGCCCGAGTCGTCACTGTATCGAACCGCAACAGCAACAATAAAACAGTTATAGCTGTATCCTTTCATATTCCTTGTACTCTTATATAATCTTGTATCTCTTTGCTTTAATCAACTTACTTTGCCCTCACATACCAGCGCAAGGTGGTTCAACAATTCTCACTAAGAAACGCTTCCGCTATTACATTGTTCCTACCAGAGTTTAGTCCTGCAAAGATCCTCTAAGGGCTTTTCTCAGCCCAACATGGTATCAGAGCTAGTCAGGGCAAAACTCAACTACAATCAATCTACTACAACAGCGCTAGACATGGCTACCCAGAAACAAAGGAGCTCTTCTAACGGCTCCCACGGAACTACCCCTACACCACCGCCTGCCTCTGGCCTGCAAACGGAGGAGAACCCGGCAACAAGACCAGCAGCGGGGTCTACCGAAACTCCCGCGAACCAAGCTTCAGGCTTCGACCCAAGTATGATGGAGAAATTTTTCTCCTTTATGTCCTTCTACGAGCAGCACCAGCAAGCGGGACC